CTGCAGGTGGAGGCTCTGCTGTTCAGGAGTCTCAGAACTCAATCTCTGCTCTTTGTAGATGATATGGTTCTGGGACCTCCTGCAGGCATTGGGGCAGTTTGCAGCCAAGTGTGAAGCAGCTGGGATGAAAATCAGTACTTCAAAATCCAAGGATATGGTTCTTTGCCTTAGACTTATCTCTTTGGGTAAGGGGTCAGTCCTTTCCCCAAGTGAGAGACTTCATGTACTTCATGTAGTGGAGCTGAAAAGGATCAATTGGTGGGTAGATTTGTGGTCATTAATGGTAGGTGAAAGAATAAGATGACAGGAGAAATGAGTTTCCCCTGAGGGGTGTCTGGAGAGTTTTAGAAGCTCAGCCATCTGGAGGGAGCTCAGAGTAGAGCCTCTGCCCCTTCACATTAACTCATTCAGTGCCAGGTTCATTTGTGCAATTTTCACCCAGTGCCACCATTGACGGCAATCGAAATTTCTGTATATTTCAGGACCCACAGAATATCTTGTGCTTGGACTTTAGAATTAAGTGCAATATCTCAAAAGAAAGGGATGATTCTCTTCTTTCACCAGAAAAAAAGTTAGTCTCCAACCCACTCTTGTGTTTAGTTATTGCCTGCTCAATGTAGCAAATCATCTTTGCTGTTCTGGAAAAAGAAACCTGAGAAAAACACACTTTTAGGAAGGAGAGACTTTCAAGCAGAACTCTGGTTGTCTATTTCATTTCACTTCAAACTACTTTACTGGTGGCATCAAGGTCCTCCTTCCTTGGACACCACTCCTCATCACTCTTGAGAATAGATTGTTATAGGTCACTTGTGATGGCTGGGAGTCGTATTGGCTCTTGAGAACCTGACGCTGCAATGTTAACCACACGGACTGCTCGCATCATCCTTGAGAGACCGTTGCTGAATTCCAGCTCAGTCTCGCTCACAGGCGGCCAATTGACATGCCAGAGAATTGTTTCTTTGATTGTTGGCTGACAATATGAGGGTCTGGTATAGGGATCTCCAATGGATCTAGAGACGGTAGCACTGTGTCCATGGGAGCCGATGCATTTGCTCTTGGCTAATGACTTTGGCATTTTCTGTCTCTCCTCATAGAGAAAACACTCAACAACTAGGCTAATTGGCATACTTGATGGCACACTTCTCACTGGCAATTACTTGTTTTTGTTAGTGTAACATGATTATGACATATTTGTCAACTTTTCTGCATTCAGAACGACCCCAAACTTCGTCACATGTTGGGGAGGAGTGCCTTCTGGCGGAAAACAAAATAACTGAAAAATCCACCAAAATCGTCAATGGCATTGAATGAATAAAAAGGGGTCAGTTGAGGTGGTTCAGATACATGAAAAGGGGGATAAGGATGCCTACCTGTGGAGGTGTTCCAGGCACAGCCACTGTGTAGGTGACTCAGTGGCTCTTGGGATCCTGGGGGAGGAGCTGGAAATTGCTGGTGGGGTGAGGTAGGTCTGGTTTGCTGAGACCTGACCCTGGACACACCATTAGAGGCAGGCCGTTCTGCTTTGCTGAAAGCACACATGGGAAAAGAAAACTAATAACAATAATGCATCAAACATTATATAGCGCTTTATCAGTGACCCTCAAAACACTTTACATCGGATACATCATTCATTTGCCAACACAGTCTCACCCTGGTGGTGGTAAACTACCTTCGTAGTCACAGCTGCCCTGAGACAGACTGATGGAAAAGTAGCTGCAAGTTTGTGCCTACGGCCTCTCTGACCACCACCAATCAACACTCACAATCATACACCAGTGGAAGACACACACTGGGAGTAAGGAGGGTTAATTGTCTTGCCCCGCCTCCTCCAGCAAAATGAATAAAGCTGTGGACAAACTTTAGAAATTAATTACCTGCAATATAAAATTTTCTCCCCCCTGGTTGCGATGTTATCATATAGTTGTGTTTTCAATGATTGACACTTGATACAGCCTTCCAAGATAGGGTTGGATGTGTGATGTGTGTTTGTGTTTAGATGGGATTTGTTAGTGTGTATTTGCATTCAGATGGGTGGTGTTGGTGTGTTTGTGTTCAGACGGGCGGTGTTGTCCCATCTGCGTTCAGATGGGCGGTGTTGGTGTGTTTGTATTCAGAAGGGTGGTGTTGGTGTGTTTGTATTCAGAAGGGTGGTGTTAGTGTGTTTGTGTTCAGACGGGCGATGTTGTCCTATTTGCAATCAGACAGGCGGTGTTGGTGTGTGTTTGTATTTAGATGAGCACTGTTGGTGTGGCAGCGTGCTGAGGAACAGGAAGAGGATGTGTCCCAGCTGAGGGAGCAGGAACATGAAAGCTGGCCTTCATTCAATGCTGTGGCACATACAGAGCAGAGAGAACATCTGGATCTGGATCAGTCTGAGTATCCGTCCTGGTCTCTGTGAAGCTCTGAGGGGCTTAAATCAGATCAGAGGTTTCAGCTCAATTCATTATGAAAAAAATTACATTTGACGTTGGTGACCTTGAAGAAAATCAGGTTAAAATCTGAGAGGAGTTCACTGAGACCTGGACCCTGTTAGAGATCCTCAATAACCCAAGTATGACATGATGAGAAGAGGTTAGACAGCAGCTTTTTATAAGAAAGAGTCATTCAGCAGCACAACCTTTTTACATTCAACAGCATGAATCAGCCACAAAGCCTGAAATAAACAGTAAATAGTCTTTGTACACTTTCAAAAACACACAAATATTCAAGTCAAAATGATTTGTACAACCTTCCAGCTCAGTGAAATATTGTAAAGAAACACCATAAACCTAACACTGATGTTCATTGTGTCTTCAGTTTCCTGGAAATCGTTTTCTTTTTTCCTTTATCTCAGACATGTAATCTTTTTCACGTACCTTGACATGTTGCGGCGGAAACTCTTGCCTTTCTCAGGAGTGTCTCTTGGTGGTAGGTGTGATACATCATATCAGCTGGTGTTACGAAGGCATGACCCTCCTGCCAATTTTTTGACAGGGGGGTCACATCTCCTGCTGTCTGTTCGCCTCTGCAGTACGCTGCTCCAGGTGTGTGAAAGCATGTATGCCCCCTCTTCCCTGTTCATTCCCTGTTTCCTGAATTCTCTGGCTTTCCTTATCCAGCACTGGTGCTTATTGTCCTCAGTGTGGATGACTCTGGCCTTATCCCAGTCCATAAGATGATTTTCCCTTTTGCAATGGTCCGTTATGGCAGATTTGTGGTAACACCAGCTGATATGACGTGTCACACCTACCACCAAGTGACATTTCCGAGGAAGGAGGAAGTTTCCGTTGAAACATTTCAAGGTACGTGAAAAAGATTACATGTCTGGGATAAAGGAAAAAAAGAAAACAAGTTCTATAAATATCCTTGTTCTGAACATCATCAATAGCAATGTTGTTCAGGGATTGAAAAATGCATTGACAATTTATAATGTAAGTAACATTCACTCACACATCAATCATAGATCAAAATAATAATATTAGTAATAACAATGCATCAGATTTCATATAGCGCTTTATCAGAGACCCTCAAAGCACTTTACATTGGATACATCATTCATTCACTCTCACAGTCACACCTTGGTGCTGGTAAACTACTTTTAATAGTCACAGCTGCCCTGGGGCAGACTGATGGAAATGTGGCTGCCAGTTTGTGCATACGGCCTCTCTGACCACCACCACTCAACACTCACAATCATACACCAGTGGAGGACACACACTGGGATTAAGGTGGGTTAAGTGTCTTACCCAAGGACACAACTGACAGACTAGAGATAGTGGGGAATCGAACTGCCAACCCTCCAGTTAATTGACATCTGCTCGACCTCCTGAGCTACTGCCGCCCAAAATATTATTATTGTTGATTAAATAAAGCGAAGATGGTAATATGAGGAGCTGTCAGGAACTCAAAGAGCCCTACTGGTACTAGATGGACTTGTGTGGTCAGTCTGGTTCAGGGTCCTGTCAGAAACACTATACATGTTAATAATGATTTTACACCGTGATTGGATTTATGACAGAAACGTCGTTGGAAAAGTGATAAAGATTTGGAGTGACTACATTGTGCATTTCCTACTGATGTTTCCTGAGGGTGTAAAAAAAAAAACACTAGTTACTTTTGATGAAGCTCATTTGCATAAAAGGGGGCTTTTCCACTGATGTGAAAGCATACATTTCAATGTATGCAGACAGCACTGAGGCACTGAGACAGTTTGCTCTGCAGTGCAGGTTGTGCAGCATGTGACCCTCTGTGAAATAGATGATATTCTGGGGCTTGTTCAGTCACCGAGTAGACCTTTTGTGAGTCTGGTCGTGTGTTAGCTTTAGAGCTGATTTGGACAGTAGACACTGTCAAACTGTCTTGTCTATACTACTAATCTCACCGAGGTTAAAAAAAAAAAACTCCAGGATAAGGAATCAGGTCACATGTTTGTCTTCATCCTGTTTTTTGTGTTTTTGGATTGTCTTCATGCAGTATATCTGCAGCATGTTTGAGATGATGCAGCCCTTGGCCTTCTGCGTGTTGTTTTTTCCTTTGCAGCACATTTCTTTTGGTTCATTAATTTGGACTTTGGCACAAGTTTACAGTGTTGTATTGTTTTGGCTCCCCTTGTCAGATGCTGAAGTTCACCATCCAACATATTTTAAAACCCTGTGACTCATCCATCTGTACTGTTATTGGGTGAAATCCAGCAGACTGAGATAGAAATGCAGGTCACTGGACTTCAGGTTTACAGCAAAATACCCCAGTAATGGAGCATTTTTAGGGGGGAGAAGCCGACAGTGAAAAAGATCTTCATGAGTCTAGTGTTCACCCCTCAGAGACAGATCAGAGGTCTACATCCAGTGACTTGTTGCTGCATTTGCTGAATTAAGAGCGCCCCCTGGTGAACATGACAGTCACTGAGCAGGATGCAGGTTGGTAGCTGACAGAGACACAAGGAGTTTTCTGTGGAGCAGAGGGTGTAAATATTCTGTGTTTGACCTGAAAACACATCAAATCGCCTTTAGTTTAACTGAGACCGGTTGGGGTGGGGGGACACAACACCGTTATGTGTTCACTCACCTGAGCAGCCACACCATCACCTCTGTTCACACAGTCGCTGCTGGACTTGAAATAACACAGCGCAGTAATGGTAAAACTTGATGAATCAACATTAGATTGATCATTTAAGCTCAGGGTCCAGTCCAAACGTGACTCAGCATATTTTTTCTTATCAACCACAAAGCAAACATTTCAATCAACGGTCACATCATCATCATCAGAAACTTATTTTGTAGGATAAACTCCCTGAGAGAAATCCTCTTGTTTTCGAGGGGGTCCTAAAATACATTATAAACCCCCAAAAAAGGGACAAAACACATTCAACAAGCTATGAACATACACAACAAAGACAACAGACAACAACACCAAAAAAAAAAAAAGAAAGAAAAAAAAAATATATATATATATATACACATACATATATACATATATACATACAGTGCATCCAGAAAGTATTCATACCACTTCACTTTTTCCACATTTTGTTATGTTACAGCCTTATTCCAAAATGGATTTAATTCCTTTTTTCCCTCAAAAATTCTACACAAAATACCCCACAATGACAAAGTGAAAAACTTTTTTAGAAAATTTTGCAAATTTATTAAAAATAAGACACTCAAATGTTGCATATGCATAAGTATTCACACCCTTTGCTATAAAACTCAAAATTGAGCTCAGGTGCATCCTGTTTCCACTGATCAGCCTTGAAATGTTCCTCCAACTTGATTGCAGTTCACCTGTGGCAAATTCAGCTGATTGGACATGATTTTGAAAGCCACACCTGTCTTTATAAGATCCCACAGCTGACAGAGCACCTCAGAGCACAAACCAAGCCATGAAGTCCAAAGAATTGTCTGTAGACCTCTGAAACAGGGTTGTATTGGCGCACAGATCTGGGGAAGGTTACAGAAAAATATCTGCTGCATTGAAGATCCCAAAAAGCACAGTGGTCTCCATCATTAAGAAATGGAAGACGTTTGGAACCACCAGGACTCTTCCTAGAGCTGGCCGCCCAGCCAAAATGAGCAAGCGGGGGAGAAGGGCCTTGGTCAGGGAGGTGACCAAGAACCCGATGGTCACTCTGACAGAGCTCCAGCGTTCCTCTGAGGAGATGGGAGAACCCTACAGAAGGACCACCATCTCTGCAGCACTCCACCAGTCAGGCATTTATGGTAGAGTGGCCAGACAGAAGCCACTCCTCAGTGAAAAAACACATGACAGCCCGCTTGGACTTTGCTAGAAGGCACCTGAAGGACTCACAGACCAGGAGAAACAAAATTCTCTGGTCTGATGAAATGAAGATCGAACTCTTTGGCCTGAATGCCAAGCGTCATGTCTTGAGGAAACCAGGCACCGCTCACCACCTCGCCAATACCATCCCTACAGTGAAGCATGGTGGTGGCAGCATCATGCTGTGGGGATGTTTTTCTATGGCAGAAACTGGGAGACTTGTCAGGATCGAGGGAAAAATGAATGCAGCTAAGTACATCGAAATCCTTGATGAAAACCTGCTCCAGAGCGCTCAAGACCTTCGACTGGTGCGACGCTTCATCTTCCAGCATGACAATGACCCTGAGTACATGGCCAAAAAGACAAAGGAGTAGCTTCAGGACAAGTCTCTGAATGTCCTTGAGTGGCCCAGCCAGAGCCCAGACTTGAACCCAATTGAACATCTTTGGAAAGACCTGAAAGTAGCTGTGCGCCGACGCTGCCCATCCAACCTCACTGAACTTGAGAGGATGTGCAAGGAAGAATGGGGACAACTCCCCAAATCCAGGGGTGCCAAGCTTGTTGCATCATACACAAGAAGACTGGAGGCTGCAATCGCTGCCAAAGCTGCTTCGACCAAGTATTGAGTAAAGGGTGTGAATACTTATGTATATGCAACATCTGAGTGTCTTATTTTTAATAAATTTGCAAAATGTTCAAAAAAAGTTTTTTGCTTTGTCATTATGGGGTATTTTGTGTAGAATTTCTGAGGGAAAAGGGAATTTAATCCATTTTGGAATAAGGCTGTAACATAAGTGGTATGAATACTTTCCAGATGCACTGTTTGTATGTATATATATGTATATATATATATATATATATATATATATATATATATACAAAAATGAGCACAACCTCTTGATGGCCACCAATGGCCATGGCAGTAGCCTAGTAAAACTAAGAGAAATGTATAATATTACCGTAATAATGAAATCATCACAGTGTGTTACACATACAGTGTTGGAAAAAAGTTTGGAATATTTTCTTCAGTGTTTCGTGTAACGTGAATGATCCTCCAACAAACGTGGCTGAACTGACTCAGGCTGTGATCCAATGCTGGCGAGAAATCCCGGTTGAAAATCTTACCAACCTAGTGACCAGCATGCCCAGACGTGTACGCGCATTGTACAATGCTAGAGGCGGTCACACAAAGTACTGACTGTATTGTTGTTATCGTCTTGTTATGTTTGATGTTGCTTTCAAAGATGGTCCACATATTTTGTGGCAATTTAAAATTACAGCCGTTTATTTATTAAATACCGACTCATGATTTTATGCGTTATGAGTGCGTTATGAATCATGAGGTGTCCGCCCTACAATTTTTTGAGAAACAAAATAGTTTGATGTGAATTTCAAAAACATATCACAGAGACCAGGGAACATTAAAAAGTCTTTGAATAATTCTCCAGAAAGCAGCAGACCGTGTTAAACACGAGGCTGGGGTTGAATTGACAAATATTCCAATTTTTTTTCCAACACTGTAATATTGTTATCACATCGTCTGAAACATGTGCAATTAAACTTAAAATAAGAGGACAGGGCATATTTAAACCTATGAAAAGAGGTCAATGAGCGTATGTTTAAAGGCAGATTATTCCAGTCTGATGGTGCTTTAAGGCTAAATGCTCTTTCACTGTTTTGGAATATGGAAACAAAAATTGTTTTAAATTGGCAGGATAATTGCAATGTATACATCACAACAGAGGAAATTCCTTAGATCTTGTGATAATCTATGGTCTATCTGTAGTTGTTAAATTTTTGTGTGTGTTATTGGGTTTTAAACAATCAGAAACAATTCTTTATTTACTGTAACTGGAAAACACAAACAGCTGCAGGAAATGTCTCTTTTCTTTAAGACTGGGAACATTTCAGAGTCTCAGTCATAAACTTTTACTGAGTAACACCATCTCTACTTGTACCACCGCCTGTTCTGTTACAAGTTCCTGTTCCCATAGCAGTAGTTGGGATCTGTCAAACACAGTCATGGTGGCATGCATGTTTGTCATTGACCAGCTGATTAAACTGCAAACAAATGAAACCTCTTTGGCTGAATCCCTACAAATGTCCTCCTCAGGTTTGCACAGATAAAAAGTGGAGCTTTAACTCTGCTGTAGAGTAGAATTACACCCTTAGACCAGGCAAAGGGGGGGACCATGACAGTGCAGAATCTGACAGTCTCGGCTTTCAGAGCTGCTCCAGTCCCTCTGAGGACATCTGAAGACATAAAGCTGCCACGAAGCAGGCGTTTCCTCAGTTTGCTCATGGGACAGATAACCCCCGCTGTAAACTTCAATAGGAAATTCACCTAGCTCCACCCTCATCCTAATATATCAGAGAGACAGAGAGAGAGGCAGAGGGGGGCTGCTGGCACTGACAGGGAAAACAAATTGAAAAAAGCTGCAGCATCTGGACATAATTCTCCCCCTCAGTGGACATGCATGTTTTCCCAGGGTTAACCCAGCACAGAGACACTGCTCATCCAGCCGCACTCTGACTTTAAGATGTAAAACTACACACACTAAAACACACACTCTAACCAGCACACATGGAGAGTGACAGCTGCAGGCCATTCTCAGATCAGCACACATATCAGGAAATACAATAAAGCAGGCCCGAACATCCAGCTTTACCTACAGGGACTCACAACAGTTTTATTCTCAGCACATGTGACTAAAACACTGAATACATGTTATTCCTGAGCTGCAAGGCCTCTCTTAATGCATGGATGCTGTCTGTCAACACTCCTTAAACTTCATAGAGTTACTCAATCTGAAAGTGACTTAGTGATACACTTATGTGTATTGAGGCTGAATGTAATCTCTGTTTATAGATCGTATATGTGCGTGTAGGATCTGTAATCTGGATTTTAGAGTATGGACTGTTTTGGGCAGGTGATGTTTACCTGTGCAGGTGATGTATTAGTAAAACAGACATTGCACTCAGAAAAAAGCTAAAAAGATGACTCCTTGGCTTTCAACACACAACTTTTTACACAGCTTCAAAGTCACAGAAAAAATTATCTGATCAATTGCTAATAGATTTTAACATGAGTACAACTTATAGATCACCTTTAGAGGGCATTACACAAGAACATCAGTGAGGTTTCTGGACCACGAAAATATTCAGCGTACCAATAGGTACAAAATTATGTTTCAGTCAGCTTTTTAAAGAAAAATTATTTTCTTCAAAAAGCTTATTTATTTATGTCACAACTGCAAGCTCCGCCCCAAGAGCCCCGTTATGTAGGCCAGACTCGGAGAAGTAGAGAGGACAAAAGCATGTTAAGATATTATGATATTAGCTGTCATCATGTAGCCAAAGACATTAGTGTCCGAGAGCTAAATAGCTCCTATATTACCTGCCACTTCTGCTGCACTTGCAATGTTAGGCTTCAAACTAGCGTGAAGAGGAGTGTGCAGAGCAGCGCTGTCTCCGCCACGACTCAGAGACGAATTGCCAATGAGCTACTGGAGAAAAAAACTTTTGGAAATGACACAGGTAATGTGATTTTGGCTAAAAAAATTCATAATCACAATTTAAAGACCACTGACAACACTTTAGGTAGTAAAAAAAAAAAAAAAAACACGATCAGAGTGGGACTTCAAGTGCAGCATTTGATAGAGTTGGCCACAAAATTATGATAGAGAGGCTGCAGCACTGGGTTGATAGATCAGGGACAGCCCCTAACTCTGAGGTGAACTGTGGAGTTCTTCAGGGGTCAATTTTATCCTGATCAGACTGAGGATGACGGCACAGCTTGAGTTGTTTTATCAGTAAATACCCCTTTGTTTTGTGTAAAGAGATAAGTGTTAACAGGCTAATGTGTAATCTCCATGAAAGCAACCTGACATCAGACTGGGACCATTTCTGACCACAAGCTCCTCAGCGCAGCTGGAAACATGTCTTTGGATTACATCACCATCTCTGTCTTTCATGGTTGAAACGTTTCCAACGCTTACTGGACATCCAACAGTGAAGAATTATAGGCAAGTATTAAAATATGGACCAGCATCTCTTTACGAAATATTAAAAAACATTTATGTTTACTGTAGTATGTGGATCCTATTCAAAGAAACTAAAAATATTCTTTAATTTGTCTTAAAAAAAGACTATAACTCACTTGGATGTGAATGAGTGTTACCTGGTTCACATCATGATAGCTTTGTAAATCAGTTTCTGTGAGAGCAGACACAACCTCCCCTACTCCTCCTCAGACCTGAACCAAACCTGTCAGAGGGGCGGGGGTCTCTCCCTATGGTCACATTGAACCTGAACTCAAGATTTAGGACAGGATTTCTTCCACTGCTGGGACCCTGCAGCTGCAGAGAGACAAAGATGTTGAGGCTGAGTCAGGAGAGGGTTTAATCTCGGCTTTACGAGGACCTGCAGACATGACGCACGCACACACACACACGCACGCACACATCGACTTAACATCAGACAGACCTGAACACACGTGAGGGGGATCTGTCTCATTAGGCTCTCATAGACTCTGATTCAGGCGTCTACATGTGATCTTCATTTCCAGGGTCACATGTTAACTTTTCTTGTTGTCCTCTCCCTTGCCTTCATTCATTCATTTATTCATTCATGCAGTCATTCATTGATTCAGTCAGTCAGTCATTTTAATTTAAATGATACTCACTCTAAGTATTGGCTCAGGATTGACCTGCACACTAACTCTTCCAAGATTTCCTTGTATTACAGTATAAATATATAGCCTCTGCAGTCCACTCCAACAGGACATTGCCGAAATAACCTGTTTCCATGGAAACGATTGATACTATTTGCTGACAGAGACAGCCCATTGTGTTTCTAAAAATAATAACCCAGTGAGAAGACTCTTTGGGGAGTAGGAGAGCAGGCACAGCTTTACAGGCTGCTTTTAAGGCTCAAACTTCACTGTGACATTTACGATGGAGTTCAGTCTGACAAAGGTTGTGATGACAGACCGAGTGTTTAAAAAGGAGCTCACATATCGACACACCATCTATTTAAATAGAATGAACCAGGAAAGCTTCACTGACATTAGAAAGCTCTTTTACAGAGTGTTCAGGCTGAGATCAGCAGCAGACCACCAAAAAAATGTTTTTAGTGTCAGCATATCCTGGGTCACATATCAGGAAGTCTTAATCATCATCAGCAAAGCATCTACAGCCTGATGTAGCTTCATCTTCAAATCTTATCTCTCGCTCCTCAAGAAAAGCAGGTCTAGACCAGCCCTAGACCCTACTGTACATGGAGGACCTACATAAAGATAGGTTCCTGAGCGCTGCGTGTTACAGCAGCCGGGCCTCTCACTCATGGCGTCTAGCAGGTGTAGTTAGTGGTGATGATGAAGCCATGATCATGATCTTGACAGGCTAAAATCAGAAATAATTCACTTCTGTATTTGTTCAGTATTTTATTTACACTCAGTTTTTTGTTGGAGAGGATGTGAAAACCCACACACATCCACACAGTCAGTTACAGAACAGAGTTTTCTGTGTATTTGGGTTTAAGGTCAAAACATTTAGTTTGATATTTTCCAGGAAACAAAAGCTGCTTCTGCGTTTTTTTAAACTGCAACTTTTTTCGTAGGTGTAAGTAGTAAGACACACTGATCTGGATTTTTGTGATTTCTAAATTAAAGAAACCACAAATAAATGAATGGTTTAGTTTAGGCATTGACAGTGATTGGAGATTTGTGGTTGAAGTTTGGTAGTCTCTGCCGATGGATAATTCAGCTGCAGCTGAGACAAAACAGACATGAAGTAGTTTATTTTGATCCTTGTGAACTGAAGTTTGAGCCAGCTTACCCGCACAACAGTGATGCATGCATATATAAAACATCGCTGCACTCTTAAAAATGTTGGGTTAAAAACAACCCAATTTGGGTAGTTTCCTAATCCAGCATTGGTCAAATATTGGACAGAACACATGCTGGGTTCATTTTACCCAACTAATTGGGTTAGTTTACTTAACCCAACAATTGGGTTGTTTATATAAACCAATTGGGTTTTTCATGTAACCCAACCAAGGGTTCACAACAACTACTCCGCTCGGTTCTTTAACCCCAGCATGTTGGGTTGTTAATATTTAATATGATATCAAATTACATTTATGCATCAGATTTAATACAGCGCTATATCAGAGACCCTCTAAGCGCTTTCCATTGGATACATCACACAGTCACACCATGGTGGTGGTAAACTGCCTTAGGGGGCAGACTGGCGGAAACGTGGCTGCCAGTTTGCAGCCTGCAGCCTCTCCGACCACCACCACACAACACTCACAATCATACACCAGTGGAGGACACACACTGGGAGCAAAGTGGGTTAAGTGTCTTACCCAAGGACACAACGGAAAAACATGGGATGGGGGGGGGGGGGGGGGTCTAACCATCAACATTCCGGTTACTGGACGACTGATCTACCTCCTAAGCTACTGCCGCCCCTTAACAGCTCCCTTTCGACACTCCCTTACTGACGGAGAATGAACTTTGGAATCTGTAAACATTTGGCAGTTTTCTTCTTTTTTTTAATATGGTTGTCTTTTCTTTTCAAAATAAACAATACAGAGAATTCACTCCATGTCACAAAGTCATCCACTGATTGTTCGTATCAACCTGAGACATCAAGACAGAGAGTCCATTAAAGCAGTAGTTCAACATTTCTGTCCACACCACACCTCACATCAGCTAACGTGTTAGCTTGTTACGTTTGAGGCAATGTACTTTATGCTCATGCTGGCTAACCATTAGCTTGCTCACCTACCAATCAACTCCTGAAGGCAGAAGCTGGTACACAACAGTGCTTCACAAACTTACATCTTAACAACAAAATGAGACACAAACATAAATAAAACATAAATAACCTTGTGAATTGGGTACTCAGAGTACCCAACTCCATTAAAATAACCCAAATAAATTGACCAACAGACTCAACCTAGTGGTTGGGTTGAAAAAACAACCCAGCATTTTTTTTTTTTTTTTGAGTGTGTGATCAGTCATAAGGCATAAACCTAGAAGAAATAAGTCTTAGCAGTAAAAGAAAATATATATTTTTATAAAGAGGCCCATTCATCTGACTTTGACTACTTAACAGACTGCTGAATGTGAAGTTTACAGACTGACTTGTGGATGAAGAATCCTCAATAAGATGATACAGACTTATTCACATCACTGCTGTGCTCACAGATGGCTAGCAGCTTTGTCTTCAAGACTGCATGTTTAAAATGCCTGATGTTCATCCCAAAGGAGGTCACAGTTTCGGATCAGAACATGTCAGAGTAATCCCTCAAACATCAGAGCTCAGTCTGCAGACCCTGAACACCAGTTAGACTGAGGCCCTGTGTGTGGTACCCCTGGATGGAAGCAGCTGTATCTGTAAGGTAAGACTGTTCAGGCTGTTGACGATGATAAATGTGAAAAAAAACAGTCAATGAACTCTCAAAAGAAACATGATGGCATAGGGTTTTGTTTACATATTTGCAGCAGTGTGTTTAGTCTAAAAACAAGAGCTTTATTCTCTGCAACCATGTGATTCATATTACAATTCATCAACAAGTATTTCCATACATGGTGTCTGTAAATCATTTGATGAGTATCTGGTGTGAACACGTGAAAAAAGATGGATAGTCTTTGTTTATTAATGAAGCTGCTGACAAAGATCCAACAGCCCCAAACAATCCCAGCTTAAGTTAACAAAAGAAAAGCAGGTGAATGAACCCTAATTTACACAGACTGATGAATGCTACATTTACATCAAGTGTTCTCTGACAAATGATGTTAATTAACACCCACTGTACCTAGAAGTGAATGCAAATGTAAGATAATAAAAACGTGGTTTTATTAATCTCTCTTGCTTTATTCAGTATTTTTCTACACTGAAAAAATAACTCATAAGATTTTCTTAGAAATTATATTGTAAGTATTTGCACGCAAATGATTTAAGTAAAATTTAATGCTGCAATGTCAAGTAACACTCACTTGCCAGTATCAAGTAAATGTTACTTTCCATAAAACAGTTGAATAGTTGTGAAGATATTTAATAACATTTACTTAGTTCAATCCATTTATCCATTATTATTTATTTAAACAAATTGAGTGAAGTCTACTTGTTTTTCATAGACAGGAGCCTTATATTACTCAAAATTTCAAGTACTAATTAATTTATTTGGTTGATCAGATTTTATATAGCACTTTATCAGCAACCCTCAAAGCACTTTACATTGGATACATCATTCATTAACTCACACAGTCACACCCTGGTGGTGGTAAACTACCGTAGTAGTCACAGCTGCCCTGGGGTAGACTGATGGAAACATGGCTGCCAATCCACGCCTATGGCCTCTTCAACTACCACCAAACATCACTCACATTCATACACCAGAGGAGAACACACACACTGGGAGCAAAGTGGGTTAAGTGTCTTGCAAAAGGACACAACAGACAGACTAGGAATAGGGGGGAATCAAACCCCCAACCTTCCAGTTATTGGACAACTGCTCTACCTCCTGAGCTACTGCCGCCCCTTACCTTGCTCTGTGATCCTGTAACGTCCAAACTCAGAGCAGAGCCAGTCCTGTTGTAGGCTACAGTTACAGAGTAACGTTTATTTAGTATTTGCAGGTTTATGCACATATTAACTATTGAACATTTGAATAGTATAAGGAAACCAAAGTAAAACATACTCTTCCCCTGTAATTCATGCATAACATTAAAAATAATGTTTAATTTTACTTTAGAAACTCTAGTTCTTACTGAATCTTAAAAATACAATGTAGAAATTATAACGGTTTCTCTAATATACAGTTCACCCGGAAAGTATTCCTACCACTTCACTTTTTCCACATTTTGTTATGTTACAGCCTTAATCCAAAATGGATTAAGTTCCCTTTTTCCCTCAAAAATTCTACACGAAATACCCCATAATGACAAAGTGGAAAACTTTTTTTAGAACATTTTACAAATTTATTAAAAATAAGACACTCAAATGTTGCATATACATAAGTATTCACACCCTTTACTCAATACTTGGTCGAAGCAGCTTTGGCAGCGATTACAGCCTCCAGTCTTCTTGTGTATGATGCAACAAGCTTGGCACACCTGGATTTGGGGAGTTTTTCCCATTCTTCCTTGCACATCCTCTCAAGCTCAGTGAGGTTGGATGGGCAGTGTCGGTGCACAGCTACTTTCAGGTCTTTCCAAAGATGTTCAATCGGGTGCAAGTCTGGGCTCTGGCTGGGCCACTCAAGGACATTCAGAGACTTGTCCTGAAGCCACTCCTTTGTCTTCTTAGCCGTGTGCTTAAGGTCATTGTCATGCTGGAAGATGAAGTGTCGACCCAGTCGAAGGTCTAGAGCGCTCTGGAGCAGGTTTTCATCAAGGATTTCGATGTACTTAGCTGCATTCATTTTCCCCTCGATCCTGACAAGTCTCCCAGTTTCTGCCACTGAAAAACATCCCCACAGCATGATGCTGCCACCACCATGCTTCAGTGTAGGGACGGTATTGGCGAGGTGGTGAGCGGTGCCTGGATTCCTCCAGACAAGACGCTTGGCATTCAGGCCAAAGAGTTTGATCTTCGTTTCCTCGGACCAGAGAATTTTGTTTCTCCCGGGGCCTGTTCTACGAAGCAGGATTACTGCTTAGCGAGGTAACTTCGAGGATAAGTTCGGGGTTTCCTGTTCTACGACGCGGGTTCACCTCTTAGCGAGGCGAGTCTCCATAGCAACATACGCTGAACGGCTAAACTGCTCCGGGGCAGGTTGAGTTCCAGATTGAACTCAAAGAGTATAAGAACCCCGCCCACTGACCAATGAGCTCTCTCGAAAAACGGCTTGTCCGTTCTCGGAGGATCCTGTAGACATCGGTTCTCGCATTGTCCGAGGAGGAGCACTCCGGCTCGCGAGAGTTTACAGGGAGAGTTTTCTCCGGATGACCACCTTTATGAAAGGCTCATATGGCCGACATACTACACAAAACATGTAAACACGATAGGAATAAACAAATGAATGATTCATTTTGGAAATGAATGGGCATGGGCTGCGCGATCACAGACAACATCTCGGTACTATTTGGTAGCAGCGCACGCCGCTTATAATAGCCCCGTAAATACTGTTGTTCAGGACTGCTTACTTGTGCTTCCTACCTACTGTAACAACCGTTGTTCTAGCCCACATGCAACATTTTTGTTCTCATTCATGAAACGCTTAAATCGGGGACATTTTCGGGGACAGCTTTAGCCGGGGACAGATCATCCAATTCGGGGACTGTCACCTTAGTTAAAAGTGCGTGTTGAACAGTGCTATTTCAGGGTGATAATGGCTTCAAAGATGCATTTTCTGCCAGCATTCCTTCCGTGCTTTTGCAGCGGCGACGGTGTTGCTTTTGAGGTTTATGATAGCTTTCAATTCTTCATACTTTCTCATGATCGTCTTCTGCTCCTCGTTTGTAAAGTACGCGGTCCTTCACTCTCCAGCCTGCTCTGACGCTCCAGACTGATCCATGTTCGCGATTGGTCAGATGCGGCGGGCTCCGCCTTATATGTGTGCACGCGCTCATAGCAGAGCTGGATCCACTTATGAGGTTGATAACCAGCGTCGTGAAACCGCTTAGCGAGACCGCTGGCTACCACGCTAAGTTGAGCGAGGTAGCTCCAAGGCTACCTCGCTAGGTTGAACCTGTTTCGTAGAACAGGCCCCGGGTCTGTGAGTCCTTCAGGTGCCTTCTAGCAAAGTCCAAGCGGGCTGTCATGTGCTTTTTACTGAGGAGTGGCTTCTGTCTGGCCACTCTACCAGTGTTGTTTTCGTCAGGCAGGACGAAAACGACGTCAGACTCCTTTTTTCCTTGACGAAAATGCGACTAAGACGAACGTCACCAAAGCTCTGTAAAGACTAAAATGTGACGAAAATTGTATTCATTTTCGTCAGACGAGAACGAGACGAGACTAAATTGTTATTAGGTGGACGAACAAAGTTTCAAAACATGCTTTTTTTTGTCCTAACAGTCACGCCCCCATCACACACGCAACAAAAGCCTCGCTCGCGCACAGCTGCGCGCACACACTCATACACATACACAGAGCGGCAGGTGGACGAGGCGCGCACACACACACACCGTGGCGGCAGGCACAGCAGCGGTGCCCAGTGGCCGAAAAAAGAGGGATGCCTTATGGTCCTACTTCAGATACAGTCCAAGTGACAATAAAACACAATGTCTTGTACAGGGACGGGGAGACGAGACAGCCGACAGTTGTGGAGCCACAGCTTCCTCATGCTGCGGCTTCAAACTGTCGGGAAAGAACACCACGAACCTCAAAAGGCACCTTTTCGAGAGACTAAAACTAGACTAAAACCTTTTGAGTTTTCGTCGGACTAAAACTAGACGAAAACTATCAAGGATAGAAATGACTAAAATGGGACTAAAACGAGGAAGCATTTCGTCAAAATGACTAAGACTAAAACTAAATCTAAAATGCCTGCCAAAAACAACACTGCACTCTACCATAAATGCCTGACTGGTGGAGTGCTGCAGAGATGGTGGTCCTTCTGTAGGGTTCTCCCATCTCCTCAGAGGAACGCTGGAACTCTGTCAGAGTGACCATCGGGTTCTTCGTCACCTCCCTGACCAAGGCCCTTCTCCCCCGCTTGCTCATTTCGGCTGGGCGGCCAGCTCTAGGAAGAGTCCTGGTGGTTCCAAACGTCTCCCATTTCTTAATGATGGAGACCACTGTGCTTTTTGGGATCTTCAATGCAGCAGATATTTTTCTGTAACCTTCCCCAGATCTGTGCACCGATACAACCCTGTTTTGGACCTCTATAGACAATTCTTTCGACTTCATGGCTTGGTTTGTGCTCTGACGTGCTCTATCAGCTGTGGGATCTTATATAGACAGGTGTGGCTTTCCAAATCATGTCCAATCAGCTGAATTTGCCACAGGTGGACTGCAATCAAGTTGGAGGAACATTTTAAGGCTGATCAGTGGAAACAGGATGCACCTGAGCTCAATTTTGAGTTTTATAGCAAAGGGTGTGAATACTTATGTATATGCAACATTTGAGTGTCTTATTTTTAATAAATTTGCAAAATGTTCTAGAAAAGTTTTGCGCTTTGTCAGTATTGGGTATTTTGTGTAGAATTTTTGAGGGAAAAGGGGAATTTAATTTATTTTGGAATTATTTTGGAGTGAGGCTGTAAAATGTTGAAAAAGTGAAGTGGTTTGAATACTTTCCAGATGCACTGTAGTTTACTGCCCCAAAAAGTCACTTTGAGGGTCTCTGATAAAGTGCTATATGAAATCTGATCAACCAAATAAATTAGAATTTTAAGCACAAGAAAATAATTTATATCTGATTAATTACTTTATAACAGCAAATACTACAGAGATAGAAAATGTACCTAACATTTTGAGTAAAACGAGGCTCCTGCCTATGAAAAACAAGTGGACTTTACTTAATTTGTTTGAAAAAATATAACTTTAAACTTGGATGTAATTGAGTAAATGTTACTTAATATCTTCACATCTGTTATGTTTTATGGAAAGTAAAATTTACTTGATACTGGCAAGTGAGTGTTAATTGACATTACAGCATTAAATTTTCCTTAAATCATGTGTGCAAATACTAACAATATATATATATTTTTAAGTAAATCTTATGAGTTATTTTTTTCAGTGCAATAGTTCACAACTCAAGACACGACCCACAAAATCACAATTAAAGCTGACAATAAAATGACAAAAACATTAAGGATTAAAATCAAGTCATGATAAAGTGCTCTAGACAACAACCATTCTAAAACAATACTCTGCAAAGTGCTAAAATGCATTTGAGTCTCCCTAAAATCATACATTATATAGTAAAGTGAATCATCTAATGCTCATTTTGTTAAAAAGTTTAATATCTGCAGGTACAACAGTATTTCTGTGGTGTTTTGTTCTCCTTTTAGGAGCGACAAAGCAACACTGTAAACAGAGAAGCTGTAACTCTGAGTTTAGAGGGTGAGATGAGTCATGGTAGACAGAGCTTGCTTCCAGCCTCTCACAGGTATTCACAGTGAAAGGACAAAGTCTTTTGGAGAGGTGGTCTGTCATAGAAAGTTTGTTGAACTCTGAGTGAAAGCAGAGGGAGGTGAAGTTTGGATCCTGAGTTCTGACAGGAAGCTGCTCTGGTTTTATTCACAGTGGTCCTGTTCATGATGCAGCCTGCATACAATTACCATTAATGTGGCTGCAGCTTTGCAACAATGTGTGTGTGTGTGTGTGTGTGTGTGTGTGTGTGTGTGTGTGTGTGTGTGTGTGTGTGTGTGTGTGTGTGTGTGTGTGTGTGTGTGTGTGTGAAAGAGAAAGAGAAAGAGAAAGAAAAAGAGAGAGAACTTGTAATGCGCATATTAAACACAGTGACGGTGAAATCGGGTAATGTGGGGTGATGTAAACTCACACAGAGAGGAGAGGGGGGTCTAATAGAGAGGAGAAAGAGGCTGAGCTGAGGAGGTGCTGCCAGTCTGCACGTACGCCACCACATGAGGGGGGTGGAGGGGGGGTGGGGGCTGGCAGAGCGGTGACAGGGTGAAGTCTCACGTCGCCTGTTGGCACGCAGAGATCTGAGCAGATCACGTCACAGAGCGGGCATGAATGCTCTTTGTGGGACATGATGAATGTAATCATTCATGTCGATTGGAGGGAGCTAAATTTGAGCTGATGAGGATGGGGAGGGTGGCGGCCATCAAAAGGTCCTCTCTGGTCAGGGAAGGTGATCTCTGTCAGCTGAATGTGGCATCTAAATCACTCTGTGAATCATTAGGTTCATCCTGTCCTACTGGTGTCCTCCTGAGCTTCATCTCCAGCTCCAACTGGAACACTTCACCCAGCCCAGACGGCTTTATGGGTCACCAGGGACCCAGCATGGAGAGGAAGCCAAGTGGGAAAATCCTCTGATCTGAGCTCCGCTGCAGGAGGTTTGACAGAAAGAGTGTCTGTGCTTTAACAGACACTGTGATCTTACCATATATGATACTACAGCTCCTATTCCACTCACAACACATTAATTTAAACACGCCAGAAAACCCAACAGCTGTGGCAGCAACACAGACTATCATTAATTTATGTATTTTCTTGTTAATGTATGCAGGCCCTCACTCAAAATGCATGACTGGGCCTTTAATGCAAGGACGGATTCAGCCATAAAAAAAAGAAGCATGCATTTATGAGTCAAACAGAGGAAGGTTAGAGTTTGCACATTATAACAGAGTTTCTACAAATGCTGGTTTCTATGGTGTCTTATAGACAGCCAGCACTTTGTTTCTGCAATTGATTACTGAACTACACTTTAAATTTGAACAGTGAGTCTTGAAGACTTTTATTGTCTTGAATGACCTTTGCAAGACTGTACATGTTTTATTGAATTATGTATTGTATTGTCTTGTATTGTATTGTTTGTTTTATTTGTGGACCCCAGGAAGAGTAGCTGCTACCTTGGTGGCAGCTAATGGGGATCCGTATGAATAAAGAATGAATAAAGAATGAATAAAGAATGAATAAAGAGGTTGCAGTGTGAGAGCTGGCAGGTGTGTGGCTGGAACTGCTGAGGATCCACAGCTTGCAGTATGAAAAGATCTGGAGCACCTCCTACAGGAGAAACTGAGTCAGTTGGTATGCTCTTTTTGAGCTTCTCTGTGTGTTAAACTCTGCTGTTATTGTAATCTTGATATATCACATAGATCCAGTGGTGGACAAAGTACTCAACTCCATCACTTGAGTAAAAGTAAATATACTCCTAGTCAAATTTTACTCCAATACAAGTGAAAGATGCTCAGTAAAATTTTGACTTAAGTTAAAGTTTTGGAGTATCTGTTTTTGAAAATACTTAAAGTACAGTTACGTTTTTATGTTAATGCCTTATTGTGTTGTTGCCACAATGAATTTACAGAACATAACAACTGAGACTACCTGCTGGATGACCTGCTTGTAGAACCTGTAGAACGAAAAACTTGTAGGTTATGCTTCGAAGCCTAAAGAAATAACTAAAACCCAAGTGAATCGACAAATCGACACAATTCGTTGCTTTATTTGTAAGTGCAAGTTAAAGCTCTGCTGTGCAAAGCAAAAGCCATTCATCAACAACATCCAGAAACACCGCTGGCTTCTCTGGGCCCGAGCTCATCTAAGATGGACTAATGCAAGGTGGAGAAGTGTTCTGTGGTCTGACGAGTCCTCATTTCAAATTATTTTTGGAAATAGTGGACGTCGTGTCCTTCAGGCCAAAGATGGAAAGAACCATCTGGACTGTTATCGATGCAAAGTTCAAAAGCCAGCATCTGTGATGGTATGGGGGTGCATTAGTGCCCAAGGCATGGGTAACTTCCACATCTGTGAAGGCAACATCAATGCTGAAAGGTACATACAGGTTTTGGAGCGACATATGCTGCCATCCAAGCAACGTCTTTTTCATGGATGCCCCTGCTTATTTCAGCAAGACAATGCCAAGCCACATTCTGCACGTGTTACAACAGCGTGGCTTCGTAGTAAAAGAGTGCGGGTACTCGTCTGGCCTGCCAGCAGTCCAGACCTGTCTTCCATTGAAAATGTGTGGCGCATTATGAAGTATAAAATATGACAACGGAGACCCCAGACTGTTGAACAACTGAAGCTGTACATCAAGCAAGAATGGGACAGAATTCCACCTTCAAAGCTTCAACGATCAGTCTCCTCGGTTCCCAAACATTTATTGAGTGTTGTTAAAAGGAAAGGTGATGTAACACAGTGGTAAACATGCTCCTGTCCCAACTACTTTGTCACGCGTTGCAGCCATGAAATTCTGAAGTTAATTATGATTTGCAAAAAAAAAATAAAGTTTATGAGTTTGAACATCAAATATCTTGTCTTTGTAGTGTATTCAGTTGAATATAGGTTGAAAGGGATTTGAAAATCATTGTATTCTGTTTTTATTTACGTTTATCACCATTTCCCAACTTCATTGGAATTGGGTTTTGTATCTGCCTCAAGTGGACTGAATCTGGACGAAGCAATGTCAGTGTGCTCCAGGATTTGCATGTCAGGCTTTGACCCAGCAATCACCATAGTTACTGGGTTGTGAACATAGACTGTATATAGAATGGACGCCGTCTGCCTCCTCGCGGGGTGAAGCCACTCCGAGAACAGCACCCTCTGTTGATGGGCTGCAGTATAGGTCATAAATCCCGCCTCCGCCAGCAAAGCTTATGGAGCTGTGGACCAAATTTAGAAATTAATTACACAGAACATAAATTTTTCTCCCCCCTGCTTGGGATTTTGACATGTAATTATTGTAAGACTGGTTTGTGCTCAAGTCCTCTTTTTTCTGTGCAGCTCCGTTTTTAAAAGTTATTGGGGGTTAATGTTTTCTATGATTGACACCTGATACAGCCTATGGGCGTTCAGGGATTGAGTCGCTCTCCCGGGGGATACACTGTTTGAGCCGAGCGTCATCATAGTGACTCTGCGACTGAGAGTACCGAGAGCTTTTTGGCTTCAAATCCGTATACAGGCGGTAGGCGGAACCAGGTTGTCCATAGTATATACAGTCTATGGTTTTGAACAAAACTTCCAAAAAAGAAGACAGAATGTTAAAGGGGACCTGCCATCAAAAATATTATTTTGTGTGTTTTTTGTGTCAGATAAGGTCCATATTATGTCCATCTTATGTTGTAAATGTGAAAACAAACGTCTTTTGCATTCTGTAAAGCTTTAAAATAAAGGAACGGGTAAACCAGGCCAATTGAAAAAGCAGGTCCTTTTGACGTCACGCTGACCTTGCTCATTATTATTCAGGAGCGCGTTCTCAGTGAGCTGTGCCCACTCTCTCGTTCTTGTACTCAGTCACAGTCAACATCATTCTACAGCCAGAGCGAGACGCAGCTACCACTGTACCCGCTATGGGTCTCTTCCAAACGACCAGTGTTTCCTTGGGTTCACTGCCGGGAAAATGAACTTAAAGCTGGACAGAATGAATGAGAAAACACCGCTGGAGATCTCTGGCTTCTTCTTCAACTTCCACCTCCTCTTCGGACTCGGGGTATAAAATATATGGTTCAATACCTGCCATTTTTAGCCTTTAGCATAAGGTGACCAGACGTCCCCGATTTCCGGGGACAGTCCCCGAATTGGATGACCTGTCCCCGGCAAAAGCTGTCCCCGATTTAAGCGTTTCATGAATGACAGCAAAAATGTTGCGTGTGAGCTCAAACAACGGTTATTACAGTAGCCGAATGGGTAGGAAGCACAAGTTAGCAGTCCTGAAGAACAGTTCTTACGGGGGTTATTACAAGGGGCATGCGCTGCTACTAAATAGTACCGAGATGTTGTCTGTGATCACACAGCTCCTGCACCCTCCCTGCCGCCGTCGCTGCACCGAATATCCCCGGATATCATTACACACATTAGCACACATTAGCAAAATGGATAAACCGAAATCCGAACCTCCACTGCTGAGCCAATCAGAGCACAGCAGGCTTCACAGCAGCGATCCAATCAGAGCAAAGCTCATTACCATAAATGTTAATGAGCCAAAATCCGTTGGTTTTCCTGAAAGGTTTTTTAGGCATACTAAAAACAAACCATCAAATAACTTTTCAGCTAAAATTATGTTGCAAACATGATCAGAGGACATCAAGGATATTGAAAAAATGATAAAAATGGGTATGAAATTTTGATGGCAGGTCCCCTTTAAAAAAAAAATGAGGAGGCAGCCTATCATATGAACTAAGGGAACAGCGCTTCAAAGTAGTCTGTGTTTGCAGCTAAGTAATGGTTTTTTAGGTATGTGACATAGTTAGCCAACCACAAGATGCCCCATTCAGTTGTATTTGCCTGAATAACATGTCACAGCATGAGCTTGCACAGCTTTCTGCACTTTCAAAGAGAGATTGTTGTTCAGCAGGCTATCATAGCACTCTAGCATTTTTTCAGTCTGCTGGGATCAAAATTTACCAATAACCAAATTCTCTTTGGAAGACTTTTGAAAAAGGCTCATGCAGGACTCTATTAGTTTGATGTTTGCTGTCAAAAACTTTGGGGAAACATTTCTTTGGGGAAATATTCACAGCGTAATAAAACATTTTCTGCTCAGCAGTAACTACAGTATAATAGTTACTGTTCAGACAGGCTCATGGACTGACCAACCTGGACAAAGATCAGGACTCATATTATGTTGCAGCCAAGAAATAATTGTGTTAGTTTTGGTATTATTTGAGCAAAGATTCTTGATTTCCAAAAGCAAATTGATTTATCATATTTTGACTTCTAAGTGGACTGAAGGTCCCAGTGCAGCAAATATTCATCATTATCCAAGGACAGCGACGTGCTGACAGTACTTCCCCCACGAGCAGCAGTCTGAATGATTTGCCTTTGAATTTGAACACTTGTCATGCTCAACTATGGTGTTGCTGTAGGTATCATTCACACAGAGGGGAGTTTCTTTGTGTCAAACATCTGAGTATTTTTGTACTGGGACAAAGATGTCTCTGCCCATGAATGAAAATTAAAATGGACAAGTATTGTAGAAGAACGAATGTTGGTAGAAGGAAAAATTGTGGCAAGTTGAGGGGGGCAGAAGGACAAGTCAATAAAATTTGTAGGTTAACAGGCTAAAGTCAGGCTGTGTAAACACATCAACATCAAATATCAATGCTAGGCAGCTTCTCTAGAAGATAAATGAAAAATATAAATCATTAAGCAACATAAAATGAGTATGTCTACCACATAAAACAACACTGAATCTAGCCAGTGAATTATTTATTCATTATTTGAAAGTTTAATAGATGCAGGCATAAATGTTTATCTGTTTAGTTGTTGCACGTTGACTGAGTAGATGAGCTTCTTCACTCGTTGTATTTATTAAACGCGCAAGAAATAGCTCTCATATTTTGTTTTGTTTTTTTTCATTCAAATTAATTGTTTTCTTAAAACTGTTAAAAGATTATATGACAACCTTTTGCATAAAAAATGTTCAAAATTGCCAGGTGGAAGGAAATATTAATATTAGCTTTATCTTCAATCAGAATTTCCTGAGAACAATAGATTATTATAGTGAGTGTCAATTCTCAGATCATCCAGTCATTCAACTCAATGAAATACACTGCTTACTGAGGGCGGAGACTGCTGTGTATAGAGACCATCAGTTTTTGACTAATCCCATTAATTCACCCTGGATGCAGCCAGCGGGGGCATATGAGGTCAAGTGTCTTTCTGAACGACACTTCCATGTAGACAGAGAGACCTGGGATCGAACCTCTAATGTATTTCAATTGAGAGACAGCTGACTCCACCAACTGAGCCACAGCCGCCTCCTCTGGAGTCATATCAGTCACTTATTTAGCAGAAATCCTAGTCCTTTAGTGTCCACAGCAAGAGAGAGCTTCTTTCGGCAGGAGGAAGCTGTCTCAAACTGGATGGACTGGGAGACAGAGATGGACAGAGACCAACAATCAGAGTTAATGTCCAGCTCAGTTTTAAACAGTTTACAGCTCAGGGTCAGGAGATGTACCGTCTGTTGGCCTGATATCATCACGCCACATCCAGCAGGCGGGGCCAGACCAAGCATCCACACACTCCCCTAATCACGACAGCCACCATGACATTCAAACCAACATGCTCACATTGTTTCATCTGCTCCCAGTGAAACATCAGGGCCTGTCTCTTCATGGGACACAAATTCCTCTGGATGTGTCCTCAGCCCCTTGGTCGCCGGCTCTGTTTGTGCAGAACCTTGTTTCATTTGAATATCAAAGAGTTTAAGAGGGTGGCCAGACAATTTCAGCTCTCAGCTCTGAGTCTTACACAGAGAAATCTGACGGAGGCAACAATGCAGGCTTTGTCAGAGAGAAGGAAGAGTGAGGTTTCTCATGTTCATGAAGGAGGTGAAATCTTACAAAGCTCGTCTTTTTTTCTATTTCTGTCGGCTCCTGAATTTATTAAGCAAAAGGGATAAAGGGGTACACCGGTCATGATGTAGTCTCAGCTACAGAGCAGGGGTAAAAGGTGATATAAACACACACAGTGTCAGGAATGTGTGGAGAAGAATCAAAAACAAGATTTTATCACAGTTCTGATTGTCTCCTTCAACACAGGTGGAATATTACCTGCACTGAATTATCAATTTTTCTTCTTTATCACCTCTTTGGCATGGGGGATGTTCAGATGTACAACTGGGGGAGGGGGTCCTTTGAAAAAGTTAGACACAGAGGGCTCTATTTTTGTACCCCAAAGTGGTGCAGTGCAGGGTGGCGCAGTGGTATTTTAGTCTGGTGAAGCCCGGCGCACAATCAGTTTGGTATTTTCATAGACTGAGGCGCTCCAAGGTGTGCTAAGCTGGGCATGATGGCAGGGTAGGGGGATGTGTCGACAGAATCAGCGGGCACAGTGACATTTCAATGCCTGCAGGCGGTGAAGAAAGTGCACTGAAAGCTCGCCGATTCAAACCTGGTCAACTTTCATTGCAGGCGAGCGCAGCAGGTCTCGTGGTATTTTGGTAGACCAGCGGAGCAGTGCGCATATATCACCGATGCCTCACCAGCACGTTTCCACAGTGTCAGGCACATTTCTGAGCAATAAATAATCAACAACAACCAATATTCAGTGCAACAAGTTGAGTCAGCACATACATTTAGATCTACATCGATATATTCTGATCTACATCTTATTTGATGAGCGCGACTGCTTGCTTCTCTAGTCAAGCTTTTTGGTTGAGGTTTGGGCATGGAGATGTAGACGTGGATCTAATTCAGTAACTGTTGAGTTAGCAGTTAAAAGTCCTGTTGGGGTCCACATGGATCAGAGATTGACCATCGGACTGTTCTGTGTTACTGATAAACCCATAACCAGGAAGTATTTCTCATCTACTCAAATTGATACACAGTCAGGAGTCCGCATATGGTGTTTTATTTTGAAATACCGGATGACATGCGCAGTTTCCATGCTTGACTTTCTGGCTAGAACGTTCTTCTCTGTGTAGATTGACACGTATTGAAAGCATAGAGCAGAAAAATGGACTTGGCATGTATCTTTAGCAGAGCTCATCTATTTCCTCTGATTTCTTTATTTTAATGGTTTTTCCTCAAATTTGTTGCCTTACTCTTGCATTGCCAACCAGATCATCTTTATTTTTCCCTTCCTTAATTTACTTAATTGTAACACTCTCATGGTCCTTTTGGTCTCAGTTCAGTTCAGTTTCATGTTGTTGGGTTCTTGTCTTGCCTGGGCTCTAGTGGGTTTTAACAGTTTCTTGTAATGATAAACCAAATTGTTGTTTGTGTTGTTTTAGTGTTGTTGGATCAGAAGTTTCACTTGGTTTAGGGCACATTTAAACTTTAAAATTGTCTAAAGCCGCGTTCAGACCAAACACGACCTGAAGCGACCTAGTCGCTTGGTCGCTGTAATTGCGTCGCGCCCTGGTGTGTTCACACCGGGTCCAAAGCTGCAGTCGCGGAGGTCACAGGACGTGGCTGGTTGCCGATGACCCGCTTCTCCTACCTTCCTTCTCCCTCCTTTTCTCCCTCATATATACATCCCACAGCCCCTTCCAGCGCTTGCGGCACACATCCACTGCAAAGACACACACAGACGTTGAAACATGTAGCCTAGCAAGCAGGGGAAGTTTGCTATGTTTTCAGAAAATAGTCTGCTCACTGAAATAAATAAACAAACAAACTTACCGGAAAGCCCGACATCATGGGCCACCTTCGCCCATGCTTCTTCCTTGGAGGTGCGGTCCCGGTAGAACGCGCACCCCACATTGTACAGGACCGGGTGATAACACACGGCAGTGATAAGCTGCTCCTCCATTGTGATTCTTCTTCTCCTCCTCCTTGCTTCGTGGGTGTGTTGATGTCAGCAGAGCCCTGATTGGCTCACATGGCACGGAGTCGTGGAAAGTTGCTCCCAAAATTCAAATATTTGAACTTTGGGAGCGACACGACTTGGCGTCCTGTGATCTCGGGTGACCTACGCGACCATGCGCGACCTGGTCGCGTAGGTCACTCACGTTGCCGGCAGCCAGCGGTCGCCTAGTCGTGTCAGGTCGCGGCTGTACATAGACTTTGCATTGGGAGTCGTTGCTCAAGTTGCCGAGGTCGCGTTTGGTCTGAACGCGGCTTAATACTCATTTTATTTAGGGAGAGCCAACATAATCATGCTTGTTATCCTAAAAATTGTGCAGCCCTAGCTGCAGGTTTACCCAACACTGAACCAGCCACTGTCAGAGTTCTCAAAAAAAAGAAAAAGTCATCAATGAAGGCTATGTTTTTAGCAGATAAAGGTTTTTGTGGTTTTGGTTAAAATAATTTAAAATGAACTTAATTGATCAGGGTTGTGTCAGAAGAAACCATTGCAGTAGAACTAAAGGAGAAAATCAGCATTTCCTTGTGAACTTCTGTCTTTCCAAAAAGGATTTTGCAACATTAAAATCCCATAATCTCCCTCCTTTCCTCCTCTCTTTACTCTCCTCCAGCCTTAAACTTTTTCAAACTGGCTGTTTGAGCACACATAATAGCAGGTTAAGCTGTGTGTTTCCATGTTAAAGACTGTGAGCTGTTTGTTCTGTATCTGATATCTGTTACATTTTAAAAAAAACAAAGTGCATGTCCAAAAGGAGATCAGAACAGAACATTAAATCTAAATAAGATCACTGAGGCATTGAAGCTTTCAGAGAACAGATTAGGAGCTGGACTGATGACAGCGTGTTGGAGGAAATGAAGGATGACGGTTCAAAAAGCCTTTTCAGCAGATGTGTGTCGCACTCACTGAGACGCTGACGGTAGAAAAACCAAAACTGGGCTGTAGTTGGTTGGTTTGGTTAGTTGGAGCTGCAGGAAGACGTGTTTTACTGTCTCTGGGATATTTGTGGTTGTGAGGGGTTGGGGATGGTGGTGTGAAAATGCATTTCTTTAGTTTGTAAACATCCTTACTCCCTCCTAGCTGAATAGAGAAGTGTGCTTGTGGTCTGGAAAATGTTAAACTTTTAATGTATGACAGAGTAAAAAGAAAAAAAAAGTGGGGTTCAACTGTGCAGGGCTGATTCATCTGTTTTCTATCAACTACATCAGGGCTGAACTCTTTCTGAGATGACACGCTCAAACAAGCAAATAAAAGAGGAAAACTGCATTCAGCGTATGCAGTTCATATACATGGATCCAAGAAAGGCCACATGTTCAATTTAAGGCACGCAACTTGGACTAATTCAGATATGCAGACGATTCCTAAAGCAGGCATCTCATTCTGCAAACTGAGGGTTAAAAATGTGGTTTAAAACTTTCCAAAGTCAGATGTTGTTTAACGAATCTGACTCTGTGTTGTTTAAATAAGGAGAAACTTGTTCAGATTTAACTGTTCAACAGACAACAGACAAATGTAGCATGTGATGTAGCCCATAGCAACAGAAATGTAAACAAAGGGTTGTGTAGTCAAGACCAGCCATGTTAAATGACATCTCATGGTCCTATATTACAGCTGTGCAGAGAGAGGATCGAGGAGAGAGGAAGGAAGTTGGAGGAATGACAACCAGAGATTTAACAGGAGCAGCCTTCACACAGCCCTGTACCAACCATCACTCTCTGATGGGAGAAAAGACAGACCTTAGAACAATCAGGGTTAGGTTTGAAGCAGATCATTCTGTAATTTGGTTCATAATGAGCTGTGAATAAAACGTTTGGCCCAAACCTTCATTTGCCTTCATGAATTTGCAGAATGTACGTAGATCATCCGAACGCGCAAAATACTGAGAGGAGCAGATGCAAATGAAATCATTTAGCACCTGCAATGTGATTTATCAAACCCTGGAACTGATTGTGGTCGCCGTTTTGCGTCTTTATTTAGCACGTTTGAAAGGCACAAACAAACTGGTACAGCGTCACGCACAAAAGCCTGCGGTCATTGTGGGAAGAAGGAGGCAAAAGTGCAATGATAGACATATTTAGACAGTCAGAAATAAAAATAGTAGAGAAGTAGTAATAGTAATGCCATATTTGAGCTGCTGGGTGACCTAAGGGCTGATTTAGAGCCAGTCACAAAAATGATCCATGTCATATATCCTATTGAAAAACTCCTTGTAACACTTAATCTTCCTGTGTCTGGATCATTCCAGCACACCATCACAGTTAGTGCATCTCTCAGAGTAGTTTTTTCTAGTGTGCTGTCCAACAGGTTGAAAGCTATGTCACACAGGATGGGCAAGTATATTCACTTCCTACACACTCCGGACGCAGTAAATGACAGAAAACACGGCAGGCCTTGGAGAACTGTTGACTCTTGGAGAATGAGTGCTGTAGAGCTCCAGGTCTAAAAGCTTGTGACTTATTTAATTTTTCTGGTAAATGGTGGCTCACATAAATAATTAGGTTAAACACGCAACAGACAAAAAACATTTATCTGATTGTTTTATTGATTTTAAATTATTTTAATCTCTTTTTTCATTTCTTATATATTTTCTTGCATGGAGAAAGCACTTTGAATTGTATAAATGGTGCTGTAGTCTACAAATAAACTTGCCTTGCCTGCCTTGCCTTATACATAGTTCCCCAAAATGATATGTGCAACTCCATGGCTTCAAACGTCATTTTTGGCTAAAACCACAACATGCACACTTATAGCATGTGCAATTTTTTAGTTTGCGCATGCAATTTAGCGCCCTTTATTTGGGGTCTTAGTAGATCAGACCCTAAGAGTGATTTATAAAACGAACATGAAATGGCAAAGAAGTAGAAGAGCCTGCCCTTGTGAGGGATACTGGGGTACCCCCCAAAGCCAGACCTTAGGAGGATGCTGGACTGGTAAGGTGACTGGGCTTTTCTCCATGGGGCTTAAGCCCAGAGAAACAACATGCAGTTGCCTTGTGGCCCCACCACATTGGCATGAGGTAAGGTGCACTGTAAGCATGGCTTACACAGATGGCTCTCAAGGCAGTAAGCCAAGGCCTTGCTGGCAGCATGGACTAAAATTAATAGATGGACTGGTAAATTGATGTAGCATCTGCAGTACTGTTGGGGTTGTGCCAGATTGTCAAGGGGAAAAGAGAAAATCTTTCAATTTACCAGTCAATCTTTGTTCAAAACCCTGACCTTTGGTCATTAACCCTGGGTTGCAACTGGAAGAATGAGATCAGGGATTCAAGCAGCCTAAATTAGTTTCCTCAGAAGGGTGTCTAGGCTCAGTCTTGGAGATAGGTTTAAAAGCTCAGACATCTGGAGAGTAGAGCCTCTGAATGTTCACACCATTAGGAGTCAGCTGGGGTGTTCTGGGCATTGGACAAGGATGCCTCCTGGACACCTTCTTTTGGAGTTGTTCTGGGCATGAGGAGACCTCAGGATAGGCCCAGAGTTTACTGGAGGGTCTACATACCTTACCTGGCCTGGGAACACCTGAGAACCCCAGTGGAGGAACTGGGGAGTGTTGCTGAAGGGAGAGTGGTCTTACTTGGACTGCTGCCCCCACAATTTATGGCTGGCTGGCTGGCTGGCTGGCTGGATGGATGGATGGATGGATGGATGGATCACAGACAGACAGACGGACGGATGGGTTGATGGACATGCTAAAAGACATTTCCCTCCATTTCTATCCGATCTCATGCAGAGGATATACCAGATGATATTTGTAACAAATACAAAGGGTGTGATTTGGAGGTAAGACCATTCACTTCAGTTCAACCTCTGATAGTCAAAAAAGATGCAGAAGATGTTCAAATGATGTTTAAAAATATTAAATGTTCCAAATCAACAATAAGAACTTAAGATACGATCCTTCACGTGGAGTTAATAAATGAGGAGAGAAATGTTTGAGATCTGAAGTTCACCATTTTCGAAAGTGAGACCTTTTTTTTTTTTACGTCATTTTACGAAAACACCTCATTATGCTGTTGTTTATGAGCGTGTGTGTGTGTGTGTGTGTGTGTGTGTGTGTGTGTGAATTTACAGCTGTTTTCATGTTCTCTCAGAGGTGGCTCACGTTCCCACACCGTGTAAACTCTGATGGAGAACATGATGTGATTTATGTGAAGATGAAGACCATCTGATTGGTTCAAGGTGGGGTTCAATAACAGAACCTTATGTATGTACACTGTTATTGATCCCTGCTTGTGCACAAACTGTACATTTACACAAACACAGACACACACAACCACACATACAAAAAGCCATCTGGCCTACATAGACTAAGAGCTTCCTCTGCCAGCAGGGCTGTAATGAAATCAAGATGCAGACAAGTTCCTGGGAAAGAAACATGGGAAGGAAATGTTCACAAACACAAACACAGTGTTTCAAACCTGTTTCACACACACCACAAAAACACACATAATACAACAAAAGCTGTGCACCCTTTTCAAAGAGAGCAGGATTTAAAACAGACACAAAGTCATGTCTCTATCAGCAGAATAAGGAACATACAGAATATCAGTGATTAATATCCTGGTTGATTTGGAGTTAATGTGCTTTTAACCAGACATGTTGTGCTGTCATCACCCTCATTAATAAAATGAGTTAAGCCTATTTCTATATTTGTTTGCACTTTAAAACCCAGTTATGATAGTGTGACATCAAGTTGAACTTCTTGTAAAAACAGTAAACCATGTATTTTTTAGTCAATAAAATATCTAAATGCATCATTGCTTTAGCTTCCAATAAAGACTGTCTGGTTCCTGACTAAACTTCAGGCTGTAAACATGTTTATTACTCAAGTCAAATCGGACATTTGAACATGGGGCTCTATGGGGACCGACTCACTGTGATGAAACTAAAAAGTTTTTTCAAAAACACAAACTCCCAGCTCACTGTAAACGCCCAGAGTGGACATTACACCGCTTAGCCAGCAATGTTAATTCATAACATGCAACAAAAGCACAAAAACCACAGTTAAAGTTTATCAATCAGCTCAGTGATTCAGAGGTGTTATGCAGCCCAGTGTAAAGCAGAGAAATGAGCTCTTTGTGAACGGTACGCCAACAACTGTATTCAAAGACAGACATAAAGGCCCCCAAAAGAATAAAAATAAACTTACTTGACCTGTGTTTTGATTTTAGAGTTCAATCCATGCTCTATCTGTGAACATGGGAAAAGAGGAACCTGCACCGACCTATACTGCAGCCAGTCAGCAGGGGGAGCTCTGAATCTTTTGGCTTTGCTATCAGGGAGCTGTCATACTGTTCATCTTTATCTCTATCCCAGATAAAAGTATTACAACATAAACTGTAAATTTGGCTTTTCTCCTGGGTGACATAAAGAATGAGGTCTGTTAGATATCATACAGCACTGACAAACATAGATGTGTTGGTTACAGAGGGGTGTGCAAACCAGTCACAGCTGGAATAAATATATAACTTTCTGCATGTCATGATATTTTATAAATGTCTGCTCAGAGAGTTTAAATCCTCACACTCAGTAGGATCCAGAGCTCATCCATCTCTTGTGATTCCTGCACACATGTGCATTCACATGCTGATCCATCATGTTTACAAGTTTAAACAGGGACACCATGGTCAGATCCGTGTCCTACTGAATCCTCTGAAATGAATTTAATTATCATACAAGTCAACATTTAAACCCTGAAAATCACTTTTTAGCTTTGATGATGAACCGAACAGGGAAAACAGCCAATAGTTGAACCTCCACTCCTCATCTGAGCTTCAACACAATCATTGATGATTTCACCTGAATGAGGTCCCTCCACCTGCTCCCTGTCTGTCTGTCCTTACAGCCTGGACAAACTGAGTACCAGTTTATCACTGAAAGCACAAAATATGAAACAGGTCTCACTGAGCAGCAAATGTCTAAGTTTCCAGAGCTGAAGGGGAAAACACACACAGTGAAAAACAAAAATGAATGTCTGTGATGGAGAAACATCAAAACTCATTCTCCAGATCAGTACACAGTAGAGTGCACAAAACAACAGATTATTTTAATTATCATTACTATTATTATTTATTTATTCATTTATTTTTCTGGCGCTTTTTAAGTTTGAGAAATGTCTATGTGGGGGATAAGTCTTTGGTCAGTGGTCACAGGATGTGTATGTCAGAGGGGGATTGATGTCCAGGTGTGAGGGTCAGGTTAGTAACTGTGGCCCATTCAAGGCAGAATCCAGAAAGCTGACTTTAAAAGGGATCTGTGTGCTCGGTCTGTGTTTCCAAGTCAATTTATAGATGAGATAAATCCAGTCTCCTGTAATTATTTGTCATCATAATAATAATGCATTTTATTTAAAAGCACCTTTCTGGACACTCAAGGACACTGTACAGGGCATTAAAAACACAGTTAGAAACACAATTAAAATAAATAAAAACAACATACAAGTATGAAGGTGGATAGTTAAAGAGAATATGCTATTTGAAACAGATGTCATGTCTCATGTCTCCTGTTGATGCGGGGGGGGGGGGGGTATCCTGGCTGACCTGGACAGGTCACCAGTCCATCACACAGTTGACATACTGAGAGCTACAGCTAAGGGCACTTTAGAGTGACAAGCTAATCACAGGAACATGTTTTTGGACTAAGAAGTTGTCACTTTCTTATTGAATGGTACTTTAATTTTAGCATGTGGCGGTTCAACTGGCCATTTGTATGTTAGTTAGTTTGTTAGTTCGTTAATTAGTCAGTTTTATTATCCCTTCTGGGAAATGAATTTTCACAAATTCTGTACAAACATTAGAGCCAAACCACCAAATATAACTTACCAGTAAAAACAATTGTTTGTGACTAAGGTGGTCTGGTCTAAAGTATGTAAATAGTGCCTGTATGTGCTGGGTTTGAGTCTGAATGAATGCCTAGTTATGATAATACCACTTTGTTTTAGCAGACTTGATGTACAGATTTATTATGTTTAGGTTATATAAAGGTGGAACAAGAGGGTCTTAGTGTGTCATCCTATGTAAATACTGTATGCAGTTCCCACCAACTCTCATCAGACGGTGAGGACTTCACTCTGACTGTGCGTGGCTGTTTGTGGGCGGGTGTTTTTGAATTTGATTTTAATTGTCCTGATGTTCATTAGTATTGAGAGGGGACAGTTTAGCCCCAAAGGAATGCACAAAAGCTCGTTTGAATACACACAAACAACCCTGGAGCACAGAGATGGGGTTTGCTCTGCAGTGCAGCTTGTGGTGCATGTAATCTCAGTGTGTGCCTCATGAATCAGACAGTGTCTTTGTGGCTCATTTGCAGGGTCAGCAGGAGCAAAAGCCATGCAACCCTTTTGTGCATCCAGTTGTCTTTGTTTCAGAGTGTTTTATGATAATAGGGGACAGAAACATCTCGCCCTCTCTCTTTTGAACACAGAGCTCTGTGGTATGGATGTGGAGGTCAGATGCATCCAGAGGACATGGATCCTTCAGTCCTCCTGTTGTGAATAAATAGACTTGTGTCTCTTCTTAGACCCACTTTTTTATTTGTGGACATATTCAAGAGGTTTTCATGTCAACAAGCGTTACATAACCAGAGCAGATTTATTTAAGACCTCCAAACTATTTTGTTCTACTACTTGTGAATAATGATTATCTGCTGCAGAAGTGAGTCAGAACATCTGCAGGTGAACATTTATTATTACCAACAGAGATATATCTGAGAGCCAGAGACATTTTCCCAGAGTGACACAGGGAACTATTAACGTCACAGAGAACTGTGTTTAGACAAGAACAGAGGATCTGAGGACAGGCCTCAGAGATTCAAACTAAATCTGTGTCCATTAGTTTGTGTTTATTTATTTATTCGCCAGATTTTTACCGAAAACACCTGAAGACACTTTCCAGGAAGAGTTAAGCAATGAACTAAGATGGGAGACGTGACAAGGCTGCAAAAGAGAGGTCCTGGCACTGATGTACAGTACAGGCCAAAAGTTTGGACACACCTTCTCATTCAGTGCATTTTATTTATTCTCATTACTATATACATTGTAGATTCTCACTGAGGGCATCAAAACTATGAATGAACACATGTGGAATCATGTGCTTAAGAAAAATGTGTGAAATAACTGAAATGTATTATATTTTAGATTCCTCAAAGTAGCAACCCTTTGCTTTTTTGATAGCGCTGCAAACTTTTGCTGTTGTCTCAATGAGGTAGTCACCTGAAATGGTTTTTACTTCACAGGTGTGATTTGTCAGGGTTACTTTGTGACTAAGTACTTCTGTTATCAAGAGCAAAGGGTGGCTATTTTAAAGAAACTAGAATACAAAACATGTTTTCAGTTATTTCACACAAGTACAAAATTCCACGTGTTCATTCATAGTTTTGATGCCTTCACTGAGAATCTACAATGTAAATAGTCATATAAAAAAATAAAGAAAAGACACTGAATGCGAAGTTGTGTCCAAACCTTTTGCCTGTACTGTATATCACCAGTATGAAATATCAGCATCTGTCCTGGAGATATTTTAGCTTCATTTCTAATAATGGGATGGTATTAAGACATTTTGTCATAGTGAACGCTCTGTTATATTATCTAAAGAAAACCGAGATTAATCCACCATGAGACAGAAACACTTAATTTAACAGGCAAACCCTCAGACTATCAACACAGATAGGATAAAAGCTGCAAAGTGTGTTATGTGATCATTAACAGAAAAAATGGTATTTGACACCCATCTGTCTATTTGAATCAGTGAGAATAAAAATCATGTTTGTTTGTTTTTTAACCCAAAATTAGTCCAAATATCCAATGAGAAGTAAATCCCCTTCAATGGAGGACACCATATTGCACTGCTATATTTCTACAGGAGCTCAGAGCAGACAAACTAGTGAGATATATGGTTTTGTATTCAGTGAGAGGCAGTGTGAAATTCACTGTCAAATCTGTAGAGTTGCTGTGCTCTGAAGAAGTTTTTGATGCTAAAAAGTTAACAGTTGAAGGATCAGACTGATCATATACACAGGAGCTTCAACCACAAACTACACAGAAAAGAGATCCAAAGGGACTGTTTGACTTCACGCCAAAACTTTTAGAGCTCCCCCTGCTGACTATCTACAATATCAGTCATAAACCCTGCCTCCTCCATGTAAACAGATGGGACATGGGTCAAAATCCAAAATTCACATCCAGGCCATATGTTTCTTATATATGGTTTCTGTCTTTATTGTTAGTTCTTCTTATGCTGGTTAATGTCACAGTCTTCATTTTTAGATTCAACTAATTAATAAAAGAGCTGTGACGCCATGATTGACCGTTCTGTTGACCAATGAGGATCCTGCAGTACTGTCTGGGCCGGATTACTGGGATAGAAAAGGGCCGCTGAGAGGAAATAGTGACACACTAACAAAGAGTCAGTGAACTTTTGATGACTAGCAGTATTTGCTTCAAACCCACACAAGCTTCTGTTCTGTTGTTGACTGGACCCACCCGAGGGAGCTTTGGCCAAAGCAGTCTAGTTTGTTTGCTTGTTTGTGTTGCAGTTTTGACTCCGTGTACTGAGTATCCTCTATTCTTACTCCAGTTATGCCTGAGACAGGTGATTTCTGAGGAGCTCCATAGTTCACAATCAACAGACCTGGAGGGACATGATCTTGTTAACAGTTAGGGCTTCCAGTCCTGAATCTAACCTCTGGATATTTGTAAAGTGAGCCATGTCTACACACTGCACCTCTGAGCTTTTATATGATTAAGTTCAAACTATAATCGATTGATCGTATTTTATTCTTCTTTTAAGATTTTTGTATGAAAAAATGAAACACATTGAAATCACATCTTTGAGGAGACAGTGTTTAAACTATCTTTAAACTTAAAACTATGAGCAGTACAGGGGCTCCACAAGGGACAGTGCTGGCGCCATTCCTGTTCACACTGTAAACATCAGACTTCAAAAACAGCACTGAGTCCTGCCACATTCAGAAATACTCAGATGACACCACTATTGTGGCATGTATCAGAAATGAACAAGGAGCTGAATACAGAGATCTGATAAGAGCCTTCAGTGACTGGAGTCACAAAAACTGCCTCCTTCTCAACACCTCAAAGACAAAGGAGATGGTCATAGACTTCCGTAGATCCAAACCCCTTCTTCAGCCAGTGAACACCTGTTGAGTGGACATCGAAGTGGTGACATCATATAAAAACCTAGTTGTACATCTGGATAATAAGTTGGACTGGTCTAAGAATATAGACTACATCTACAGAAAGGGTCAGAGCCGCCTCTTTTGCCTGAGAAGACTCCGATCAATAGACATCTGTAGTAAGATGCTGCAGATGTTTTATCAGTCTGTGGTGGCAAGTGTTCTGTTCTACGCTGCAGTCTGCTGGGGAGGAAGCATCAAACACAAAGATGCAAGACGTCTTAACAAACAGGTGTAAAAGGCTGGCTCTGTGGTAGGACTCAAGCTGGACTCAGTGGAGGATGTGGTGGAGAGAGCTACACTGAGGAAGGTGGAGACTGTTCTAAAGAACATGGATCACCCACTTCACAACACCTTGATGGACCAAAGGGCAAATGGTGGTGGACGGCTCCTCTCTCTTCGCTGCAGGACAGAAAGATTTAGAAGATCTTTTGTACCAACAGCCATCAGATTTTATAACTCTTGTGTAAATAGTAGATAACTTTTAGAGACATGACAAATGAGATGACAGATGATTGAATTTCCCTTCGGTGGATTAATAAAGTTATTCTTATTATTTTTATTACAAAGTTGGAGAATTAAAGTCACAATAGTCATTTCTGTTCTCCACTCTCACTCTTAAAACAATAAGTGAGAATAAAAACTACATCTGTTCAGATATTAAAAGTGTTTTGGGTTTTTTTTGTTTTTTTGTTTGTTTTTTTGTGTGGTTGTAAACTGGTAGTAGTGAGGTCTTTCAGACAGTCAGACCTGATGTTCACATGTCTCTAACATTTAAACCCTGGTTGGTGCTCAGTTGGATGGTGCAGAAGTTAAAGAGAGGAGTCTTGTTTCTTCTGTTGCATGGGAAGTGAGGATCAGCGTGATTTTACTGAAGTCAGTAAATCAGGACTGATAACAGGGTTAGAGTGATGTTTCATAATGTTTCATAATGTTTCATAATGTTTCATGTGAAAACTGAAGAAACACAAAGAGCCTTAATACATGGGGGATGCTTCAGTCCTTTCCTAAAGCACAGAGTCTGTCTCAGAGTTTACAGCATCATATATCTTCTTTCTCAGAGAGCCTTAATAACATACATGTGCACTTTGAAGCTTAAACTGAGAGTTGAGACTGTGAAAGTCGCTCTGATCCTTCAGTCTCAGCTTTCTGTGTGAACTCTGCTGTCTGCTGTCTGAGGCTCTTCCAGACTTTAAGCTCAGTTTGGATAAAATAGCTTCCCAATAATGAGTTACGTAACATCTTAAATTCTTTCATTAAAGCCATATATCAAACTGTTTCCTCCTGTCACAGCTGGAAGTCATCACTGATTTTAAAGTTTCAGCTTCACAGAAACAGATACAGCTGAAGCATGTTAGTCAACACCATCAATCTGGTTTTACAGATAAAAGTCACCACAATGGATAAACAGGAGGATACACTGCTTTGTAGTGTTGCCAAGGTAACAACCTACAATCACAGGCACAAAGCAACCCTATCCAGCTTATTTCTAAAAATAAAGTTTGTCTTCCTGAGCTCCTCTCAAATCATCTTTGATTCTGAGGGTTAGGATCTGGACAGGCTCTTAGATACTCTGATCTTCTCTATGAAACAGAAAAAAAACATAGATGTCACAAAAAACAGTCATAAAGTTTATCACCTGACAGCTGCCGATCTCACAGATCGAGATTTTTTAGTTAGTTAATATTTCATTCTGCTTTATTTTTACAGCTGGTACTTTAAACACAATAATAACGTGGAACAAAAATGCCTTGTTTTAACAGTGTCAAATGTGTAAATACCAGTAAGAGCAAAATCAGATTTATTGAAAGGAATATTAAATCTTGTAATTGGGTCAATATATTTCATATTTATTATGAGCCAAGATAAATACTCAAAGATTTTTTGGGTTTTAGTTTTGATAATTTACGCCTACAGCCCTTGAAAATAAAAACCCAGGATCTCAAATTACTGGAATATGTTTTTGAAAACAAAATAAAACAAAAGTTTGAAATACATTTTCTTAATAATACCCTCAGTATAAATAAACCAAGAGGTAGATAAAAATATTCTGATATCTTGAGATATGTTTTGTTTAGCTGTAGGCCAGAATTATCAAAGTTAACTATGCTAAAAAATATAATAGTATGCATGTATTAAGTCTCAAATAGATCACAATTTCACACACTAACTCTTTAAAAGTCTTCTGATGCATCCTATATGAACCATATTTTGCAAAATTAACATCATGCTATCTATGAATACTGTCAACTAGAGACTGAGACCATAAACTCCTTAGGGAATAAATCTGGTGAAAAGGACCCGTTTCTCACCGACTGCAGTACAGTCTGCCTGATTTTCTAACAAGAGGAGTTGCCCCCTGCTGGACACTAGAGAAAATGCAGGTTTGAGGAACCTCTGTTTTTCATTGACTTGAGAAAAAAAATAGATCTTTCACATGTTTGTGTTGTTTTAGTACGTGTCAGACCGTCGTCCCAAAGAGCAGCTTTCTAATATTTCCAAGAAACACGAAGACAAACACAGTCACTACAGAAATACTGCCCAGAACTTTAAATCACTCAGACACTGAAGTGTGCTGTTCAGAGAGCAGTTAGGCTTCATAAATAAAAGAGTAAAAAAGTCTAGAGAGGAGGAAGAGGAGGAGGAGGAGGAAGAGAGCTTCATCATCCATCTTTAAACATAATCAGACAATCAGTCAGATCCTCTTTAATCTCTTGATAAACTTTTATTTTGAGAGTCTCCTCATGTAGAGGAGTACCTGAATCCTTCCCCTTATTGTGGACTAAAGAGCCTCTGATTAGAGACTAAACACACTCAGGCGATGAATGGAGCTGACTGATATTATCAGTGTAGAGTAGCATGCACAGTCCTGCAGACTGCATGGTTTTCATTTACACAAGTCCACAGGACGCAGGGATTTGATTAAGGTGGTCTGATGAGGAAGAGGGAGTCTGATGGGGGGGGGTCCGTGCGTGCAACAGCAGATCCTGCAGAGAGAGAGCGAGAGAGAGAGAGAGAAAGAGACACTGTGTGTGTGTGTGTGTGTGTGTGTGTGTGTGTGCATGCGTGCGTGTATTACAGAGCGACTGTAGCTGAGTGAACTTACAGATAGATAGATAGATAGATAGATAGATAGATAGATAGATAGATAGATAGATAGAGTAAGGGAGAGAGGATTATCAAAAAGTAAATTTAAAATTAGAATTTGCAGAAAATACAGGAACCAAAAATCCAACAAAAAGAAAAGAGAACGGGGGGCAAATGAGTGATTTAAGTTGATTATTCGCTGCCATCTACTGTCAAATGTTAGTACGTTGATTCCTCTCAGGGAACAGTAAATGAGGGGAAGGTGGAGACATATCCACAGCACCTAGGTGGAAAACGCCTCTCAGGAAATGTCTCCTTCTATTCAGGGCCAGTCTCACGTCTCACCTTTACCTGAACATCAGACCCAGCAGCAAAGTCCAGGTGAGTCACTGGGGCAAGACAGTAGTGTCATTTGACTAGATTAGATTAGATGGAACTTTATTGATCCTTCTGGGAGGGTTTCCTCAAGGACATAAAAAAAGAGTCTTATTTCTTATTGCTTAATTTTGCTGACTTCAGAGAGTCAACAACAACAGAGTCTGCTCTGCTTCATTGGAAACATTTGTCTGAAATGCTAAATGTTTACTTTATTAAACTCTCCTATAAGAATGGTCATGACTACAGCATTAGACATTCTTCCAGAGGTTGTTTTGCACTTACACACACACTCACAGTCACAGAGTAGAGTATTGCAGAGTATTGTTCTGTGTGGAGTTCTGAAGGCTGGGAATGATTCCACTAACACCATATAAACTAAATAGCACCTTTAAAGGAAACGTTTTGGTTTTATTATCATTACTGAGTTCTTTAGTGGTTGGACAGTGTTCACATTTTATACTGAAACTGTTATTTCAAGCTTCATCATTAACCGTGTTTTCTTTGACTGGATGGATGTGACAAGTAAACTTTAGGGAACATTTAAATGAGCTGTAACAGGTTTATTGTGATTCAGCTGTGACTAAGACAGGGGGAAGATGTGAAACAGCAGAGGGACAAAAAGACAGCAGAAGAGTTTTTAAATCTTCTCTCTTATTCATATTTTATTTTATCTTTCATTCACCGTGTTAGTCACAATAATAAGGGCATTTAAAAAAATCATTCACATTTTGTACATCTGCTGGAATAAATCTGCAGTCAGGATGTTAAATAAAAAGAATAAAGGTGACTTGCCTTCATAAAAAGGAAGTAATAAACCGCTCTTACTGCAGTAAAATAACTCTGACAGACTAACATCTCATTCACCACGTCTGATTTCTGCTCCTTATTTTAAACTCTTCTGTGTTTTCAATCTTCATGTGATATTGGGCAGAGTCAGAACAGGTCCATCTGGAAGTTTACATTTAAAAAGAACTGATTTGAACCCGCTTGTTAAAATAAGGACTGAAGACTTGCTGCTCTCTGCTGCCCCCCATGAATAAAACAAAAACTCATCCAGAGATGCTCTCATTCAAAGTGTAAACAAACACTAAATCAGACACATGACGTGTCAATCATTCCTCTGTTTTTATATTGTTCCTTAAATACGTGGATAAAAAAACTTCCCCTTTAAACATTCATCACCCTGAACCCTCAACAGGATGCTACACACGCCACAAGATGTTTCACTTCGATTTACACATCATAAAATCCCACACTCCATCCACTCATCCTGGTTTCAGACGTCCAAGAGCAGAGACCCTGAGTTGACCTGAGGGGGCGGGGCCTGTGCTGCAGCAGGTAGATCCTCACTGGTAATTGGAGCTGTGATCATTCGGGCTCCAACTGCCCTGCGCTGTGAGAGGGCCTGCAGGGTTTAAATGAATCCTGGGAAGAGCTGCTGCAGGAGGAGGACAATCCCGACCACCATGACACCACAGAAGAAGAGAACAAGCCACACAGGAAACGACCCTAGAGGGGAAGAAAAGAGACAGAGATTGGATCTATTCTGAGATGAATACAAGAGAAATGCCACTAGTCTTCTGATCATCTGTCTGTACAGAGTCTCAGTTTCTCTGTAAATAGTCTCTCAGCAGTATAAACCTGAAACACAAACTGATGTTCTTGTGATGTTCTCCTTATTAACAGGTCTCCAAATAAAATCATGATGCAGATTAGTAAAAAGTCAAAAGTCCAGCTTTGTCAAGTCTGCCCTCAAGAGGAGTAGAAAACTCTGTATGTTTTTTGAATGGAGGCCAGATCCATCATTTCTGATGCATTTAGGGAAGTCAGGAAATCTGAAGTCAGGTTGTTTTTGGTGACTCAGCATCAATTGGATTAGAGTCTCAGTGTAAACTTTTGATCTGTATCAGATCGTTAGCTGACCTCCATGCACACCGTTCTTTTTACAGAGAAAGAAATCCTCCTCAGACTAATGCCGAAGGGAGCTCGGATTATGTTGGATTGTGTTCCTCCTGCTTTTACTCTCCATACAGTTTTTCCTGCTGACACCTGAAAAGTCAGTTCTACTCAGACCACAACAGAAACTACAACACTTTCCTGCTGAAACCTAGAACCCCATCAGAAAGTAAAAAATCAACATCCCAACAGAAGATGACATGGGAGGATTTGATGAGATACCACCAGAGTGTGTTCACTGATGATGAAGATGATGATGATGGTGATGGTGTAGTACTCACTCCTGTTGGCTACAGTGTGGACCTGACAGCGGCTGTCCACAGCGACACTCAGCATGGCTGTCTCGTTCTTTCCTCTGATGTGTTTATGTTCAGGAAGAAAGGCCAGGTCAGTCACCACGATACCATGTGACTCCTGCACGTAGTACAGCTTCTGCACACACAAAAACACACACACACACACAGGGACACACAAACACACAGAATGAGTTCTCAGCATGCCGCAAAGCACACAGGTTAGTTTGTATTAGTGGCTGATACTAATAACAAGAGAGCAGGCTGCCAATTAATAGTGCTGATATGTCATTGTTGTTGTTGTTTTCTTCTGACAGAACAATGTAACAGCAGGGGAGACAACATTTGGCTCAGTAAAGTATCGCCACAGCAACAGTCTTTAGGATTGTCATCTAGCTGTCTGAATTCATCAAAGAAGAAAAAACACAAGATAAATATTGGGGTCCAAAGTAAAAAAAGGACAACATGTAAAATTTCTATTAATCCATATGAATTAAAATCAAAAATGCATGGTTATCTCAGCTAGCAACATGGTTTTGATGGATTTTTAATGGATGGATAAAAACAGCAAAAGTCCAGAGCACTGCTAATGAACATGTCAAACATCATATAAAACTGTATTATTCTACACACCATGACAGAATTTATATATTTAATTCAAGAGAGACAAAAGACATATCAACCTTGTGGGGCCTGACGCTGATATAATGCTGACTACGTCAAAATGAGTGTCAAGTTTACCTGCAGGGAGAAGGAGATGTAAATGGCCACAGACCCTGTCACAGCTCCCAGACCGAGGAATGTTCCAGAGTCACTGTGATAGAGCGAGAGAGGAGAGACGAAGACAAACGTCTATTAGATAAAAGGAATGATCATCAATGATTCAGACCATCTCTTGACCCTTCAGGTCCTAAAAAACCGAAGCACCTGACGCCTGCTCTGGTACAGGCTGTTTATTTTACATTACCTCAATATCTCCCTACATATCATTGTTGGCTGGCTAACATGTTAATGAGGTGACCTTTCACCTGCAGCTCTGTGTATCTGCTAAACTGAGTCCATGTGATCTCTTTCATCTTGCTCTTCCTTACATACATGTTAACACTCATTTCAATGAAGCTGGATTTGGAGGGAAATAGTGATGTGTCAGTCGGGAACGAACTGGTTCAAAGAGCTGGCTCTTTAACATAAACAATGGGAGCCGGCTCCCGTCCGTGAGCAGTCCTTTATTTACACTCTTTTTTTTCTGTTTTATATCTGATTTACTTTGCTGTTGTGTTTTTTGTTCTTGATGGTGGTCAGTTCAAATAGATACCTAAAACTGTTAAATGCTGCTGTTCTGTTCATTGCAATACAGATATTTCTTTTTATTATGTTATTTGATTATTTGTGTTTAAATAAATATTGAAAATCTCAATAGCTGTCCTTTTTTTATTTCTATGATTATTTTTTTCAAGACGTGTCTATCTGCTTTGTGTCGCAGAGTGGTTCTGCAATCAAGTCAGTGCATTCTTTGGGTGGTTTCAGAGAGTTACAAGGGTCTGTAAATACTAGAGTACAAAGGATGTATTGAATTATTTGAGAGGTATGTAAACACATACGTAATTATCATAAGCCAATCAACGCCCAATTTGGCTGAAATAGAAAATGTCCAGGTGTTAAAATGAAGAGTCGTTTGGGAGCCGAAAGAGCCGGCTCTACTTGGTGAGCTGAGTTGAATGATCCAGATTACTAAAGAGAGCCGTAACTCGCATCACTAGAGGAAAACTAAGCTGCACTCTAAATCCTTTGACTCACTGCTGTTCTGTTGCATTACTTAGATATCTTTTTAAGTGTGGTTTGTGAGTTTAAGTCTGTTTTAAAACTTGTAGTATTTTTATCCAGTAGATATGTGCGTTAATGATCTTCTCTATGTCGGAAATGGTTTCATGACTGTGAGAAGGTAAGGAAGTAAATATTGGTTTGGAATATGGAGGGAGGAGGTCAGAATGGAACTAGGGGCTGGACCATGCGGTGCTCTGTCAGTAATAAACAGAACCATGGAGTTCATTTGAAATGTAACAGGGAGCCAGAGGAGGGAAGCAAAGAACAGGGGGGATGTGGGACTGACGGCTGCTTTAAGGTAATAATCTGACGGCTGCATTTGAACTGACTGTAGGCAGAGAAGTGATGATTGATTCAGGCAGTTATAACAGGAAGTAGAAAGGGGATTACAATAATCTAAACCAGTCTGTACCTCCATGTTATCAGGCGATACTATGAACCTATCAGGTACCTGACAGCCAGGCTGGAGATGACCTCAGAGCCGCAGGTCGCCGTCAGCATTGGCAGGAAGCTCCGCCCATCCCACTTGGTGAGGAAACATGGCGGAGGTTTTCTGTCCCGTTTGTGGGGGATCTGGACTGTGTAGAGCCTCAGAGCGTCTTTCTGGTCCTCCACTTTCCCAAACCTGTGACACAGGAGCACGTTGAAGGTCTCTTTATTATTCTTCACAGACAAAGAGACTGTTTGTTTGTTTGTTAGTTAATCTGTTTACCTGCAGGCCATGTACCGATACGTCTTCTCAGCCATGTTCGGCACAGTTTCAAACCACCTCAGACCCATGGCTAACTGGTTTCCACTCCACACACTGCAGGAGAAGTCCCGACCCACTGTCACCAGGTGCTGCATCAAACACAACATACAGTTATTGACTAGTCAGCCAGCACGCCTGTCACTGTGTAGAGCCTGAGGTCAGACACTCACCTTGTTCCCTGGACTCATATCCAGGTCCTCAATCTCTCCTTCATGAGCTTTAAAGTCAAACTTCTTCTTTAGAGACGGAAACTGAAGGGAGTCAGGGACACACAGACACAGTCAGGAAGGTAAAGTGTGTTTTTAGTTTCCTGTTTTCTTCATGCACCTGCTCATAGGGATATTCCAGCGTGAAATTAATTTAGGGTCAAACACACCGTAACACGTTATTAGAAGCCCCCCCGAGAGATGAATGTTGCCGACTGCTTGCTTCTCTAGTTATACCAACTTTAGTGACGACCAAACGATAGCAATACACAGCGGACTCAGGAGCCACTTGCTCAACCAAAACACCACTCTATAGACATAAATAATGCTCAGAACATGGTCCCAGCCATAGTACTAGCCACCAAACATCTTTTTAGTTTTTGCCTGATTTCTTTAGCAAAGAGACTAAACACAACTCACCCACTCTCTTCCAGCAGCCGCTTGTTTGAATCGAGACCTTGGACTAGTCCATTACTGACTGCAGCAGGGTGACGCAGCCCAAGGAAGAACATTTATGATAATTTCTTCATGGAATTGCAATCAGACTGAGATGCTAAGGCAGAAGAACTTCCGCGTCTGCAGTGCAAAATTATTAATATTGATTATTGCTGATGATTATTACTTCAAGGAAATCCTAAAGTAATGATCATAAATGTTCTTCCTTGAGCTGCGCCACCCCGCTGTAGTCGGTAATGGACTAGTCAGAGGTCTCCATACAAACAAGTGGCTGCTGGAGGAGAGTGGGTGAGTTGTGTTTAGTCGTTTTGCTAAAAAAAATCAGGCAAAGCTAAAAAGATGTTTGGTGGCTAGTACTATGGCTGGGACCCTTTATGTACTGTTGATGAAGTTAGGTGCTGTTCTGAGCATTATTTGTGGTTATAGAGTGGCTTTTTGGTTGAGCGCGTGGCTCTTTGTATTGCTATTGTTTGGTTGTCACTAAAGTTGGTATAACTAGAGAAGCAAGCGGTCGGCGACATTCATCTCTCAAGGGGGTGTCTAACTCAGTGTTACGGTGTGTTTGACCCTAAATTAATTTTATGCCGGAATATCCCTTTAAAAAGGCCAAAAAAAACATCAAAACTACTCAACATTAATCACAATATGTCATGCATAATCAGGGTCTGAAATCCAGAGAAGGTCCTCCAAACTTTTGTCTTACATGTAGCCAAAAGGTGCATTTTCAGGCTAAGTGTCAAACAGAGGGTCAGAACTGTGACAAGGATATCCACTTTTCAGAAGGAAGAAGTTCACTTTTCACTGAACTGAGATGCTTAGTCCTGAAATAACTCATCCTGCAGCAGGTGAGCACCAGTACCTGGCACTCAAACACAGCTAGACTCCTACAATAAGAATAACACACGTCCAGTCTTTACCTCCCACACTCGGATGTGTCCGTCAGTGCCTCCTGTCAGCAGCAGGCTCTGGTCAGGACTGAAGCGGACCACCTTCTGGAGCGGGTCCTGGGGGTTCAGGTCAGACTGGACTTCAGCCAGAGTGCTCACAGAGATCTGAGCTGTCTCATCCTTCGTGTCTGACTTGTCTCCTGATGCTGCAGCTTCGTCCCGTCCTCTGTCTCCTTTCCCTGGTCGTCTTCGAGTGTTTCCTTTCTGCACATTGTTTCCTACTGAACAAAGAGGACAGAGATTTACCAGATCAGGGACACATCAGGAACAGGAGGGAGAGGTTTCACTAATTCACAACAAATGTTATCTCAAGATGCTTCACAAAAAAGACCAGACTCTGTTTACAAAGACTCAATGTAAAGATGGGAGCAGACTGAGCCCCATCCTGTGAAATCAGACCCACTCCCATCCCATCTTCAACCATGAGTGAAACACTTTACAGCATTTATCAAGCTACAGAGGAGAGGAAGAACTTCCTTCAACAGGCAGAAACCTCAAGCAGAACCAGAATCATGTTAGACAGTCATCTGCTGAGACTGAACTGGGTTCAGAGAGGAGGGAGAAGGAGAGAGAGAGAGATGGTCAGAGGAGAGACTGATAGAGGGAGGTGACTCTACTTAGACTCGATTATCATCATGTTATGACTTTACTATGACTTCATGCTTGTCATATCGAGATAACATCCTCATAACATGAGGACTTTACCCTCATAATCTTATGACTTTATTCTCATAATCTTCACATTTGTTATGTGAAGATCATGGAGAGAAATCTGTCTTTTCTCTGCCATTAGTCATCTTTAGATTTAAAACAGGTTCTACCACACTCTAGGATGAATAGATGTTTTTCATAGCAGCGTGTATATGTACTTTTCTTTAAGGTTTCAATGATGTCCAACATGAGAAGTCAACAATAAAGATGTGCCCCCTGCTGTTTTTGAGATTCCTCACTGTCTGCAGGCTGCAGGTATGTCTCAGGTAGAATCAGTGAGTCTCACCGTCTTTAGCTGCTGCTTTGCTCTCCTCTTTCTGTGATCCCTGTTTGAACCTCAGCAGACAGCAGGTCCCGTCCTGCCCTGCGGCAATCACCCCACCGCCTACCGCCATGTTCATGGTGGCCCGAGTTTCCGTGTCATGAGAGTGAAGCAAGGTGGCAGAGTACGAGTGTTCACTGACCAGCTGCAGGTCTAGGAAGTGCTGAAACACACATGATTGAACACACATGGTATGATTCTGCTGCTGGTTAGAAGACTAAAAATAAATCACATATTTACTATGAACATGCAGCAATGAACGTGCATGAAAACCTCTTTAAGATAATACTGTAGCCAGCAGAGAGGGTTGGCTGTGTGACAGATAAGCTCAAAATATTACCACAGCATTTTTGATGCCAGTCTTTGAGGCCCCGCCTCCTCCTGCCGTGATCACCAGCCCAGTTTTAGGGTCCACTTTAACAGAGTACAAGGGAAAGGGGGCTCGGTACAGATCTGGAACCCTCCTCTTCCCCATGGCTGATGTTCAGGTCACTCACTCTTCTTCATAAATCCTCTCAGGTAAAACACACCTGTGGGGGGGAAGAAAAAAAAAAGTATTCCAGTTAAAGGCACATTTCACAGCTTTTGTGTGCATCAGCATGTCATGTGCAACAACTTGCTAGGACATCAATGTTAGGCCTTTTGGGGGGTCACAATGGGGAAGTGATGGTAGGACTACGTTCCAGTGTTTTTGCAGATGGTAGTACATAAAAGGCTTTTGTATGTGTTTTATGTGTATTATACAAATGTTTTTTTTTATTTCTACGTTTTACTTTACTGTGCATAACTTTAGTAAATATGATTTTATGTTAAAATTAAAGATCATTTCTATGTGAGAACACATTATTACCAAACCCTAATGACAGCACTTCAGATCTAAAATGGTTACTGGCGAATATATAATATAAATTATGTGCTGATGTATATCTAGAAATGTGTGTGTATAAAATGAGAAGTACAAATACAGAACCCCACCCACCCTCCCAACCCACATTAAACACATACAGCACTCACACGCTCACACACACACAAACAAAAGATGAGGACTCTTAAAATTGTCACAGATAACTGAGGAAACGCTATCTTGATTTATATAGTTAATTCAATGTATATGGAATGATGGATTTAAACATGTCTTTAATCTTTTTACTGAAGTTCAGGAATCTTCTTGTTTCAGTTAACTCGCTCTCACTTGATCAGTATCAACTATTAAAAAAAAACTGGAATCAGTCACTCTCTATTAACATGCGTTTTCTGAATTAGGTGGATAAATTGTGCACCAGTACAGCACCAACACTCGCCACATTTTCAACAGATAAAGGACAATAATTTGCTGTCTGACCATGTGGAGGCCTTCAGAAAGTCCTGGAGATGATAGAGCTGGTGTAAGTGTTTGAATTGGATCACCCAGGTGTAGCTGATGTTGTGGCAGGTAACCCCTGCAGTCAGTAAATGACAGACTATGAGCCTGACTGAAAGCATTAATAAAGTGAAACTGCTCTGATAGTCAGAGCTTAATCATTCTTATTCTCTCCGATCTGAAACTGATGGTCCTCAAACTCACCTCCTGTCACACTCCGCCCACGATAACACTAACTTCAGTTTGTCAGCAGCTGGTGCAATGAATGACTTAGCTTTAATATTTGTTTAACAACTGTAATTTTTAAATGCATGAAGTCATATTTGATTGAAACAGTGTGTGTATTTGGCTCAGAGCCTCAGTCTGTCTGTGTTTATGCCAGGGCAACAACCCTGTTTAATAAATGTAGCTACACTCTGAGCTAACTAGCAAACAGACAGACTCTGGGCTTTGGCATAACATCATACTAGTATCAATCACACTGTCTCCTGTTAATAATATCTGCTTCAAGAAGAAACGTCAGAAATCCCCCAGTTTTATAAGCGGCACAGAAACACAACCATAGCTTCTGTTAGCACTGGGTCCCAGTCAGTTAGCACGATAGCTCTTTAATTAAGTAACAGTTTCCTACCTGTGTGTCTAACAGTGCCGCTTTGTGTCTCGCTTTTACTCAGTTATGAAGCTAGACGCTGATTTCAATGATTTCATGATGAGCTGTCAATGACAAACGCTATTTGTTACATTGAGTGGCTAGCAGCTAGCAGTGGCTACAGACAGCCGCTTCCCCTACCTACACGTCAGCAGCGGACTTTGCGCCGTGACGTCACCAGGGGAACGTCACAGAGCTCCGTTTTTTCACAGCTGTCTGAAAACATCAGCCAAGTGGGCGCGTGTAAACCAGGGTTGCCAACCGTCCCTTGAAAAACGGAATCGTCCCGCATTTACAAACAAAAGTACGCGTGCCGTATTGAGTTGAAAAGGGACTCACTATGTCCCGTATTATCATGACAATCAAAAATAATCTGCAAAATGTCAATGGAGTTAATAAACATCAGGGCGCGTTTAATAGAAACGTACGGTAAACCTGTTCCAAGCTGTGTGACCAATGAGCTGACAGCACACCCAAACAGGAGGATAACAGTATAGAACCCTGCTCATGGCATTGGTCGAGGAGGTACGGCTGCTTGCGAAGAAGATACCAGAAGTCAAGAGACGACTATAACAAAGCAGCATGGACATAGCTGCCGACACTGTTCCTTTGACCAGCAGTGCTTGTCCTCCGTGAAAAAAAAGAATAAAATAAAACAGACAAAAAAAAAAGGCTGCAAGAATACAGGGAGGAATGGGAAAAAAAGGGAAACGCTTGGATGGAGAAAAAAATGAAATAATGAAATTTGTTGCTCAGAGTTTTACTTCTGTTGCACCTAAAGGCAAACAGCTCCTTGCTGTAGCAGGAGCTCATAAGAAATACAAATGGATACCATGTAATGTGTTTATGATTTGCCCACAACTTGTTGTAACAGAATTTATTTTGCATTTGAAGTTGTTGTTTGTTCAATATTCTTTTATAAAAAAAAAGAGTGAAAAGTTGCATCCAGTACAGAGAACTGATCCTTTATTTGTGAGGACAGTTAAATATCGCCAAAACTTTTAACTTAAAATTAAGTTAGACTAGTTAAACCAGTTAGATAATTACCTTGTAATTCAAAAAGGGGGGCATAAAATGTTAAGATATAAATAGTGCAACTGAATTCTGAGATAATTTTCACATTAGTTTATGTTTAATGGTGCAACACAGGTTTATACCACTGTATACGTTTACAGAATTTTTTTTTAAAAAACATGAGAGCATCTTTCATGAGGCCCATGTTAATAAAAGAATATTAACACTGAGACAGTGGTTATAGTAGCGAGGCTAATGGAGTCTCCCTCCAATTATATCACAAAGGAAACAGAACCAATCTGAGCATCACATGTGTAAAGAAGTTAACTGAACTGATGCCAGGTGAAAGCTATATACATATGATGATGCTCAACAGAAGCACATATTACACTTCTCAGGGTAATTAAGTGTATGACTAACTCTAATAGCATGAGAGATAATTCTAAGAACCTGAGTTAATCAGATTATAATCTGAAATTTCTTTTTAACAGGAGAAAACTGATGTGGAAGCAGTGTGCTCCAAATATACAGGAGGAAACAGTTCATGTCTGCTGAGCTGCTGTGATTGGTAACTAGCAGGTCCTTCATCTGTAGACCATTTGATCGAGGATTTCTGTCACACTTTGCATCAAACTCTTTTTGCATGTTTTTAGTCTTAGTTTAAATTTGGCTGATGAAGACAAACAGTCTGCAGTGCTAACTCCAAATGCTGGCCTACACCTACGTTCAGTTATTAAATATCAACCTGTTGAGAGAAATTAGATCAGATAAAATCTTTAAGTGTGTAAGTTTGAAGAACAGAAATTAACTGTTTCCTTCAGAGGTGACCTTCAAACACTACATGCCACAAAAACCAGAGAACGTTTGCTAAAACTCTGGGCAACACCAGGACCAGCCTTGCCTGAGACATGTAAAAAAAACAGTGGTGGTCTTCCAGATGGAGGACTAGAGACAAATCAGGGCATGTGTGCAGTGCTAGAAATGCTAGAGGTCATTCATCACATACTACAATATTTATAATATCTAAGTCTTTTGGCCAGAGGGAGCCTAAGAAGTGAGATTTATCAAAGGTGTATCACAGAATATGGTGATAATCTGTACTTTGTGCTTTATAACAATCCATACAAATGCTAAACAGAGAGCAAGACAGACAGGACAGCATGTGTGGTTGTTCACACAAACAAACAAAGTATCCTCACTAATCAAATCATCGAAACATCAGCCAAATTTGACATAAAAATGTTTGTTTTTATGAAGCTGGATTAAATGAAAAAGATTTTCAAAATGAAATGTACAAAGTAGGGCAATAACTTGGAACTAAGCTGGTCTTAGTTGTATTGTATTGTATTGTAAAATCCAAACTAACCTGATGGGTCTCCTGATCAAACCAGTGAAAAACAGTCTTCTGGCTTATTTTTAGCATAGACCTCTCAATGAGAATGGACCAACTTAGAAGAATTACTTTGAAATTTGTCTTGCATGACCTCTCACATAATTTTCCTGTGATCATAACTATACTCAAAATAATAAAAAAAATCAAGTTTTTCCAACTCAAATATGAGGATAATTTCTCATAAATGATGTATACTACTGACCATAACTTTGAAAAACAATTGCAAAACTTGAATGAATATGTAATTATCAAGTTAGCATGAAAGGTATAACTGAGGTATGCTTTTAACCACTGTGCTTTATATACAGCCGGAGTAGATGAGAGGACAAAAACCTCTCAAACCAAATAAAGGAAATAAAAACTGTGAAAATGAGAACAGGGACAGCCACCTGTTTAAATGACGAGTATTTAAATGTAAAGGAGATTTTCAACCCCTGAATGCTTTATTTAAAATATGCATACATAACACTTGTCCTACAGAACGATACAGAACAGTACAATCACTGGTTGTAATAACATTTAAAATATAAAACGGTTTGTGGCAGAAACTGCCTGCAAGCAAACAGAGTTCCTACTTTGGCTTCTTACAGCGAGAAGAAAAAGAAGAAGAGAAGAAGAAGTAGAAGAGAAGAAGAAGAAGCAGGAAATACTCAAACTGAATGTATTCACAGAAGCAGAAACTAGAAACATCACAGCTGTGACATCAGTGCGTGTCTGTGTCTGTGTGTTAGACATCTATGGTTGTGTAGCTGGAGCATGTGTGTCTGTGATGGCTGTGAGGATGTTTGGCAGATGAGCAGGGTTCCCACTGACAGTCCTGCTGAGGTGTAGGAAAAATACATGGAATAAACATCTGAGGATGAACTGGAAAAGTAGCTGCTGAGATTAAGCTTACTGTGTTGAAAGTCTGTGTGTGTTTCAGTGCAGTCGGAGGTTTTGGTACAAAGCTGTCTGTATTAAAAAGCAGGTGTGGGAACCCTGAAACACACACACCCTCCTGTCTGCCATGTGTACATGCCAAAACATAGAGAAATACAGCACATATACAACGCAATATGCAACGCAACAGCATGTCAGGCAACATTGTTCTTTTACTCTGAAAGGAAACACTTTGTACACATTGATAATACCTGTATGTTACACCTGTGAACAAACGTGTTCCCACCTGTGAAAGAGAGCAGCCCATCATCCTGTCACTGAGCCCCCTAACCAACAAGCATTGGAATCTGAACATAGACTGGATACAGGAGGAAGTCTGACCGTTCAGTCTGCAGTCTCTCTGAGCTCCAGCAAGGGGCAACTGATTGTATAAAAGTCAATGAGAAAATCGTCCGTCTATTCCCTCAGTCAACATTCACCTGATGAGTTCGGTCTGTAGTTTTCAGTCTTCTTTCATTCAGCATGATGTTCATACAACAAATGATGGTCCATTTAGAGTCACAGAGACTAGAGAGGAGGAGAGGATTTAGACCGAGGATACCTGGAACTGACAGGTAATTCAAACATCTGACAGGAAAAGTCATGTTCAGAGTTTTGGTTGTGTTTAAGTACTCTCTGAAGCATATATTCCGGTTAGAGTAGGGTCCAACCTTTGTAAAATTCCTACATTGGTATCTACAATCTGCAAGTTGCTAACCCTCTCGCTCCTTGTCAGCTCCATCCTCTTATCCAAATACGGTTACTTTCGCACACCCAACTCGAGTGCTGAAAAGTGAAGCCAGTACTGAAGTCCCAATAACTGCAGTTCCCAAATGGTCCACTAGAGGCTGTCTTTGACAGTGAGTCTGTTCCCATAGAGCCCCATGTTAAAACTTTTTAGCAGGAATAAGTATGTTTACAGCCTGGAACAAAAACAGTTTGGGTTTTATCTCTTTGGACTGGGACCTAACAGCTGACAATAGTTAGAAGTAATGAGGGGTGTGGCCTGTTTTGAGTGACAGGTGGGTTTGTTGTGTTGAGTTAACATTTCCAATATGGCAACCTCCATCTTTGAGCTTTTTAACGCCTCTTCAGAGACTAACAGTTGGTGTCACTGAGACTTTGTCCATGTTTACACAGAGTGGGCTGACATCACAGTTGTTAATCCACTCCTCATATCCAGTCGATGATTCAGACAATAAGGAAATGAACCGCCTGGCTTCACTCACTGCATTTGAAAGGATTAACCAATGATATTCTTTGTTTTTCTTACAGCCAACAAATCCAATACTATGACCATGTGTCTTCATCCGCCTCTGTGTGTAGTCCCCACAATACAAACTGTGTTTCCTCATTTCATATTAAAATGTTATTTATAGAAGTTCAAACCACTACTCATCTTAAAGTTTCTGAGGAACTCTCAGTTTGTTTTGTTTTTGGCTCCCCCTGTTTATTCTCTACTGCATGATCAACATAAGTCAGAGAAGATTAATCTACTGTGATTTCAGTCAGACTGATGTGTTTACATGTACTCTGAAGTCCAGTTTCGGTATAACTAATGCTATCAATCCATTTTTAACACGTAAACTTACTGACTGTTTTTTCCTTGTGTTCATGTCAGAATGCAATAAAACAGGTGAGGCTTAATGCTGATGTTCTTTTTTGCTCCTATAGATTGTATGGAGGCATTAATACCAATTTTAGTGCTTTTTTAAAACCACAGAGGAGCTTAAAAACATTGGTTTCCACTTCAAATGTGTTCTGTCAGATTTTACTAGCTCCTGTGGACCAACAGCAAGAAAGAAAACAAAAAGAGAAATTCTAATTCGATGTGTATTTCAAAGATAAATTTGAAAAGTCAAAAAGCACCATTTATGTTTTCTTAAACCTGCAACAAACACATGATTTTTATTTTTACTCTGAGGTTTAAAACTGTCAGTTTTACCTTCAGTACAGAGTTGGTTTGCAACTGGATTTGTTGACAATATGAAAGACAGAGAAAAACATCAGCTTTAAATATGAAACATGAGAGATTGATTTGGGGCCCTGTTTGATATAGGGGGTATGTCCTTAAATGTAACAGCTCCATACCAGAAATAAAAAATTATATGTGTGATAAATAAAAGTTTAAACATGTAACAGCTAAACCAAAGCAAGAATTTCATAAGAGGACTGCTGTTTGAGTGCAGGGTAAACAGAGCAATCAAGATGGGTTAGAGATGTGGCATTATCAAGGAAAATACACTCAGGTGTGCACAGGTAAGGGCTGACAGGTGATCCTTTAAACTTGATTATTTCACACACCAGCTGCTATACATGTTTAGCTAACCATGCATCACTCCACATGAGACAAACTGTGAGTGTAAGCCATCAAACACATCGTCCTGTCTGTGCAACATGCTCACCAACACTACGCTTTCTCTGACTAGAAGCTGAAGGAAAAATAATAATAAAACTCTTATTCTGCATCTAAAAAAGGACAAGATAACGTAGAATTTTGCATTTAGAAGATACTCTTCAAGGTGGTGATACATCCATCAAATGTTCCTGTAGATAAAATCTCTTAAAAGGTTCAGAGGGGAACAGTTCTTCAGACTGTAGACAGAACACAGATCCCCCACGGTCAGTGAACTACTCATCAATAAATAACGTAGATGATAATAAATAAGAGGCGAGGGGAAGGGGATGGTCCAGGGGGGGCTGAGGGTCCACACAGAAGGAGAGGTGAGTCAGATACTGGAGGTGGAGCCCAGCTTCACCTTGCTGCACACGCAGCACCATAGGCCCCGGCCCCCAGAAAGCAGCTGTCCAATCACCAGAGTGTTCCCCGCTGCATCACTTTAAGTTTTAAGAGTCTCAGTGCGCCTTAGGGTCACCATGGCAACGAATCATCAGCTGTCCATGCTGCAACATTCTGAGAGGAGATAAGAAGCACATTATCATCCTCATAATCATCATCATCAACAATTTGATATTTTTTAATAACAATAACAATAATCCTCTGTAAGCATAAGGTTGTTTATGGAGTTACATTGGGTTCACTGCTCGGATCACTTCTTTTGATTTCATACATGCGTCCTCTAGGTCAGTGGTTCTCAAGTCCAATCCTCGAGCCTCCACTGTCCTGCATGTTTTGGATGTTTCCCTGCTCCAACACACCTGATTCAAATGATTAGCTCATTATTAAGCCATTGCAGAGCTTGATAACGAGCTGATCATTTGAATCAGGTGTGTTGGAGCAGGGAAACATCCAAAACATGCAGGACAGTGGGCCTCGAAGACTGGACATGAGAACCACTGCTCTAGGTAACTTCATGAGAAAACACTTTGTACATGTTTCCACTAAGTTTTACCATGAGGAAACACTTCATTAAGTAGAAATGCTGACTGTTATGCAGATGATACTCACTAAAGAAGTCAGGAGATACCAACCAGAAAACTAAAGGAGAATCATGTGTTAAAGACTAAGACCTGGATATCTAGAACTCTTTTGCTGCTCACCTTAGGCAGACTGCAGTCTGTCTTGTTGTTGGCCCTCAAAGACCTCAGAAAGATATTTTCTTGAAAATGTGAATACTTTTTGATAACACATGCTTTAAAACTCTGTTATTTCTGCATTCATTGATAATAAAAAGCACAAAAGCCCATGTAAAAGCAAATGAAATGAGCCACATATGCAACCTAAAGCTGCTGGAGGAGTGTAAGTGGTTGGAAACTGTTGAAGTGTTATGTTGAAGTGATTATGGTGCACCAATAATTTCTTTGATAAAAATTATGATGTTACAAGTTTTATCAACAACCTCTTTTCACATCTAATTTGTCACCTAAAATACAAGCAATTTATTCCTCTTAGAGACGCAGAGTTCATTTAGTTACATAACTGCAGCAAGTGCATCTTGGGTCGGAATCTGCTCTACCTACATAAGACTCACTCATTTTTTTTCATGAGCTTTTCATGAGCTTTTCCTGATGCATGTTGACAGCAGAAACACAACAGGTTTTCAGGTTTTTTTGTCCATTGAAACCGTTTACAGCGCCATGTCTAAAATGTGTTTTATTCTCATTTGGAGACGCACAAGACAGCAAATTTAGCAGGATGTTTTGTAGCAATAATCAACTCTTAATCACTGAAGACAAAGATTCAACTGAGAGAGCAAAGAACTTAGTCTCTCTAAGGGAACAGCAGGGGCTGAGCCTGGACCCCCCAAAAAAGACCTTAACAAATCTGTTGGGATGTAGTTCCAACTTTCATGCTAAGTTGGTATGATGAATGCACTGGCTGGGAGCTTATCTATCCAACAGTGTTAGAACTGTGCAGCCCCTCTTTCAGTGAAGACTAGACCTATCCCCACAATGTTTCTTATTAAGCACTCACTGGTTTTCACCTTCATACCATTGAGTCCTTCTGCATCTTGGACGTCCAGGAAGGGGGCAGGTCCCCAGATCCGGATGGTCCCGTCGTCAGAGGCACTGGCCAGCAGTCCGGGAAGGACGGGGTTCCAGCTCACACAGTTGACTGTTCGGGTGTGGCCGGTCAGCTCAGCGATGGGCAGCTCACTGCGCCGGTGCCAGATGTAAACTTTGTGGTCTAACAGGAGACAAGGTACATGTTTGATTGAAACACTGATCCTTTACCTGTCTGAGACCTCCCTACAGATACAGAACATGTGTTTCTCACCTCCACTGTGAGCACAGATTACTCACCACCTCTGCTCTGTGTGGACCTGAGGCTGAACACTGTCCCTCAGCTAGGTGACACTTCACATAGACCTCTACTTATTAATTATACCATAATATTTTGCTTCCATGGTTAAAGAACTGTCACTATTTTCTGTAGAGGAACCTTTTTATATTTGTATTTTTTAAAACTTTATTCTTATTTTCTACTTAAAACATTAAGCGACCTTTTCCAAATCAAATAATGTCCCTTGAGCTTGAAAGTCTCCTGAGGGATATTCCAGAGCAGATTTCTCAAGGAACAAAGACATGTCCTCAGGTGACAGCATGATTTCCAGTTTTTCCAGTATTTTCCCCTTTTCCAGTAGCATATCTTGGAGAGAATGTCAGTTGTTCCATATTATAAAATTCCTGAATTATTTCCTTCCATTCAGTGATTGTAGTCGGTTCCTTATTTAGCCATTTTCTGGTAGTTGTATTTCTACTACCAGCTGGTATTGTAATAAGTATATCTACCTCTTTCTTAAGTCCAGCTGACACATTTCCCAAATATATAACACTGAATGTAGAGGAACCTTTTTAAATCAGTTTTTTTTTTTGGTTGATGACTAGTAACTGCATGTGCCAACACTTAAGTGCTCATATTGGTTTGTTGTTGACTGATAACTTTCTATCCGACTTGGCAAGCTTGACTGCACTTCTGTAATACATCCCCCTCACTGAGGGAGAAAAATCACAATATCAACTTCATTTGATACAGGATGGTGCTTTTTTGTTTTTGGTCTCGTATTTTTGGAACCTCTTTGGCTACCAGGAGTATTTCTTTGCTGCATGTGGTTGAGACTTTCTTTGGTGTTTGAAGTGTCAGTAAAAAGCCAGAGCTTTGGTACCTGTTGTCCTGTGCTCTTTATTCTGCCATCCTGCTCTAGACCCTTTCTGCCCTCCTTTCATCCTGTTGGTAGGGAAGTACTAACATCTAAAACCTTACAGTCACTATGAGAGATTTCTCACACTAATGTTTCAATCAGAACAACCGTGATAGAGCCACGCAGACACTGAGCCTGATCATCAGACAGCTGCTCTGCTATGCCTGAAGGAACCATGATTCCTCTGTGTGTCGTCTGTCTGCTCTCTGAGTGTTAAAACTTGTTGTCCTCTAACCTTCACTTCCACTGGCAATGAAGTCTTCATTGTGTCCTCCGAAGCAGGAGTGGATGGTGTAGAAGCCTTGGGTCACACCCTGGTACTTCCTCACCAGCACCCGGTCCTGCAGGTCCCACAGGTGAACCCCCTACATAGACACACATGGGTGACTTCACAAAGAATAGACTACAACTCATTCACAAAGCGTTCTGCACTACTGATATCCCGACAGGCCTAGAAGCTCTGCAGCTCTGCACAGTTTGCTGTGCAGTGAGCGCTCATCTTGATGCAAAGCTTCTTTTTGGAGTTAGTAGAACTAGCATGCATAGATTAAAAAAATGGTTTTGGGTAACAGCTCTGGATCGTCTCCAAACACCTGAATGAGTTTGCACGATAACTGTAGTCGCAGGGTGGAGTCTCAGACTGTTACCTTCAGACTGATTCATCTCTTGCAGGCAGTACTTACACAGATATATCAGTGCAGGTCACTCAGAGCTTAAACTGATGTCATTATCCCTGGAAGGTTTGAGTGTAACATCAACAAACACTGCTGCACAGTTCCCATCGACTCTCAGCAGACAGAGAAGATTTCCTTTCAAGGAGTAGTGTTTGAGTTTTTTTTTTGCAACGCTGTTTATTTGCATCAAAAAGGACCACGGCGCAGAATTTGAAACACCCTAAGTTCCCAGAAATGCTTACTTCAGCACTTTCCTGTGCACTTGACCCGTTGTGTGCACTCAAGGGATAAAATGAGATCTTATTCTCTTTTTTGCACAAATTTAGTGAGCGCACAAGCTGAATGATCCTCATGCTTATTCTCAGAAACAGCTAACTAAACAGAGCTGTAAGATCCAGCTGATGTTGTGGGGAAGTTAGCGGGGGGCTCACCTGAGTGGCCACGTTGAGCAGAGCTAACCGTCCATTTTTAGAGACGGTAAATGACATGATGGGGTGATCCTCCTGCACTCTGCAACCACACAACACAAAGCATCATTGGCAGGCAGAATACACACACCTGCAAAGAAAGCCAACACCTGTGCATGACTCTAAAACAGAGGGTCATGGCCTTCGTCCTGAGCCCACTCCCATCACTCACATGTTTCTGTCGGTCAGGTCCTCAAAGTTGTACCCTCTGATGCGTTGGTGTGTGTCTGATGCCAGGACGGTCCGGCCGTCACTTAGACACCATAGACACTGCACCCGGACCCCCTCCCACGAGTCCAGCAGGTTCCCATCCAGGTCCTAGAGACAGATTCAGGGACAACATCAGAAGGGTGCAGAGAAACCCCGGTCTTAAAGGAAGGGAAAAACTGCTCACTGCTGCCACCTACTGGTCTGAGCTCAGGACCATCAACAAATACACACTGAGGGACATGAGGCAGAGTTACTCACACACTGGTAGAACTGTCCTCGCTGTCCTCCAGTGACAAAACGTTTGCCGTCGGGGTTCCACGCCACACTGGTCAGACTGTCCTCATGAGACTGACTCATCTTCGTCCTCAGCTCCCCCGTCTGCACAACAACACATACACAATAAAAACACTTTACTACACAATCTACTCTCAGATCAACAGTCTGTCATGTGACTGAACCAACCAATCAGAGGCCATAAAAACAGTTTACTCCTGATAAAGTTTATCCTTCCACAGAGTCTGCTCTTCATCTCTGACAGCACAGATGCTGAGAGGAGGAGGAAGAGGAGGAGGAAGAAAAAAGAATGAAGAAGATAGAGCTGCCTGAGAGTGGGAGTGGGATGATATGATGATGAAGGTGATAGTGATGATGATGATGATGATAATGATGATGATGGTGATGATGAAGAATATAAAATTGATGAAGATGAGGAGCAGTGCTGTGTGTCATATAATGTGTGTATTACAGTGACAGTGAATGTGACACAGATGGTAGTGTTACAACAGTTCGTGCAGAGTGTGTGACAGCTGGTTGTCATGGAGATGCTGTTGGGCTGATTTTTACCAGAATTCACAGTGTCTTATTTTGGCCAGAAAATACACCAGAGTGAGACTGAAGTGATCAGAGAAGACCCTCCAGAGTTGTCTCTGATATCACCACATTCAGAGGCAGAGCCATGATTCTGGGTCCTCTGAGCTCAGATCTCTGTTTTTGTCTGCTGATAGTTTGGGGGGTCATGTTTCAGTCTGCACAGCCCGTTTTACTGCTGCAGGATCAGCTGGTGTTAGGGGGATGTCCACAGACTTTTGGCACCAGTTAGTCACGAAACTTAAAAATACGTAAAATAAGGCGACAGGACCTGAGTGTCTGAATACTACTGCTGGTTATATTTTGAGGTTGTTGTGTTCCTGGTGTGACTTCTCCATGAATGGACCAGGTGACATACCTGAACATTCCACAGCCACAGCTCGGAGCAGTCATCAGGACCACAGGCGATCAGGTACGCATCATCAGGACTCCATGCCAGGTAGGAAACCCCGTATGCATGACCCTCCAGAGTCTTCATCAGCTTCAGCTGCTGGGTCTCCTGTCCACACACACCCACACACACGCACACACAGTTAAGTGTCTGTGAAGTCCAAACTCTCAGCTCCTGGTGATGATGTAATCAGCGTTATGTATGAATGTGCTAAAATGATGGTGTTGGTTGAATCAGCAGCTGATAAAGCAGACAGTCAGACAGACAGACAGACAGACAGCAGAGTAGTTCACTCTGCAGACAGTAATGATGATCACATTCCCCTGAGAGGTTAAGTCTTTCTAAAAGGACCCCCTTCTCTCTCTGGTGGTCTTTGCTTCCTGTGTTAGTGCTGCATTGAGGTGGGGCTCATCAGACAATTAACATCAGACTGAAGGTTAGAAGATATCTAGAAAAATAGATATGCCACTAAAGAAGATGTGGAGTGGTGGGATTTTTGTGTCTTATTTATGTAAACAGATCATTGTTTGTATGACATGTAACCATGGTAACAGGAGGTTCCTGTTCCAGTGGAAGTGAGGGGAGTTTATCCAGAGGATTACAGCTAAACAAACCATAGAACTCTGTGCGTTTCTACGTTTTCAGAGCTGTTGTTTTTTTCCTGTGGGGAGCCGACAGGTGAAAACCAAACTGACTGACTGAGGGTAAACTCCCTTGCTGTTTACTCAGCAGTTTGAAGTGTTTGTTTAAGAGGATGTAGAGATCTGCAGGCTGAATATCACACTGAAGTTTGACTAAAGCCTCAGACTTTCACAGCTAAAACTCAGAGATGAAACGTGGGTTATAAGCCAAAAAAAGGACTCTGAGTTTCCAAAGCTTTACACGCCATGAAAATCCCTCATGAAAATCAAGATTTTGTAAACTGGTCCATTGTAGGTTACGACTTTAGATGGCACATTGTTCGAAAGGAAAATGTTTTTTTCTAGGTTTGAGCTTGAACAAATGAAGGTGGATTGACTCTTTTAAACCTGTGTGAACTGAACTTGCACAACACTGAATGTCATGTCCAGTTACCGTGTCAACATGCCAGATGATCACTGTGGTGTCTTTGGAGCCGGTGGCCAGTTTGGTGCCGTCGTTGGAGAACTTACAGAACCAGACCTCATTACAGTGTTCAGTTAGGATCTGCTGGGTGTAACAGGGGAACTGTTTCCTATAAAATACACACAGATTCAAATGTTACATCATCCAAATCACAAAAAGACAGTCTGCTCCTGTTCTCTGAGGCTTGATCCTGGTGTGGTTTGAGTTTTTAATAAAAAACTTTGGCGCTGATATGAACTGAGTCGATCTTGTAAATGTCTTACCGGCTGCAGGCATGGTCCAGAAGCAGGGACACAGAGTCCAGACCCCCATCCAGCTTGGTGTTGTGGTAAAGGCAGCGGTCCCTCTGCAGTTCCACTGCCTGCTTCAGCAGAGTCTGCAGGCGGCGAGGAGGCAGCATGACGGATGGTGGCAGGTACGCTGCAGACAGAAGGACACAGAGAGGAAGGTTGAAGTATAGAGGAAAGTGTCAGGAGAGACCTGGTCAGAGCAGCTCAGAGAGTTCACACACCTGTGATCACACTGAGGAGACTTATACACACCGGACTGACTGGGTGGTGTGATGGTTTACATGTGTCCACAGGGAGGAAACCCTGTGATCGTGCGTGATCTTTACAGGTAAAGCTTTAAGGTTTTAAATTGATGGTTTAGTATAAAACTGAAAAGAATCACTGTTTTTGGCTCCCAGGAACATTTAGTCAGTTTGAAAGAAGTTGAAGTGTTTGTCTTTTTGAGTTTCTGATTCAGTCAAACTCTGAGATGGATCTGTAATAATATAAGTACTGCAGTACTTTAAAGTTATTTGGAACAATTTTCAGAGTTTACAACTGAATTTAAAACAACCTGCTGTGTATGAAGAACTTTGTGGTCTCGACCTGTGAAGGGGTCCAGATGTGTCAGTAAAAATCTGTAATACTCTTCATGAATTCATAAGCTTTTACAAACAATAACTGATAAACTAATATGGATGGGTTCAAACAATAAACTGTTATGACTGTGTATTGTTTTCATGCTTGTAATATTGATGTTTTCATTAGAGGCTGAAAAATAAGTGATTTTTATGTCAGCAGAAAGTGTAAGAAGGGGCAGGACAAGATGAGATAACTCTATTTGCCTCTTTTGGAACACATTGTGTGTGTGTGTGTGTGTGTGTGTGTGTGTGTGTGTGTGTGTGTGTGTGTGTGTGTGTGTGTGTGTGTGTGTGTGTGTGTGTGTGTGTGTGTGTGTGTGTGTGTGCGTGCGTGTGTGTGTGTGTTTAATCTCACATCAACTGTTTGATATAACATCTATGACCAGTTTTATATATTTTGTTGCTCCAAAATTTCTGGATGTGTCTTCAATCGGAAAATATCAAATAAAAAAAAACTGGATTGTGATATGATTGGCAGTATAATTTTTTTTACCAGTTTTACCAGTTTATTTCACTGAATGTTATAATATTGTTTTTCCAGACCAAATTTAATTAAAAGCTATTGTATAAATCCTCTACATATCTGTATAGTCTCAAGGTCTGATTCAATTGAAAAGGTCTGCAGCTCTGTGCAGTTTGCTCTTGTTTTGTAGTTTCCTCTTGCACCTCAACTCTCTGCTGTGCTGTGAGCTCTCATCCTAACAAATCTGTCCACATACAGCTGTTCATGGCAGGTGTAATATAAATGTTTACAGGGATACAGATAATAAAAAAGCTTCCTAATGAAGATATAACAGCTCCAGACATTCTGGACCCTGCACTGATTTAACACCTGATTACACCAAAATAATAATGACAGAATGGATCCACAGGTATATTCATTTTGGTCACCTACGGGTGAATTGTACTCATGATCTCTGGAGAGTTTGAGCTAAACATTCATGAAAGTACTACAACAGGATATCAAACATTTCCCTGCAGACAGTACAAACTAAAGAGCTGGGTTAGAGAACTATATGATGTTTGCAGAGAAGGGGGCCAGTTTAGCCCATCAGAATATGTGCAAAAGGAACTGGCAGCAGTTTGTGGAGTATTTAACCCTTCACATATGTTAAGTGAATTCGACAGTATTTTTTGTCTCATTTGCACTTATCTCATAAAGACAAGTGTAACATTTCTGTGTTAGGCAGAATATCTGAATAATATGATTTAGAGCACAAAAATTTGATATTGGGCGGCACAGTGGTGTAGTGGTTAACACTGTCGCCTCACAGCAAGAAGGTCCTGGGTTTGAATCTGGGTCAGGGCGTTTCTGTGTGGAGTTTGCATGTTCTCCCTGTGTCTGCGTGGGTTTACTTCAGTTTCCTCCCATATCCCAAAAACATGCAGAAGTGGGGTTAGGTCAATTGGCCACTTTCAAATTGCCCATAGGTGTGAATGTGAGCATGGATGGTTGTTCTTCTCTATATGTCAGCCCTGCGATGAACTGGCGACTTGTTCAGGGTGTCCTGGATGGATAGATTCGATATTATTTCAGGCTGACCATAAAAGAGTTAAACCTAATCCTGTGGACAGTCTGCTGTTAATAAATCCCTCAACAATGTCGGGCAGGATATACTTTTAGACGTCATGAAAGCAATCCATTAACTCTATCATCAGACTTGATTCAGTTTTTATTTTCACTGATGGTTTTCTCTGTTGGTCCAAAGAGTTTTGTGCAGCGTGAGTGTTTGAGATGTTCTTTGTTAAAGAAGTCTAACACACACACACACACACACACACACACACACACACACACACAGCCAGAGTTGATAACAATAGGAGCACAGAGGCAGTGTGTGAGTTGTACAGTATCAGAGTATGAGTCACTCTCACTCACTCTGCAGTCGGTCCAGCAGCTTTGTTCGGGATGTCGTGCCTTTTCCCTCCCACTCTGCTTTAGCTCTCAGGTCCTCTGCGTGGCTGCACATCAGGTACCTGCAACACACACACACACACACACACATGCGGACACGCACATGCCCACAACCTTGGAGTAAAATCACAAACATATCGTCCTCACAGTAGTTAAAAACAAGCTGGAAACTTACACTGAACACACTGCTTCTGTTGGCAACACTAAACAGTTAAGAGTCCATCAGCTGAAGGATTCAAACTAACTTTTGAAACTATCAGCTGAGCAGGAATCAGAATTGACACACACATCGTCACACATGTAGAAGTCCTGTTTGCTGTGTGGATGTTTAAGTTCAGTCCTAAACGCCACATCATGAATGCTGACATCATTACATCAATGTGAATGTTTCGAGACCACAGATGATACGACAGGTCTCCTAAAGTGAAGCCAAAACATTTAGCGCTCCCCCTGCTGACTGGCAAAGATATAGGTTAACAAACCCTGTCTTCTCCATGTTAGCAGATGGGAATGGGTTGATCTATCTATTTATCTATCTGCATGTGCTGACTACTAATGAGACGATCAGTCAGCATCCACTTCTGGGTCGAGTTTTGGCTTCACTTTTGACCAACATGTCCTCCATTTTTACAAACAGTCAGGTCCTCAAAGGTTCATCCAGCTCCAGCTTTGGTCTAAACTGTCACCACAGCTCCAGTCAGGACGTATTTTCACCTTGTTTGATATGATGAAACTTTGAACATCAACCAGGATCACCAGAGTAACACTAAATAAAACCACCTTCTGTGATGGGTGTATTTGTGTGCGCACGCGCGTGTGTGTGTGTCTGTGTGACCACTGACCCGCTCAGGATGTGGATCCTCTCTGTGTTGTACTTCAGAGGGGTGAGTTCAGCTCGGAGAACCTGCAGCGCCTCCAGGACCTTTCCGTCCTCCAGATACTCCAGATACTTCTGCTGCAGCAGCAGGAACTTCATCCGCTGTACAAAGAGACCAGCAGGAGGCGTCAGAGAGCAAAGACCCCGACCCTCATCACCACAACAGAGGTGGAGCTCTGTGCACCTTATATCTGACATTTGGTTATATTAAAGATAATGAGTCCTTTATTGACTGATCCTCATGAGTGACCCTGCCATTTCTACAGCAGCTGAGTGTCTCTGCTGGTTTCAAAGCTGAGGATTTCCTCCTTTTACAACATCTTTATTCACTAAAGCTGTGCTCCCCCTTGACCTTTCTGTAGCTCTGCTTTGTCTCTGGTCCTGACACAAATTTGAACTATTGTTTGTCTGCAACTGTTCAATTTCAGAACTTTGTATTACACGGCTACACTTAGACCATAATTTCCTCAAGAAAGGTCAAACACATTTTTCTTCTTGGTATATGTTTTTATTTAATCAACACTCAATGTTTTATGATACTGTCTTTATATTTTTAGTAGTGCTGTTTTTTTATCAGATTATTCACAGGGTTGCTGTGGATTAATTTCGATTAATCATGATTAGATTTCATACATTTTTATTCAATAATAATCGTGTTTCATTTTGCATGAGCAAAGAGACTCAACAAAGAAGGGAATATCTATGCACTGAGCATGTTAATTAAACACTTATGCTTCGGGTTAATGTGCTTGGGTGAAAAAAAGACTCCTTCCTGCAGAGTGTGCATGACAATTTATATCGGTAGACTGTTCTATCATGGGTTTTTCTGTACTCAAACTTGCATGGAGAGGGCCAACGTGCTGTTTAGCATCTTTCATATCAACAGGGCTCGAGACTGCAACCAAAATGGTCACATATAAGACAATTTTTCAGTGTGTGCGACTAAGAATTTCATCTGGTCGTGTTTGTGCAAGTACATATGTTTCAATGCTCCCTCTAACACAGGCCCTGTATTAGACATTGTGGTTAAACTTTGCCCTCTTTTTCACTGGCTTAGTCAGTCTGCTCCTCATGCACTCTCTCATGTTCTGAGGATAGAGTGCCATCGTGTACACGTGCAGCACACCGCTCACCAAAGACAGACAGAACTTCACGACAAGTGTTTCGCTATTTCCACAAATGAAGCCAACAGGAGGTGCCAAATCAGACAGTAGTGATGATGAAAAGGAGGGAGACACCGGCCGAGGAGCAGGTGAAGAAAAAAAAATACTGCTTTAATCACAATGTCTTACACATCACCCCTGGTTGCAGAGGGGAAAGCAATGTCGTGTGTATGTTGTTTCTTTGAGATCTTGGGCTTTTAGCTTGTGTAGACCCAGCTTCAGGCTCTATTTTTTCTTTTTTCTATTTTTTTGTTCTCCAACTTCTCTAAACTCACCACAATGGCACTGGGAGAATGCATCAACGCCTTCAGCTCATTCAGGTCGCTCTCAGCCTAAGCAGATAGAGCAAGGACAAAGATTGAACTTCACAGCTGAGAAATTGTCAGGATTTCTGTCAAGGTTACTCCTAGAGCACATACCTTGTCCCACTCCCCCTCCATGACATGGTTTCGAAACTTGGTGGCAGAGGGATGCTCCAGCCTGCAGCCAGACTCCTGCATCAGGAGATCCACCGTCTGACTGCAACAACCAGAGAGAAAAAGCACTCAGAGTCAATAATGAATCACGTCACACTGTCTCTGAGCTCAGGACACATCGAACACAGGAACTACAAGGAAAACAATCATGTGATCAAACCATATGAAATAAGTATGTCTGTGAAAATTACCAAAGCCTTGTCCTTTCTTTCTTCATCATTACTCCAGAAACATTCAAATTACTCTAAGGTTACAGCTCTGAGCTGTCAGCTGTCTTGGAGAAGGAAAGATAGGAGTCAAACAACATATTACTTCATAAACTTTCCTCATAAACACAATTACCTAACAGATATCATCCATAGCATCATCTGATTTATCCACATCAGCAGCTCTGACACAGAACCCTCCTTACACAAGAAATCCTCTCAGAAAAAGACTGTTTCTCACTCTTTTATTTTAAGGGATGAGCTACTCCCGGTAGATCATGAGTTACTGCGCTGACTGAAAACAGTTAAAGAGCAGTTAAACAGTCTAACTTTTGAATTGATCAGTAACCTGAAGAGACTCAAACTCTAATGTTGAATGAATAAATCTGAATGCCAGTTTCTTAAAGTGCTGAATCATCTCTTAGGGGGATGCTACAGTTAGCTCACTAGCAGCTGCTGCATCTTCTTCACCTCTCCTCTGTTTTGTGATGTGCGGTAATCAGCGTAAAGATCTTCTATGAAGTCACAGTGTTACCATGTGCTGAAGTTTTGTTCAGACTGGAAAACTGTGACAGCCTTTTTATCTTATCATCAGTCAGATGACTTCTTCTGATAAACACGTAATCACTGTGAAGAGCATCATGGCCATTGGCCACATTACAAATGTAAAAGATGATAGGAGATGTGTTCAAAAAGATAAAATCCTAAAGTTTATGGGATACAGACTTCTCACAGATGGATAAAAGGAGACTGTATCACCCCGTTTTAAAATCTTTATATCTTTTCAGCACTCTCTGGACCTACTCATACCTTTTGAACGCAGTCACTGATCCAGACTCAGGACTACCAAGGACCAGGGGCCTGTTCTACGAAGCAGGATTACTGCTTAGCGAGGTAACTTCGAGGGTAAGTTCGGGGTTTCCTGTTCTACGACGCGGGTTCACTTCTTAGCGAGGCGAGTCTCCATAGCAACATACGCTGAACGGCTAACCTGCTCCGGGGCAGGTTAAGTTCCAGATTGAACTCACCGAGCATAAAAACCCCGCCCACTGACCAATGAGCTCTCTCGAAAACTGCTTGTCCGTTCTCGGAGGATCCTGTAGACCTCGGTGCTCGCATTGTCCGAGGAGCACTCCGGCTCGCGAGAGTTTTCAGGCACTGCACGGACCCACTTACTTTTCCGGATGACCACCTTTATGAAAGGCTCATATGGCCTACATATCACACAAAAAATGTAAACACGATAGGAATGAACAAATGAATGAATTCATCTTGGAAATGAATGGGCATGGGCTGCGTGATCACAGACAACATCTCGGTACTATTTAGTCGCGGCGCACGCCCCTTATAATAGCCCCGTAAATACTGTTGTTCAGGACTGCTTACTTGTGCTTCCTACCTACTGTAACAACCGTTGTTCTAGCCCACATGCAACATTTTTGTTCTCATTCATGAAACGCTTAAATCGGGGACATTTTCGGGGACATTTTCGGGGACAGTTTTAGCCGGGGACGGATCATCCAATTCGGGGACTGTCACCTTAGTTAAAAGTGCGTGTTGAACAGTGCTATTTCAGGGTGATAATGGCATCAAAGATGCATTTTCTGCCAGCATTCCTTCCGTGCTTTTGCAGCGGCGACGGTGTTGCTTTTGAGGTTTATGGTAGCTTTGAATTCTTCATACTTTCTCATGATCGTCTTCTGCTCCTCGTTTGTAAAGTCCGCAGTCCTTCACTCTCCAGCCTGCTCTGACGCTCCAGACTGGTCCATGTTCGCGATTGGTCAGATGCGGCGGGCTCCGCCTTATATGTGTGCACGCGCTCATAGCAAAGCTGGATCCACTTATGAGGTTGATAACCAGCGTCGTAAAACCGCTTAGCGAGACCGCTGGCTACTGCGCTAAGTTGAGTCTAAGTTGAACTTGCTTCGTAGAACAGGCCCCAGGTCTCTTTAGCTGTGGTCTGAACAGATCAGACTGGCCAAGATCCAAATGAGACTTAAAATGTCTTTTAAAACACATTTTCCAAGAGCACTTTCACTTGGTCACTGGTTCAAACCCTAACCCTGAGTTTTGACTTTATGACTTTTGATCGGTCTAACTTTTGCATTACTTTTATAAACATGAGCTTGTTCTTGTTGACTTGTTTTCACAGATGTCCTGTTGTTGTTGTTGTTGTTGTTGTTGTTGTTGTTGAAGCTGTGGACTGCTTTAACCTTACTGTCTTTCTATTTTTAGGTGTGAATCACTTTGAACTCTGTTTGGACAGGTGCTGGATAAATAAAGGTCATTGTTCTTCTTGTAGTTGTAATTTTAGCCTGTATATTTTTTGAAGGGTGGTCACATTCACTAGAGAGAGGAGTGTGGCCCTCCTGGTGAAGTCATACTTTACATACGTTTTTTAACTATATTATCAGATTCCTGATCTACGAATGACAGTGTAGTGAAGACATGTCAACAGAGTCATTATTCTGTCATTATTGAAACTTAAAACAAAGTAACATGATCAACGCTCCCTGGATGCTCTTCTAATATTTCATACTGAAGAACAATAAAGCTGGAATATTGAGATAGCATACAGAGTTTGAGCACTTAACTTTTAAGTATTGCAGTGTAGTGTGTTGATATCATAGACTGTATATATACCATGGACAACTTGGCTCTGCCTTCCGCAGTATACAGATTTGAAGCCAAAAAGCTCTCTGTATTTCCGTGATCTTCTCCATTTCCTGGTACCAACATTGCCCAGTAGTGTTGTACGCATAAGAGTCACCAAGAGTCGCTGTGATGATGCTCGGCTGAAACAGCGTTTCCCCCAGGTGAGCTACGCAATCTTCATACGCCCATAAGCTGTATCAAGTGTCAATCATAGAAAACATGAACCCCCTAATAACTTGTAAAAATGGAGCTGTACAGAAAGAAAGAGGACTTGAGCACAAACCAGTCTTACAGTAACTAAATGTCAACATTGCAATTAGGGGGGAGAAAAATTTATGTTCTGTGTAATTAATTTCTAAAGTTTGTCCACAACTCCATAGGGATTGCTGGAGGAGGCGGGATTTATGACCAATACAGCAGCCCAACACCAACGAGTGCTGTTCTTAGGGAGGCAGATGGCGTCCATTCTATATACAGTCAATGGTTGATATTTACAGGCTGAGTTAATTTTGAGTAGCTACATGGACCTATGAATAAAAAAACTTAAGAATCAACACAATCCAGAAAGTCCCTTAACAGGAGGCTTCGGTCTAAAAACAGTTTGTAGGAAATCAGCCAATTAATGACCTGAAAATCATAAAAGAAGCATCTTCAGCATGAATTGTTGATTGTGGTGCCCCCAGTGGGCAAAAATCTTACAGCATGGCTGATCTGATTTCTCATTGAGTAATAGCTTTACACATGACTTTTTAAATTTATTTTAAACCCAAATATTAGTCTTCAATTTTATCCTTTTCAATCAGCTGTCCAGAAACCTACTTGTCCTTTTTTAAAATATTTCCCTGCACCAAAAAATCTTTCTGTCTACACTTCTTCAATGAAATGTTCACTCACGTTCAGCGGTATTATCTTCAGTATTACTAAAGTGTATTTGGATATCACCTATCAGCTGACTCGCTCTCTTACTAAATTTAAACACTTAACGATGTTTGTCTCTTTCTCATGTTATTTTTTCTCATTTAGCACAGACTGCAGAACATTTCAACAGAAAATAAACACTTGTCCTCTCAGACTGGACTCTGTTCAGAAGCTGCATAGGGCTGATTGTGATCACTGAAACAGCTGACTATGTACAGCAAAGATCAGAAAGAACATCCTTTACAAGGGTTAGGGTTAGTCCAATACAGGTTTATCTACACTCACTTGGGTGTGTGTGTGAGTGTGTGTGTGTGTGTGTGTGTGTGTGTGTGTGTGTGTGTGTGTGTGTGTGTGTGTGTGTGTGTGTGTGTGTGTGTGTGTGTGTGTCATTAGCCGCGGGCCTGATTCACCTGTTAGGCCTGCTGTGAAGACAACACGCACTTTTTCAGGATTCTTATACAGAGGCAGGTCAAAAATTTTTTCTGAAGGGTGGGTTGTATGAACAAATACCATTCACTTACTCTTTCTGTCTACACCAATTTAATATCTTACGTTTACATACCACACTGATATTAAAAGCAAATGAGGCAAAGTGAAAACAAATAAATCCCCAAAGATGAGGATTAGACTCAGATCATCACCCTAGCTTGTTGGGTATGGAGGACGAAAATAGACAGAATGAAATATAAAAATACATCTTTCAATAAATACTTAAAAAGTCATTAATTAATTAAATGGGAATTTAAAAAATGTGCCATTAAATGTGTCATTAATTTACTGAATATACCAGTTCATTCAATGTAAAACATTTATAATTATTTCACAATTTAATTAATTTTTTTCATGGACCTGTGTTGCAGTGCTTCATGAATTTATTTTATCTGTCAAACTCATCCATCAAAGTCAGTAGGCGGGACTAATGCTGTTCTAGTGTGATACATTGCTTTGGCCTGACACCTGAAGTCTTTCACAACACAGCATCTACAAAGGATATGCTCAAACTTTCAGGAGTTGCAGGAGTTGGTTATTGATATTTTAAACCTTGCAGTGTGTGTGGAAGTCTTCGTCCACCAGCTCTGAGTCTGCACCAAAGGTCGCAAAGGTAGATGCTAGTGATTGTGGGGCTATCTCTCTTCCTCTGTCATTGCAGATTATCGTGTGTGTGCGTGCACGTATGTGTCAGGCAGGCAGGCACGGATGGAAAGAAAGATTCCTACTTATCTCTGGTGCATTTTCAGTTTGTATTATGCTCTGTTCATTGATACTGTCCCATCTAAATGACCAGGACATTTGCATTTCTAGAGAGGCTCTGCAGTGTCGTTTTTAATTGTACTTTAAACTGGGGTGGCGTAAGATTTTATGCACGATTGAAAGGTGCCGTGACTGAAAAAAAAATTGAGAAACACTAAACTAGAGCTTGTAGTGTGTGGAATTTTGGAGTTATTCCCACACTCTCTGACCAAGACATTCACCGTGGAGTGGCTGCATCATTCCATTATCTGGAGTTGATCTGTCTTGACTTGATGTGCCAGGTAACCAATCAGGTGTTAGGATCTGCCCACTGACTTTGATGGGTGAATTTGACAGATAAAATAAACTCATGAAGCACTGCAACACAGGTCCATGAAAGAATTAATTAAATAGTGAAATAATTATACATGTTTTTACATTGGATGAACTGGTATTTTGATTAATTAATGACACATTTATTTATTCAATTCCAATTTTAATTTATTAATGACATATTTAAGTATTTATTTAAAGATGTATTTATATATTTCATTCTGTCTCTTTTCATCCTCCATAGTTGGGTTGGTGTACTGTCAGACACTCTGTTTATTTTATTTTTTTACATGAAACCAAAAATGTAAAACCAGAAGAAAACACAATTTTTATTTTTTCTCAATTTCCAACTCTGTGCTCCAATCAAGAAAATAAAACAATCAGATAACAAGCATATAAATCCCAATCGGCTAAAGCTTTGTAATAAACATATAATATGTTGTGCCTGGTGTAATATAGCTGGTGTTATTTGAGTCGCGTATATTGATGACTTACAGTCATCAGTTCAACTACAACATCTGGTCACACAGAGCCAGCTAACTGACATGAGTTAAAAACAAGCAGCAACTTAAAACTGAATAATCACTCTGCCTATGCTCATGTTTCCTCACTGAAAATGTTACCTCAGGACATCAATGGATTATTGGTGATTTATCTGGGATCCAGAAACCAAACAAACATTATTTTTCTGGAACCTGGAAAACCGTTTTACTGTTTAACTGTCTGAGTCAAATGAATCAAAATAAAGCAGATTGCTCCTGTTTTTCCTCTTTAGTCGCTCTTTTTATCTCTCGCTGTCATGCTTCTGTTTTATGGTTTCCAGCTGAAAACAAAGTCATGTCATCTCCTCCTGTTTTAAACTGAACAGCTGTAAAACAAAGGCATCTAGCCACAGTTGAAGATTTTTCATATTTCTTTTGGCATTTAGGCCAGACAGTTAACAGGTGGTTAGCAAGCAGGTAAAGATAGGTCTTTTCAGAATAAAAGCCAGAAGTATCACTTAAAAAGCTAGCCATGAGTGAGGTGAGTACTGTGCACAGGCTCAATAAGTCAGACTTAAACTGTAAATAGAGATGTTTTGGTGTTTCAGACGTTCACTGTTTGTTGGAGTCTGAAGCCTAAAAGTTTAAAATCTTTTTTGCCCGTGTAAGCTTTATCTGCCCATCCATGATGTTTATGACTGTGGGCCTGAAAAACCAAAATATCAGTCATCTGTTGTGTCTCAGCTGTGGTCCTCTACTACAGGTCAGTGCTGTAGCTCTGGTTAGTACATACTGCAATGCTCTACCACCTGTATCTAAACAAGCACAGAAGATATAAGTCATTGGTTGCTGTGGTGTGGTTTGTCAGTATTTTAATCAAGAAAATGGAGATGAAGTTGTATGCAGGCTTTGGTGCCAGCTCTGCTACCCTCAGACTCTATCCATGGGCTGTACTGTGTGTAATTTTTTTTTTTTTGTAAATCATCTTCACACATCTGACAGGTGTTGAGAACATTTATTAAAAACTTCAGAGACTAACAAAAATGTAATGTGCTACTTTAAAAACAGAGAAGCTTCAGTAGCCTGGTGTGAAATTCCAAGTCCTCTCTGTATCAACAAAGCAGCCAATCAAAATCAAGAATTTCAAGGGGACACTTGAGGTGGCTTCTCCCCGCCATGTCCCTAATAACATAAGAACATAAGAGCAGTGTTAAATATCCTGGTTTCTCTCTGAAGGCTGACTCTACAGAGGACACGTTCACATGTCTGACCCCCCCACCCCCCAGCCTGGCCCGGTTCGGCTGCTGGCCCGCTGACTTACTTGAGCCCCAGGTCGTGTAGATGTTGTCCAATGAGTCGGATCACGTCCTCCTCGGACTGGGACAGCCTCTTCTTCTTCTTCAGGCCCGGGCTGGCCTCCGTCGGGCCGCCGGTGTTGATGGACCCGGTCTGGACCGGTACGCCGTTGTTGTTGTTGTTACTGACGGAGTTGCCGTTGTTGGAGACGGAGAGCAGCCCGTTGGAGTGCGCCGTCCCGGAGGAGGACGAGGACTCCCCGTTCTGATCTCCGTTCCGACAGGACAGCTCAGAGTCCCGGTCCCGGTCCTGTCCGGCCCCGTTAGCCTGCATGTTCCCAGGTCAGAACCGGGTCCAGATGTGTGTGAAACCGGATGACACTGCGGAGGAATCGAACGCTCCGTCACAGACACCCACAGGCCCACTGACCCAGATGCAGCCCCGTACGGCCCTGCTCCCCTTGCGGCCGAGGCTCGCTTACAGTCAGACGGTGGAGGTGACCTGCTCGTGGAGCCGGAGGACGGACAGTGGATCCCGGACTCAGTGGATACGCATCATGGTGCCAGTATCGGGGGTTCTGGTGGCTGTCAGTCCGGTATAACCGCGGTAGAGACTTGGTACAGCTTGTTATTGTTGCTCTCAGACAGCTGCAGCCTTGTTATGGACTGACGCACTGACGTCAGCGGAAATTCCTTCACGTATTTGTACGTAAGCTGCGTCGCCATCAGGTGGCGCTGAAGTACGGACACCTGTCAGACCTCTGTGAGAGGACCCAAGTTTAATGGGAAGATTGTTCTTTTGTTTTTACAGGTTTAATATGATGTTTAAGGGACATAGACAGATTTGTGATGCAGTATGTCTGATCCATATTTTTATTTTCAATATTTCCCTCCGTTTACAAAGATCCGTATTCTACGCCATTTTAGTTTATAAAATCAGAAACACATTATGATTTTGTTAATTCTGGCTGACGGTTGTCATGCAACTGCATTCAACGATTTACAGAGATATACACGGATTGTTGTTAATATCTACAGACAGATGTTTTTAATAATAATAAAACTGGTATAATTGTTTTTGTTAAAAAAAAAACAACGGATTTTTCAGTCATCATAATCACTTACCAAAAATGATCATTCAAAATTTATGACTATTGTTTATCATTATGACAATCGTTTTTATTAAGTTATTTTATTATCATTTCAATTATATATAGTATCAAAGTAGCGAGAGTATAGGAATAATAGCAACAGTTATAATAAAAACAAATAATAATAATGAATATTACAATCACTTTTATTATTACTTTTCATATGAATATTATCATTATTATTTTATTTAATAGGCTTACCTTTGTCATATTTTTCAATAATTATTTTCATCTGGAGTAGTTTTGGTTGTACAAATAGTACTTACATTTGATAAAGGGGCAGTGGTAATTTATTTTTTTTACTCATGGGGAAGGGGAAGCTAATATGCAATTCTCAAAATGAAAAGAAATTAAGCTTTCCTTTAAAAGAAAACAAGAATAAAAGAGGCTACCAAACAAGGTTGCCTGTGTTTTTTCTATAAACTCCTTTTGGCCACTCTAGGTGCTACCTAAAAAATCCTGAGCCCTAATTCCTTGTTGTGTGGGGTCTCTGAGGTGATACCTCTGTTTTATCCGGTCTTGAGATTGTGGTTCTGAATGTAGGATCAGTGTGCTGCAGGTTCAGCTCACTGTAAAGAAGCAGGACTCAAAGACTTCCTTTATTCCAGTTTTTTAATCAACTCACATTATGATGACAAACAACTGAAATGAAAGAGGGTACACTGATGGAGAGGACCTCAGAAACCAGAACTGTGCAGACCTAGACCTACAGGAGGTCTACATCAGTCTACTAAAACTTAGACAAAAATTCAGAACTAACAACAACCAAGAGCACAGACTCAAACCCTGTCCAACCATCACCTGGTCCTGCTAACCTGTCATACTGCACCTCACTACCTGTGGGTTCATAAAGTCTGTACAGACCAGGACTAGGACTAGGACTAGGACCAGGACCAGAGCCAAGACCAAGACACATTTTTCAAGGTGCTTTTTTTCCAGCCTGAGATTCTTGAAAATACAAAGCAGGATCCAGCCGAGGACCTCGCAGAGGACCACACTGTGGCTGTAACTTTTCAAACCTCCTCTGTCGTTGGCACGTTCACATGTAGGAAAACATCAGGTGGTCTAATCTCTGTAAAATCTATATACAACCTCTGTCTTCTTTAAATAGAACTAAACTCTGTATTTATAAAAATATGAGTTAAAGGGAGGGAATGATTGGACGTCTGCCTTCAGAGAGAGCGAGAGAGTTGGGTTTGTAGAAGAAGAAACTATTGCACTTTGACCCCGCCTTACATAAACACTGAGGGGCTCTACAATCAGAACAGGACAGAGCTAAAGACCCCCCACCCCTCATTACATACATACACAACATATAGTACACCTGCTTCCTGTATGGGGGGGAGGGGGCTGCTCTTCCTGCATGGCACCTCTGTCCGATCAGAGATCATCAATAATCCACCCTGTTAAAAGTTTCCAGCATGTCTTTAGGCTTTGGTGTGACGTCACAATCATTTGAAACACAGAGACAGGCTGCAGACCTGCATGTAAGTGTGTAGTGTTCAACACTTCTGATACCATGATAATCTGCTGCAGCTAGTTCAAATGAGTCCACCTCTCACTGTGAGTACATAGGGACCAAGACGGAGCCTGAGAGGACTCCTGCTGTTTGAGGGGAACTCTGCTGTTTTCAAACCTGAGTCCTTTTTGAACCCACTCTGGGTTTGATTGATGAGCAGGTGCACAAAGTTAGTGAATGAACTTTTAAAGGACACTCTGGTCCACCATCATGGAGACGTAATAGAAATCTGCTGCAGACACTTGAGCTTTCTGTGTGTGTGTGAGTCTTTAAAGCTCCTGTGAGGAGCTCTGTAGCTGGTTAAGATAAAATAAGATAAACACTGATGCCTGTCTATGACAAAGCATGACAAAGTACAAAAGCAAAAAGGGCCATCGGCAACAGGTTCAATTTTCTTCATTTTGGAATGTGTTAAAGATCTGTGAATAGAAAGGTGTCAGGCCAGATGACTTTACTCTTTACTTTTCCCCAAGCAAATCTTCACTAAACATTAAAAGAAATCACTGTGAGAGTGTTTGGCTAAACGACTACTTCAAGTACAGGACAAAAGTGTCAAAGGTTTGACTTTGTCCATATAAACCATCAGAAGATCTTCAATAATTTGTATGAAAAAGTGGACTCAAGTTTGAAACTCCAAAGTCTTCAAGCGCAAGAGTTAGTATTAATCTGTACAGGTCTGTGGGGGCCAGATGAGGATTCAGGCAACTAAATATTGAATCATTTTAAAAAGGGTTACCACTTTCACCAGACTTTTTTCCTAAAAAGTCTGAGATGAAAACAAAAAAGGTCAAAGTTATGACTTTTGGGGGGCAATCCTGGGGGAAAGAAATCCAAATTCTGAAGTTAAATTGAAAAGTCAAATTGAGTTTTTTAATCTAATTTGGGATTTATAACTTAAAAAAATAGTTGAAATAATTCCTGACCTTAATTTAGTTTTTTAGTGGCCCTGCAGAGGCATACATAGCTGTGAACGTTGACTGCACATTTATTAAAATCTCAGTTGAACTGCAGCTGGACTTTGTGACATCTATTCTATCACCTGTTAAAGTCTGTCACTTCAGACTTTACAGAGAAAGACTGTTAAATTTGCAGTAACACTAAAATGCTTTTTCTCACAGCCAAACAAAGCCAGAGCTCAATCAACTGTCATTAAATGTGTTATAGTATATAACAGTATATATAATATAATAATGAATTGTAATGTAACAGCCAAACTGCAGTCCGTGCTCCCAGCACAGTCATGTGTGAGATGCACAGCCACACAGAAAGATGTTGGAGGTTTTCCCTGGATGAAAACTATCAGATCTGGCTGAGAACATTTGAAAGACTAAAAGCAGGGAACAGAAACAACTACATTCATATTTTAAATCATGTGTTCTGCCTTTCCAAAACCAAAAGAGTTGTTATAATAGTAGTCCAACAGCAGTATCTGCATTCTGGGGTCATGGGTCACATCATGGTAATTGCTGAGATGATTTTTCTGCATGAAAATGTAAGCAGAAAAATCCTCACAGAAATGAATTTACACAGATCTTCTTATGACATACTCGTCTGGCAAGTCCTAAAACCGTACAGGTATTTTCTCTGTTTCACTGCCTGTGGAGTTACTGCATGCCTATGAGGGGCAGCACACTCACCAGCACCCCGCTTTACCCTGTGTGTACCAGCTGTGTGTGTTTCTGCAGAAAATAAAGACAAACAGATGAAGTTTAGCCTGTCTCCACCTGGTGTTAAACATGACATCTGTACAGGTACAGGTACAGGCATATACTGATGCAGGTGGAGGAGAGAATAATCCTGAAACAGTCCAGCACAGTGAGGCTGCCTGTCAGCCAAATGGGATCAGGTGAGTGTGTTTCGGCAGAACCCGAGATGATGGCACAAAACAAGGACACTAAAGCTGCTACAGGAGGTTATTTGGCTCAGCTGCTCTCACCGTGTGTTTCCATCTGAGGACTACATGATCAGAAACATCACATTAACACCAGGAGGGAACACAACTGACACTGATCCTGTGGAAACATCGGAGAAAGGCTGCAATGAGTGTATCTTTCTGATGACGTCAATAAATACAATAAAATACTTACTCTGTTAAAATCACATTCACTTTTATACATCCATAGAGTCTTCTGTTGGAGGAGCAGTCCAGTTTATCACATTTGAGTCAGCCAGTGGAAATCAGAGGTTATCTGCAGATTTGATTCATCAATGAGGACAGTTTTCATTTTAGAGTTTGACCAACTGTGCTCCTAATTATTTATCAACAAAAAGCATATGAGCATTTAAAGGACAAGATAAGCAAAGACTGCTTAAACCACAGGGGGGCACCAAAGTTGACCCACGGAAAGTTCCTCACAGGAGCTTTAACATAAGCTGGTCAATTTCTATGTTTACTGGAGAGTAAAGGATAAGAGACACAGTTGAAACTGCACCTACATTTGCTGGACATACTGGGCTTACTGTCCTTTTAATCCTCAAAGCGCTTTACATAAACCTATGTTATTGTTATTATAAAGTAGGTTATAGCTCTGCTTCACACTCTTGCACAGTAGATGGCAGTAAACACCTGATAAAACAGGATGTTAGCACCATGCTCATTATGGGAAAGCAGGGGGTCTGGTCTGCTGCAGACTGAGGGTTTTTTCGGAATGAGTGTACCGATGTCTTTTTAACATTCTTAGGATTTCACTTTTGTCTACAGAAAACATTTGAGCTGAATCTGTCTGTACTGCTGGTGTGACAGAAGACTAAACTGTGAAAAAATACTTTGACCAGCACTCTGGTTTTCAGACCGACTTCTCTGTAATAAACTGGAACACTCCTCTAACAGCTACGGGGGCATCCTCTGGCCTGTAGGGGGAGTTGTGGGATTCTTCAGATGAATGAAACATGATGATCAGCTGTGAGAGGCACTTCCATCTATCCACAGTCAGTCAGTGTGAAAATACTCCAGCCCCTTCCTCCCCTGAACACACACACACACACACACACACACACACACACACACACACACACACACACACACACACACACAAACACAAACACACAACCTTTCACACAGTGTGTCGTTCTTCATCAGAGCGTAAAGTTCCAGAATCCAGCTGAGCAGACAGACCTGACCCCTGATTTAGTTCAGAACCAGCATCTTTGACTTCACCTGTTCACACACACACACCATGACATCGACACACACTCTGAGACACAGGGCCAGGTGTGAGGTCAGTGTGTGTGTCAAATGCTGGCCTCTGATTGGTCCACACCCAGCTCATCTGAGTCCATAGGTTCATGGAGACGTCCAGAGGTGAGACAGGAGTCCAAAATCCAGGTAGTGTAAGCGCAAGGGAGGAGATGGCACTGAAACTGGAGTGAGCCAGTGTGTGTGTGTGTGTGTGTGTGAGTGTGTGTGTGAGTGTGGGTGTGTGTGTGTGGATGGCTGGGTGTGGGGTTCATGGAGAGAGACAGAGTCCATGTCTGTGTTCAATCTCTTCAGTTTAGATGAGTCAGTGCTGGACTCTATATCTCTCCAGTGAACATGTGTTTGTATTTTTATGTTTGTGTGTGTTTTTGTTTTTTGAGCGTGTGCGTCTGTGTGTCTGTGCCCCTTAGCTGTCCACCACCTGGTGGGGCAGTGTGACGGAGGAGCCGTTGATGAATGAACCCTGTTTGTCTCGTCCCTTCAGGAAGTACGTCAGTAGCTCGCCTTTCCCCTTCACGAAGATAGGACCCCTCCTCACAAAGCGGAAACCGTACTCCTTCAGGATGTTGTAGGTGTCCTCCACCACCTGCGGGTGCCACACACACACACACACACACACACACACACACACACACACACACACACACACACACACACACACACCATATAGATTTTAGATTGTTAGGTGCTTTCCTCAGAAATTAAGGAAAACAGTTTTTGGTTGGATGTGCAGGACTCTGCAAATGTGTCCGTTTTCTCCTAAAACATACTGGGTGATTGGTCCTGAAAGTTTGACTTTGCACATTACAGACAGTGTTGACTAGTATGAAATAAAAACCACAGACATCATCTGCAGTTATGACAGATGATCAGAGGTCTCCGGGTAATACTGATCCTGTGTGAACAGGGATCATGGACACACAGATGTCCTCTGAAGATATTGACCTAGTCTGAATCAACGTCTCTTGATCTGGTTAAAAATGATGAAGACATTATAAATAAAGGTTCGATTGCATTTTGGCAGCAAATACATATGGGTCATTTTATACACAGCATTGGAATTATCTCTAAATATCACAAAGACCATGATTAAATATAAGGACAGGGTGACTACAGGTATGAAGATAGCACCTAAAATACCACCTTAAAGAAAATTTAAGACCAAACTTGCGATGGAAATACAGACCAAAGTGAAAATATATTCTTTTACAAGTGAAGGCATTGATCTCAGTTAAAAATTTACAATAAGGAAAAATGAAAATAATCAGTTGTTCAATAACATTCTTCAAATGTGTTAATAAAGGAAAGAGCATTTCTGCCTTTCCCACTGATGTCAAATTGCAGGGTCAAATTTGTGATAAGTACTTGGTCTCGCTGACAGCCAGTCTGTTAGCCCAGTGAGACAGCTGATAAACACAAGCACAGCCACAAAAACTGTCACTTAGACAAAAAAAAAGGCTGTCATATAAGAAATTAAAATCTCGATTGTGGTCTCAGCCTTGACAACTCGTGCATATTGACTCAAAGTTAGCCCTTGCGCTCATATTAGCTGTAAAACAACTGTGTTGCACGATTTAGTCTTTTTTTTCCCCTTTAAAGAAAAGCTGCAATTTCAACATGTCCAAGCATCCTGACTCATAGCCACGTTATTAAGGTTTGTAATAAACAAAACCATTTGTAAATCTATCTTTCAAGATTTCAGCGAGTTAAGAGTATTTTTGATTATGCAGATAACTCGACTTCCCACAGCTACCAGAGAGCATACCAGAATTGGATACTGTGGTAAGATGGCCGCAGTATAGGCATGCTGGTGACTCTGTCTTGAGCCATCGAGCCTTTCTTTTAGATATCTATGGTCTAAGTTTTCAAGCCACTTGTCATTGGAATTTTCCCATTTTGCACAACCAAGAAAGCCAAGATGGCTTGCAAGGACGCGACACAGACTCATCGCATCATGTGATCTACATGCCAGGGCGAGATGGGATGAGAATAGCATTTATTCTGTGCTTACCAGAAATTCTCACGGTGAAGTGACTAAAGCACATGTAAGACCTATCTGAATTTAAGACAATTTAATACTTGTTAAGGCCTGTTATTGGTAAAAATGTATTTAAGACTTTTCAAGACTCATTAAGACTTTTTAAGAACCCGCGGTCACCATGGAAAAGTTACAACAATGATGAAAACTCATGTCTTTTTCCACCACTCTCATGAGGGACTATAGAAATATGTCTTATAATAACAAATAAAAGCATAGAGTGAAATGCCTGTCTGAAAATGAGGGTAAAGATTATGATATCAATGAATCTCTCTTCCTCTCAGTGTAGGAGGATGGCATTGACATGCTGTTGATAAGGAGTGATCAGATGGCTGACAGGCTTCTCAGTATGGAGTCAGGAGTATTTCCTGTCCTTTAAACAGATTCATGACCTTTGGAAGCAATGCTGCCTGCAATCACCAGCTGCATCATGGAGTCTTTTTTGCGTAGAATTGAAGAGAGCAGCACTTTCTGTATTGTTGCTGGGCAACGGAATGACTTGTGCAGACAGCTACTGATATTAGAGGCAGCAGTCAGGAGTTTGGCTCAATACTAACAGTTTTACAGACATAACCTTATGAATTGAACAAAGTGTGTTGTAAAGTTTTGAATGTGCAAGCTCTGTGGGAGGTTACTTGATGTGGATGTCCTTCTTTCATCCGTTTCCAGCAGGCTGTAGTCTGTCGACAGTTTTTCTGCCCAGTTTTTCTCAGAAAAGAAGGTGCATGTCAATCAGATTCAACAGTACATATAGGGTCCCAACCACAGTACTAGCCATCAATTTCTTTATCATTTCTTTGAAGTAATAACCACCGTATTCATCATTTTGTGTTGCAGACGCGGTAGTCCTACTGCCTTAGCGTCTTAGTCTGATTACATTTCCGTGAAGAAATTATCATAAATGTTTATCCTTGAGCTGCATCACCCCGCTGTAGTCCATAATGGACTGGCCCAAGGTCTCGCTTCAAACAAGCGGCTGCTGGAAGAGAGTGGGTGAGTTGTGTTTAGTCTCTTTGCTAAAGAAATCAGGCAACGCTAAAAAGATGTTTGATGGCTAGTACTATGCCTGGGACCCTATATGTACTGTTGATGAAGTTAGGAGCTGTTCTGAGCATTACTTGTAGCTATAGAGTGGCGTTTGGTTGAGGTTTGTTTGTGGCTCCTGAGACCACTGTGTATTGCTATCGTATGGTCGTTACTAAAGTTGGTATAACTAGAGAAGCAAGCGGTTGACAACATTCATCTCTCCGGGGGGGTGGGGGTCTAACTCGGTGTTGTGGTGTGTTTGACCCTAAATTAATTTTACGCCAGAATATCCCTTTAAGGTAAGCCAAATATGCTTTTTTTTAAGATTTGATTACTTGGAATTAAACTTTTACAGCCCTAAAATAAGTGAAATGTACTTAATATAAGTATATGTAGTATAAGTAGAAAATGCTGGTTTTAAGATCCATCCATTCATCGATTGTCTATACCACTTTTCCCTTTTGGGGTCACAGGTGGGCTGGAGTCTAGATTACACCCTGAATCAGTCGCAGTCAATTGCAGGGCCACATAGAGACAAACAACCAGTCACGCTTACACTGAAGGACAATTTAAAGTCACAAATGAACCCACAGAGCATGTTTTTACTGTGTGGGAAGAAGCTGGAGTACCCGGAGAGAACCCATGCATGTATGGGAAGAACATGCAAAGTTCACACAGAAAGGCCCTGCCCCTGGATCGAACCGAAGACCTTCTTGCTGTGAGGCACATGTGCCACCTGCAGCACCCCCGTGCTACCTCTGTCATAAGGTGAGATAACTTAAAAAGGTAACTTTTTTACAGCCTCAAAATAAGTGAAATATACTAAATATAAGCTATTACATATTTAGTTTTCTTATTTTTAGCATAGCAAGCTGAAGATTAGTTATACAAAAAAATAGAAATTTAGAGAAAAAATACTCAGTACTAGTGAAGAATGACTAAACTGTCTCAACCCAAGCAGGCTTATCTTCAAACAAGGCTTACTTAATCTTAAAACCTTATGCCTGTCCTCATTTTTAGAATTTACATCCGTATGGGTGTGTTGTGTATTATGTATTGGGTGACTGAGTTTGCCTGTTTCCTGTTTTGTATTCCCTGTGCTAGTTTTACAAACATTGGTCATTAAATGCTTGAAATCAGCGCAACAAACTCTTTTTCTTGATGCTTTTTGTGTGACTCTTGAATAAAGCAACTTGAGTTTGTTACTGAATCTTAAAACAAGATTCCTTTTGATGAGACTTTGGGAGAAAGACCGAAATATAACTTATTTTAACAGTTATTTTCCTCATTCTAAGATTCCTGCCTATTTAAGACAAAAAAAGATAAGGTTGTGCTTGATATAAGATTATAGTGTAAAGTTAAACACTTAAAATAAGAAATTTAGAAATTATCTAACACTTATAAATCTAAGTTTTTTGTCTTGGTTAAAAACAAAAAATTTGCAGTGTGTGAATTCACCAACACCCAACACTAGAGGTGCATAACTCATGATTAAGACTATATGAGGTCCCTGCATGATACTAATCCTGTGCTAATAGTGCTACTGTGGACTTAAAGGGCATTAAAAACACCATTATGCCCACAGGTGGTGCTGACCCCACTTTTGGATAGCTTTAGAGGATGAACATAAGAGTCTTTGGTGAATCTCACTCATGACGATACTTAATCAACCTCGGCTTTATCTGCATCCAAACGTTTCTGATCTGACCTGCTCCTCTTAGTCTTTAACCCCACTCTCATTTATTGATTAGGGTCCAGCAATGAAGTAGAGTTTAAGTACCTGAATGTTCCCCATCACCCCTGTGGACTCCATGCGGCTTGCCACGTTCACAGTGTTTCCCCAGATGTCGTAGTGAGGTTTCCTGGCCCCGATCACTCCTGCTAACACCCCACCTTTGTTCAGACCTGCAGGACACACAAGATGGTTGATTAAGACAACATATAGAGAGAGATGATAGGAGCAGCTGCCTGCAGTAAAGTCACAGAGCAGGCACAGACTTCCTGTCTTCATATCAGACTCAGTGATTCAGAATCCTGATCCGCATGAGGCTATGATGCTGATGCTCTCAAAGATTTAATATTCATGTATTTATGAAACTCATTTTGAAGTATAATTTCACGAGAAGCTCCACATTCCTCATTTGTTTACTGTACTTGTGACTTTATTCCTATACCTTCAAATTTATTCTCAAAATCATAATTTCCTTTCAACCTTAGCACTCCAGGAAGAATAGCTGAGGCTCGGCCAAGGCTAATGGGGAACCCAAATAAATCAAATCAAATCAAACCTTAGTGTGGCCCTGATACTCTGCCAAAGCTCTTCACAGCCCTCTTTAGACCTTAACTCCAGAGACTTCCTGTTAGGTTTCAGTTTTTGATTCTCTCAGAGCATGCAGACAGAAATGAGGGAGTCTCTGTGACATACCGATTCGCAGCATGAAGTTGTTGAAGGACTGGTAGTTTATATTCATCAGAGTGACCTTCATGGCCAGAGCAAAGTCTGCAAGGTCAGCCAGGTGCTGCCAGCGCTCTCTGTCGGTCTGCTCCTCCTTCTGATTAAAATAAAACAAATGACAGGTCAAACTACGGCAAAACCAACTCCTGCTGTAAAAACTCTTCACTTTGGGGAAAGCAGCTACAGAGCTGGGTTTTATTACACTCAGAAAATAATCAACTGTGATCTATGACAGTTGGGAGGAGTTTTTGTGGTGTGCAAACCTTCATGCAGCTGTATCCGTTGCTGACATCTGCAGTGACTCCTGAAGCTGCCATGTAGGTGCTGCCGATCGTCTTGATCTTAGTGATGCAGCGAAACTGGGGCTCATCCAGCAGCTGACACAGACAGCAGGGGTCAGAGGTCACACATATTAACCTATAACCTTCATTCTTTTTAAGAACAGGACAATAATAATAATAATAAAAAAACTCACGCTGTCAAAGTCAGAGATGATCTCGTTCAGGAAGCGGAGACACTCGATCCCTCCATTGTTGATGCTCTCCTCAGTGTAGAAGTCAGAGAAGTTTGGGATGGAGGCAAACATGACCCCGATCTCATCGTACGACTGACTGTACAGCTCCTGAAGTGGAAAAGATTTAAAACACGTCAGATTTAAACTGTGAGAGAAGCAACAAGACCCAAGTGGGAAGATGAAATGTTGGTTTGAATAAACCAGAGAGAGGGCACGCTGGTGTTTGTAACTGCTCCAGCTGAACCCAAAGTGAGGAGCAGAATAAAACCTTATGACTTCACACTTTGCTTTGTCATGAGCCTCCAGCAGAATGAAAACAAAAAAAAGATTGAGTTCTCTCACTTCGTCCCTCTTCTTGGAGCCCAGGAAGTGTCGAGCCACGTGTTCAGGCAGCATGTTGGTCACTAGAGCTTCATTCCAGCGTCTCATCTCGTAAACTTTCTCCTTCTGCTCGTGAACCTCGATCTTCCACAGGAACAGAGTGCGGGCAAGTTTCTCCACCTGCAAGAAGAGCAAGCAGCAACCCACCAATGACGGCTCATCTTACTGTTTTAATCATGCCCCCCTAAATACACATACAGCAGCAAAGTAGTGACTTTGTTTGGTCAGTGGTGCAGTATGACTACATTACGGGTACATTTACTGCTGACCCCAACAGTACAGAGTGTACAACATTTCATTTTAACAGCTGCTCAAATGCACAGGACTCTAGGGTGGAAATCCTCACATGGGCTTAAAAATCTCTTTCAAAAATCATCCTCAGTGAACACAGTTCATCACTGCATCCACAAACAAGGTTAAAACTGATCCTTACAAAAAGGAAACCAGATAGAAACCTGATCCAGAAACACCAGAGACATCTCTGGACCTGAGCCCATTTAAGGTGGACTGAGGGGAAGAGGAAATCTGTCCTGTGGCCTGATGAATCAAAATGTTACTTTCTTTTTGAAAATCATGGACGCTGCATCCTTTTCTCGCAAGAGTACAGGGACTACCCAGCTGATCAGCTCTCAGTTCAAAGCCAGCATCCCTGATGGTATGGGGGTCATCAGAGTCCATGTCATGGTTATCTTTCACATTTGTGAAGGCTCCATTATTGCTGAGCAATATCTACAGGTTTGGGAGCAACATCTGCTGCCATCCAGATAAAGACATTTTCAGGGAAGACCTTCATATTTCAGGAAGAAGATGACCCTGAACTGTTGAGCAGCTAAAATTCTTTAGATTTTACTTTCAAACTCCAGAAACTGGTCTGCTGGGTTCACTCATGTTTACAGTGTGTTGGGGAAAGAAGAACTGAGGACACAAGATGAGAAACATGAACCTGGGACTCATTTTTAGACTAACATACTAAAAACATCAGATGTAGTCAGAGAACATCAATATTCATGGAATATTCAACCGACATGTGTCTGCCACAGACACAGAGCAACCCTGATGACCCTGAACACACCATGACTGCATTGCTAAACTTGTTAAATTTTTTAAACAGCGTGGACTTACATGTCTGGAGAAATAATAGAAGCTGACCATCATGATGAAGATCATCACCGACATGGTGAACTTGGAGGGAACCAGGGAGGACCTGAAAACAGAGGGGGTCAGGAGTTTCTGTTTGCACTGACTGTAACAATAATGAACCACAATAAACTTCGCCTCCTCTCACCTGTAGTCCTGGAAGCGGGTGGAGTCGTAGAGGTCAAAGATGTCCCTCCAGCTGTAGATGTTTACAATGCCAGTTGCCACGGTGATGAGCAACATCAGTGTGAGCTTCACCATGTGACTCACCTGAACCAACATGGTGGTGGCCATAAGAGCCAGGACAGCCATGTAGCTGTAGTATTTAGGGTTATCAAGGCAGCCGTCATGGCCTGACTGGGTGGAGGTGGAGGAGGAGGAAGGGGACGAAGACGAAAAGAAAGGCGAGGAGAATGATGAAGAGGAGGAGGGGGGGGCCATCGTGGGGCTGCTTGAGTTTGGGTCTTTCGGCACACAGCTCAGCTGCAGAGGAGAGAGAGAGAGAGATCATCTTTGATTATTAATTTCTAACATTAGCGGACTTCTTCTTCAGCTGCTGCAGTCTGGACCATTCTGAGAGAGGAAGACAGCAAACCCAGAATTTATGGAGGGACAGACATCCTTCAGTCAGCTCCTCCTAAATACAAAGATTACTGCCTTACAGTGAAACCTTTGAGCTTTAACGCAATAGAAAGATGAACAACATGACAACTCCCCAAAAGTGAAGCCCAAATATTCAGGGATCCCCCTGCTGACTGACTGCAGTATAGGTCATACAAATAATCCCCCACAGTAACATATGATCCAGGCATAAGTCTAGCTGTTCATTTGTCATAAAGGACAGAGAGCAGCTCACCATATCCATGATGTCCGCCATGGTGAGAATGAAGATGGCTGCCATGGCCCAGGTGTTACGAGCCCAGCGGGTGTGGTCGATCCAGGTAGAGAAAGACACCAGCTTCTTTGGAAACACCTGAGAGACAAACACAAACAAACAAAGTCAGTGAATAATGCTGAATATTAGGACTTCAGTGAAGAATACGGACCAGGTCTTTAACCCTGATATAGTTGATGGAGTTAAATGACTCTCAAGACCTTTCTATTTTCAGATTCTCAGGGCTGGTCAACTGGAAGATGACCAGGATTTTAATGTCAACTTTAAAGATCAAAGTGTGTCACTAAAAGTTCTTGTTTTTCTCAGCCTGTGTTTCTAAAAGTCTGACAGCATTACAGAGAGGATCCCTGCAGAGGAGGAGGGTTAATCACGAACAGCTGTTGTCGCTACCAGACCTGTCCCGGAAACCTGATTTGTACTGTGCATGTGCGAAACATACGTCACTTACTCTACTTGTATTTCATTGCGTTTTACAGCATTGCTGTTGCTACCTACCCAATCCATACTGCGCAAGTGCAAAACTTTATTTAAACAACCGATCGATTTCAGAAACCAGCTGGCAATGTGACAGGCTAGCTAGCAGGAGGCTCCAGGGCTAATGCGCCTCGGCAGGAGGGGATGAACATTTGCATATGAATCACATGACCAGTATCTTTATTTTAACAAAAAAAAAATTATTTATTTTATTTATTTTATAAACTGAATTTATTAACGAGAAGCGTACACATTATGGACAATGAATTTCAGCGTTTTTATACAGCGTTTTAATTTCAACAATGAAATATTTACATTCATTCAAGCCTTTTATAACTACGTTACAATTTAACAATTAAGCTAGTAGTAGTAACCTTTAATTGTAAAACTGAGCGCCATTCTCTTAACTTTCTGGCGCTCTGCTTCAGTGGGGGGGAGCACTTTGTTCAGGAGAAAAGTGTGTAGCTGGTGATAAACTGAAGCATCCATTCTGACTGAAGTGAGCTCGCTGATGCTGAAGCTGTCGAACAAGTGTTGAAGCTGTCGCAAACTGCAAGGGGCAAAGAATTGCTGAGCTGTTGCAAAGATGGCTAGTAGAGGAAGTGATGTACGTTTTGCACATGCGTAGTACAAATCGGGTTTCCGAGACAGTTCAGGTAGCAACAGCTTTCCCTCATGTCCTGATCTCAACATAACTTTATTAAACTCAGAGATAACCTTGACCTGGGGCTCCTGGGGGAATACAGCCATTGAAACAGTAATAATGAACACATGTTGTTGATTGAACTGTCAATACTAACATTCAGCATCGACAGAGCTCTGCTGACAGTGATCACTGTCAGACACGTGTCTCTGTTAATGGGCCGAAGTGTTCCTGAAGGCCTCAGGCTCTGTCATATCACAGCTCATATTGATGAGTGTGTGTGTGCGTGTGTGCGTGTGTGTGTGTGTGTGTGTGTGTTTGATTGATCAGCTGACTGTGTGTCCATGTGTGACCTCAGCTCTCTGCAGCTGATGATGATTATCAATACATCTGACTTTCCATGACGCAGGGGAAATCACAAGCTCCACTTAATGCAAACCAACTGTACATGCACTAAGTCTGTACACTACACACCACTGTGTATTTTACAACATGCAGCATTTAAACACAAGAAGATAAAACGAGACAAAACAAGAATAATGTCCTGATTCAGGAAACTTGTCAAACACAAATACTCACCCCACTGGCATACTTTTTCACTCATTGTAAGTATTCAAGGTCTTGTTTTTCGCTTTTGGGGTCCTAAACTAAGATGTTTCCGACAATAACTCTGGTTCGTTCTGAGTTTCTGAGTTTTGTTGTGTACAGTCCTCATCTGGTCTGACCGCAAACCTCGTCAGATTCTCATACAACCATCATGATCAGAAGTGCTAAAATCCTCAGTGTACTTCAAAGTGCATGGCCATGAGGGTTTTAGGAGTTGACTGATCACACATATTTGATGTTCAATCCACCCCGAATTCTCTAGGATTGATACAAGACCAGAATGGAAACATATTTGTCTAATATTCCCTTTCAGTAACTTCTGAAGGGACTCATCCTCAGTTAAACACTCGTACTACACACTCGTGTCATTTCTTTGGTGTTCACTTAGCCTTTCATAGCGCTTCATCATGGCTCACTTCAAACAGGTCATTTTTGGTTTCATTATTGTCCACATGGACATGCTAAAAACCTTCGTCTTCCGTGTCCAGCCATCCTTCTCTTTTTTTTTTTTTTTACTGAGCCAAATATTTTCCAGTCAAAGTTTTTTAAAAATGTTCAGTCATGTTCAGAACTTTTTTATTATTATTTGTCAGTCCTATTAAATTGTATTTTACTAAAAAAAAAAAACAACAATGTGATATGGGCATAATATTTCAGCTGACTTGTTCTCTCACGATCTGAACAGGCTGTAAAAAACCTGAAGATTACATTTACATTAACACTGGATGACTTACTCATTTTTTCTTGTAAAGTAACACACTTTTAATTCAACTTGTTATTGAAGTTGCACATTAAACACAATCTCTAATATTTCTGTTGTGTTGGTAGCGTACTGTTTTCTTGGAACTGGTCTTCTGGGTTCTCCCTACGCTGGCTCCCTGTTTGTTTGAGGGTTGATTGATGCTCTTGTAGTCCTTTTCATTTTTCTGGTCCGGTGTCTTGGTCTTTAACTGATACTTCTCCAGGTTTTGGGTTATGAATTTGTTCCTCGTACATTTTTTGCTCATATGTCAAAGCACTTTGTTTATAAAGGTGCTGTATAAATAAGAAAATTATTATCAAACATAACTTGAAAGTGTTTACCACATCCCAATACATGCTGTCATATTTTCTTCACTGTCTTTTTTTTTTATTTTTTTTTATTTTTATTTTTTTGGAGGGAAGTGAATACTATTTTAACTTCTTCAGCTGATTACCCCCCCCCAACTTCCACCTGTACTATTGAGCCACTAATCTAAATGGCACATCGCCTGGCTCTTTCCCTCTGATAATGCTATTCCTCCTGCATTTGAGGGTGTCCCTTCTCTCTTTCAACACTTTAAGGGCATCCCTTCCTCTCTTTCTGAGTAAAATATACCTAGAGATTTTGAGACAATTGGAAACTTTGCTTCAGAGATTCGAGCATCTCTCAAGAACTGGACTACCAGGACTCCACAGAATCTCACTGTACATTAATGAAAATTTGTCAGAACCCCCCTCATGAAACGTGGTGCACATTCCACTGACGTTTGTCTGAACACATGACCCTTCATCAGTGAGTCTCAGAGATGATGCAGACACTTCCTAAGGAGGCTACAGTAAAATCTGAGTTTATAAGTATGAAGAGATGCTGTGACTCACTCTGGGTAAGATGGCCGCCAGAGAGCAGACTGTCAGGATCAACAGCAGAACTTCTCCCACAGCAAACGTGATGTAGTTTGCAATCAGCCTGTCAGACCAGGAGAAGAAATTCAGCTCTGGGGTTACATTAATCAAACACATGGATACAGAGGTGTGAGGGTGTTTCTGACCAGGGGTCTATGAGCGCCTCCATGGTGGACGTGAAGAGCAGGACCATGCAGGAACAGCAGAACGCAGCTCCACTCTGCTTCTCCTTCTCCACAGAGTACCGGGTCTCTAGGTCCGGGTCCACAAATCTCAACGAGAGCCGGTTTGTGTGTTTCCCCTTCAGACTGAGCACACAGGAGACCCACATTAGAAACTACTGTTACATTTCTAAGAGTATTATTCACATCTGAAACAATGTAAGACCTCCAAGAAACAAAAGCTGCCTCTGTGTTTAAAAGGAAAACCTGCAGAATTTCTCACTAATGTTAGGCACTAAAAGCCTGATCCAGAGGTCACAAAGAACACACCAAAATAAGACACCAAAGGCTCCCAGTCAGAGGAGGAGTGCTGTGAACCACAGTGCAAGAACTCACGACTAAAGTGCTAAACTGACAACTCAGTGAGAAAGAGGACATGTGTAGTCGACTCTGGTGTTAACGATATTCTTACCCTGCTGGAGAAAGCTTCTAGAGACTTCTGAACGTGTGAGTTATTCACAGCCCAAAATAGTACAAGGTAGAGCCAGCAAATAGTACAACAAATTAAGGGAACAAAGTGGGATTCAATAAAGCCTGGAATTCAAGAAAGAGCCGGAGTCATGAAATGAATTTGATTTTCAGGGAAATCTGTCAGATCAGATCTGGTCGATCATGCTTGTGAACTGTGCTGTAGTTCTCTCAGGTTCCTCCTATCTAACCTCAATGGGACTAAAAGGTTGAATAAATTTATAACAGCAGTGTTTCTTACGCCTGCACGGTCTCTCTCTCCAGCAGAGCCTCATTCAGCAGCTTGTTCAGCTCCTGTTCGTTCTCCTGAGCATCAATCACTCTCTCGGCCAGGTCTCTGAGCCGCAGCCTCCGCCGAGGGTTTGGGAAGGAGGGATTCACCACCTGAGGAGCACAGGCAAACTTAAACTACAGTTTTACAGGAGCAGGTTTGTAAAATCGGTTTGCTTCATCCGAACTGCTCCCAACATGCTGGCTATCTCCACTGCATCAAGTTCAGCCTGTTTCATAAATGAGGAAGAGTTTGCTAAATCACTGCTGTCTGTCTGCTCTTTCTCTTTTGGTCTGTTATCCTGGGTGACCTGAGCTCTGTTTCACTCAGGTTTTCTTTGCCTTTATTCCTGTGGATCCTGACACCTGTCACCTTTACCTGTCTGAGCTCACCTCTCTCTATCTCACCTTTGTGTCCAGCTCCTCGGCCTCCTCAGGTGTTGTGCAAGCTGTGTTCACACTGCCGTTACACTCGGTGGTGTTAATCAACAATGGAGAGTTCCCATTGGATGATGTCACAGACAGCTTCTGATGTAAACAAACAAACAAAGAAAAAAAAAAAACACAAACAAGGAACATTAAGTTCTGATAAGAGTCCTGAGTAGATTCAAAGATACCTGAAAATAATCCTAACTGTGTGTATATGTGTGTGTGCGTGTTCATCAGGGTGTACTCACCACCCCATTGATGCCATTCTTGCCCACAGGTCCTTTAGGAACCACCACCAGGTACGTCTCGATGCCGCGCTCTCTTAGGTAGTCGCAGCGCTCACCTCCGTCTCCGGGCTCCACATCAAACTCTCCATGCAGACACTCCATGGTGCTCTGAGAGATGTGCACACGCCTGACAAACACACACACACACACACACACACACACACACACACACACACACACACACACACACAGTCGACATTGATAATAACTGTGACATGTAGGAAACTTTAGGTTGGGTCAGTGTGAAACATTTGAAGCTCAGTTCACAGTAATTTAACAGTTAGTTTAAAAAGATTGATGACACTCAGGTAAAATCCACTCCTTTAAAAGACCAGCTAATTTTTTTCAGCCAAGCTTATGTCTAAATACATATTCACTGATATCATGATTTAGTTGACAGGGACAATTGAAATTACACAGTATGAATTCCACCTGTTCCAAAAAAGAAAAAATTTTTTTTTTTTTTTGCAAAACTGAAAAATGTCTTTTAGTTCATTGAAGGAAAAAGAGAGATAGCAAAGTTACATACAATACCACTCACACAATAAGAGCTGTTTAGAAATATTAAGAAGATGCGATTTACACTCGCTGTGTCCCTGCTGTTCCTGTTTTCCAAACTTCTGGTGAGACATTTTTCAGCCATTTCAAACCCGGTTTCAGGTCCAGAATATTCTAGGCTCAGCCTCATCCTTAACAGTGGTGTCATGTGTGTTGTCTACCACTGGTGCTGCATTCATGTGCTCCTCAGATGGTCCAAGTTTCTGAGTTTAGGAGTCCTTTTGACTTTATCAACCAAGGTGCTGCTTTCATGTGAAAAATTTAGTGCAACAGGGCTAATTTCAGCCTTTACTTAATTTGTTTACATTTTGCGCTTGTGTTTGTATTTTTGCTCTAACAGCTTTATGATTGCTCTTGTAATATAATGTATTTTTGGCTTGGAAAAGGACCTGGGTACTAATTTCGTACCACAAACTGTGTCAGGCGAAACCAGAGCCGGCCCAAGGCATAAGCCAACTTAGCGTCAACTTAGGGCCGCGCAGCAAATAGGGGGCCTCCAAGAGCAATCAAAAAGAAAAGAAAATTTAGTATTTTTATTTTTGGCATGAGTGATGCTTTCTATATGATCAAATATATAACATTGTAAAAATAAAGTAAAAATATTTTAGTGCTGCTGCTGATGTAGGCCTAAGATTCTTACTGCCGATATGTCAAAGCTCCTCTACCTTTATGTGCCTCCTGCTGTGTAATGTGCACTGAGCATCCAAAGAGCAGGTAGTTGTGGGGCAAAAAAATGTCGCAAAAAAGGACATATCCTTCAGGAGCAGAGAAAAGAAAGAGGAAGAAGAGAAAAAACGCCAAGATTAAGGTATGTTTGCATGTCAGGGAATGTTAATCAAAGAGATTTGTGAAGGTGTGTGAATGATCAACAATCAATATTATTGGCAGAAATAGAGGGCCCCAAAATCACATTTTGCTTAGAGCCCCATTGAAGCTTGGGCCATGGGGTATGACAATAAAGGTTCTTGAATCCTTGAATTCAATGTCACCTGACTGTTGGATCAAGGTTGAAAACAAAAGGCTAAAGTACTCAGCCAGGTCTGTCTGACTGGGCTGTATACTATGATGGCTCAATATGGACAAAAACTGACACCACTGATACCACATTACAAACTGTATTTGTTGTAGTCCTGCAGGAAGTCTACAGACCATTATTTTTATTTACACCAGGATCTAGCCATAAACCTGTGAAGAGGTCAGAGTTAAGCCCCGCCCATCTGTATGCAACACTGTCTTTTCAGTGGGTTTGCTCAGTCCTCACCCTGGTATCCCTCCAGCCTCCATCTTGTTGGCCACAGTGACATCAGTGGACCAGACGTCGTACTGCCATCGTTTCTGACCCAGGACTCCTCCAAGAACCGTCCCGCTGTGGACGCCCACACGCATGTCCACATCTGTCTGGGTCTTCTCCCTGACGTACCTGAGACAGGTGAACAGAGACAGTCAACACAGAGCAGTAGGAACCAGCAGGTTCTGTTTCATCTTCAGTCCAGATCTGCTGATCCTGACACAAAAAACATATCATCATCCTGCACAAAACCAGTGTCCACCCAGAGTACCAGGAACTTTTACCAGCAAGGACTCTGTCAAACAGAGACTTAAAAGGTCCTCCAGACAGCCTAGTTTTACTCTGCTGAGAGGGAAAATGCACCAAGATTCTTCTATCTCATGGATTGAATATCCACAGTGGACATCTTTATATGACGTCACACTCAGGGTGGGAAACTGTATACTGTGGTCATGTATCATTACTGAATCCAGCTCCATAATCTGAATAACTGTGGTCACTTTACAGGTCCCTGACTGATGAATAACTACACAGACTCTATAGACAGACATGTTCAGAGACACAAGAGGTTATAGTTAAAGTTAAAAAAACAAACAAACAAACAAACACACATTTGAGAGCCCATTGGCTAAAGGAAAGGAGAACTATTTGCACAAGTAGAACGATGACTTTACAGACAAATACTTTAAAAAGCTTATGTTTATGATGGGGTCTCTTTTCACATCACCTTAAGAGGGGTGCAGCCAGACATCGTAGTTCTGGTTGAATAAGTGACCCTGTGTTACTAGGGACTTTCCACTTGTTACTATGACAACCATTTAAGCATTCAACTAACATAAGGTAAGATAAGAATAACTTTATTGATCTCCAAAGAGAAATTCAACTGTTTGTAGTCTCAGTTGTCATGTCTCAAAAAGTCATCTACTATTTACAGAAGAGTTGTAAAGTCTGATGGCTGTGGGTACAAAAGATCTTCTGAATCTGTCCTGCAGCAAAGAGAGAGGAGCCATCCACCACCATAGGCCCTTTGGTCCATCAAGGTGTTGTGAAGTGGGTGATCCATGTTCTTTAGAATAGTCTCCACCTTCCTCAGTGTACATCTCTCCACCACATCCTTCAGTGAGTCCAGCTTGACTCCAACCACAGAGCCAGACTTTCACCAGTTTGTTCAAATGTCCTGCATCTTTGTGTTTGATACTACTTCCCCAGCAGGACCATAGACTGTATATACTATGAACAATTTGGTTCCGCCTCCTGCCTGTATACGGATTTGAAGCCAAAAAGCTCTCTGTATTTCCAGGACTTTTCTTCATTTCCTGAAACCAGCACTGTGCAGTAGCGTTGTGCGCATTTGGCGGGGGAGTCGCAGAGAGTTGCTGTGATGACGCTCGGCTCAAACAGTGTATTCCCCGGGTGAGCTACGCAATCCCTGAACGCCAATAGGCTGTATCAGGTGTCAATCATAGAAAACATGAACCCCCTAATAACTTTTAAAAATGGAGCTTCACAGAAAAAAGAGGACTTGAGCACAAACCAGTGTTACAATAACTACATGTCAACATCGCACACAGGGGGGAAAAAATGTATGTTCTTTGTAATAAATTTCTAAAGTTTGTCCACAGCCCCATAAGCTTTGCTGGCGGAGGCGGGATTTATGACCTATACTGCAGCCCATCAACAGAGGGTGCTGTTCTCAGAGTGGCTTCACCCAGCAAGGAGGCAGACGCTGTCCATTCTTTATACAGTCTATGGGCAGGACTCAGTGAAGTCTGATATATAACTATAACTTAAGTCATGAATATGGTTTATCGTCACTCTGTTGTCCAGCTACCTGAGCATGGCAAAGAAAGTGGAAGGAAAATGAGAAGTTTATGTCCAAACTGCAAAAGGTGAGTTTGTGCAGTTAGATCTCATTTTGCTGTAAGAGCAACTGATAGATCCCTGCTACTGGAATGATTAAGACTGGTCAGTGTCATATTCACAAACTAACGAGTGGGTTTTTTTCTCTTTGTGCACACACACTGAGTGGTAAGTGTTAGAGCAACCATGAACCTGAAATTTTGTTGGGTTACCTTACATCCACTAAAACCAACCTTTCAGAGGAGTATCCATCCATTTAGATCAGGACTCTGTCTGCAGAGTTCCTGTGATGCAACAGAGTCACACTGATGACCTCTACAAGTTCCTGTGCTGTAAAAACACGTTCGTGATGTGTCCATGTTATCAAAAACAAAAAAAGATGATCCATCCTCATTCATCCTCTCAGTCTGGAGTCAGACCAAAACATTGCATCATCATCATCAATCTGACGTTATTAACCTCTGACTGTCAGCCAAAGTCAATATCTGTCCATCAGGGAGATCAATGAGCCAGCGCATCAAAACCCTCAGCACAGTCATTCACACACACACACAGCCCAGTACTCACGAGATGGCCTCCACCATGGCCAGGCCCATCATGATGGAGCAGGCAGCATGGTCCTCCCTATAGTCAGGCAGACCGCAGATACAGTAATAACAGTCGCCCAGGATCTTTATCCTTAGCTGGTGGTATTTCTGAGAGATAGAGAGAGAGAAATACCTGTGTTAGCTTCCACCTGGTATGACAGAAGTATTTCACATGTGTTATAGGAAGCCCAGAGGTCTGTTCAGCTGGACTAGTACTAACACAGACCTGAATGAGTCCGGACCTTTGCACACAGTCACAGTTAACTCTATAAATGTGATCACAAAACTTCAATGTTACCAAAGTGGTGGAGCAATATCACTTTTTCAGCAGCAGATGTGGATAATCAAAAAGCAGACTGACCAATGGTTTTGTACTGTCGATTGCATTTTTTTCTCCTTGTATTTCATCAAACGTGACAATAGAAAAAGAATAATAACACCTATTCGTATTTGGCTATAGATTTCAGAACATGACTGATATTTATGTCAGAGGTAATATTAAACTGCATCATTCTAATACCATAGCAGATCTGATACTAAACCCAAGCTGGCAGGTGTTTAAGATTTGACATGCTGTCAGTAGTGATGGAAAAACAGCTTTATCATCCAGGGGGATGTTGACATTGTTTGATAGCAAACACACAGACATGGCTGTCTACAGTGTCTGCAGACTTTATCACTATCATCAAAACATTTACTATATCTCAACTAATTATTGCACTTATGAACACATATTATTTCCTTCATTCTGATCCACATTTAATTTCACTAATGTTTTTATCATGGACTGTCAGACAGATAAATACTGCCTCATCTCAAATTTATTGAAATTATAACAAGATGTGGTGACTTCACTGTGAATGGACAAAGGCTGCTCACAGTACCAATATTTGTGCATCATCTACCCTGCTGTAATAATTAAACTCAATCACACCAGTAAAGCTTTGCCACTCTGTGCAATTTGATCTTGTTTTGCACGATTGTTGAGATGACCTGTCAGCATAGCTTGTCTCTGCTGCACAAAGCTGTGCACTCTCATACGCACAATGTGATACAAACTTCATTTTTCAGACCTAGTTTAGCAGGTTTGAAAAGAGCAACTGGTCCAGATCTAAACTAAACTGATCTAGCATAAACTTAACTAAGGTAAAGTGAAGTAAAGTAAACTGACCTAAACTAAACTCAGGTAAAGTTAAGTAAAGTAAACTGATCTAAACTAAACTAAACTAAACTGATCAAAACTAAACTTAAGTAAACTGATCTAAACTGATCGAATCTTAACTACACAAATCTTAACTAAACCAAACCAAACTGAACTGATCTAAACTAAACCAAACTTAACTAAACTAAACTAAACTAAACCAAACCAAATAAAACTAAACTCAAATCAAATCAAATCAAATCAAATCAACTGAAGTAAAGAAAAGTAAAATAAGCTAATCTAAACTAAACTTAACTAAACAGATCTAAACTAAACTTAACTTAATGTAACTTAACTAAACTTACTCAAACTAAACTAAACTAAACTAAAATAAAATAAACAAAACCCAGCCAAACCAAACCAAACCAAACCAAACCTAACTAAACACAACCAAACCAAACCAAACTTAACTTAACTTAACTTGACTTAACCTAACCTAACCAAACTAAACTAAACTAAACTAAACTAAACTAAACTAAACTAAACTAAACTAAACTAAAACTGAACTAAACTAAACTAAAGTAAAACTAAACTAAACTTGACTTAACTAAACTAAACACAGCCAAACCAAACTAAACTAAACTAAACCAAAGCAAACCAAACAAAAGTCATAGCATCTGATCATTCTCTATAATAGTTAATGATGAAAATCTAAATACGTGGGTTAAAGTTCTCAGATGTCTGTAAGTGTGAAAGGGACTGGGGTCAGAGTGTGTGTTACTATTTTAAACTCACAGCAGCCAGTTTATCGAAGCGAGCGAAGAGCTCATTTAACAGTTTGACAAGCTCCTGAGCGCTGCAGGACGACGACAGCTGAGTGAAACCCACAATGTCTGCAAACAGGATGCTGAAAAACAATACACACACATACACAAAATGCACACAGGAGACATGTTAAGGTAGAAGATATTTTTACAGTGCCCCACAGAAACAGATTGAGGTGCTATTTGACTGAAAGTACCCAGAACTTTAAGTTCCATGGACTGCTCTTGAAGAACTAAATGGTTCCTGTGGCCCCTTGTTGTCTGCTTTCCCCCATCGCTTGGAGTCACGAGTAAAAGGTTCAAATCAGGATGAAAACATCCAAGATGGTTGTTGACCTCTTGTACCAAACAGTTGTCACCTATGATGTTGGCAGCAGGTAAGCAGTAGTGATGATTACATGATATCACTATCTGTCTGCCTCCCTCTGCTCTGCTGGAGTCTGTGTGTAAACTGATTACTTGCTTTTAATGTTAACCAGATTGATTCCTGATGAGACTAATGCCTGAATCTGTAAAACACCCAATAGCATCCCTGAGATTGATGTTAGTATACAGAAACAGAGTCAAAACTCCTGTAGTTATCTCCTCTGTGTGTGTGCCTGTGCACACAGTCAGGAGAATAATTTTGAAATTAATACCTGTCCAAAAATCTGATGCTTCAGATGTGAATTTAGATTTGACAGACTTTGTTTTAGGATTTATGCTTAAAGAGACTTTGCTTTAGAGTCCCTGATCAAGTCTTGAGGACTTGTAAACACAAGTGGACCATCTAAAGATTCAATCAGAGTGTCTCTGAACAGCAGGTAGGACATGTGCTAAGGCTGTGGGTTACCTGACATTCTCATGGCGGTACATGTACATGGTGTTAAACTGCTGCATCTCCTTCTGACTGGGCTCCTTCTTCATGTCCTGCAGCATTTCATCAGCGATGTGCTTCGGCAGGATAGACAGCAGGAGGCGCTCCTGAGGGGGCACAGATAGAGACAAAGAGAAAGAGAACCAAACCTTTGTTAGGAATCAGCAAAGAGAGGTGGTTCGCCTGTCTTAGATTAGCTTAGTGTAAAGGCTGAATATATAAAGTCACTCCCTCCTGACACTGAGCTGTAATCAGCTGTTTCTTCAAACATGTCCACAATACTGTCACCCTGATGTGCCAACCTCTGCTCTTAAAGAGTCAGCCAATGTGGAAGTCTTGACCTCTGCAGTTCCTCCTGTGGCCACGAGAAGCTTTGTCCTGGAGTGAGTCTGTCCTCATAGAGCTCCATGTTAAAAAGCCCAACTTCACAGCAGTATTAAACATGTGTACAGCTAGGGCTGGGCAATAAAACAATAACAATATATATCGAAAGTTTATTTCCCTCAATATCGATATGAAACATGGTCAATATGCTTTTCGATAGCCGGCATTCTGCCATGTTTTGGTAGACTATAGGAATAGCCAATGAAAAGGGGAGTTGTTCCGCACCGCGCTGAACCGATCATGTGCTAAATTAGAACCAAGTAGCAAACAACTGCATAGTACCAGGCTGCAGCTACACGCAACCGACAGCACTGTCAGTGAGAAAAAAAAGAAAATGAGTGCTACCCCTGGCAGAAATGCAGATGAAGGCTCAACAGATGATGACATCGTCGACAACACTGACATGAAAATGTCGGTGGTGTGGAGGTATTTTGTTTTTTTGAGGTCAGGCATGAAGCAGAGTAGTGTGCACTGCAAATTATGTTGAGTACGTGTTAACTGAGAATATTTAGGATTGACAAGTGATTTTTTTATATTGTGATACATATCGATATTGATTAATATGAAAAAATATATTGTGGAAACCTTTTCCCATATCGCCCAGCCCTATTTACAGACTGGTACAAAGACAGTTTGGGTCTCTACGACTCATTCCTCTGTTAAGGATTATCTCATGATTTTTTTACTGTATTTTAAGGGCTGTAATCTGTTTGTAGATCTGATGATTTTAATGGCCAACTTGGAAGAGTGACCTTAAGATCCCTTCTCATAGCAAAGTTTGGTTCACAGTTTGTTTATATTACAAATGAACTAAAAAGGATGCTGATGGCCCTGTGTTAAGTAGGCCAGAGTCAAGCAGGCTGTGGTCAGAGAAGAGCAGCAGCTTTGCACCACTCTTTACTGTTACTTCTTTGCATTCAGCTAAATCTGGAAGTAAATGCACCAGCTTCCATGGCTCACAGACAGAACAACTGAATCCACAGGGTCGTATATGTACTGCTATGACATATGACCAGGGTGAGCTCTGGAGAGTGACATGTAACCAGATGAACAAAAACAAGAGAGGCTGGAGAGGAGAGTTCGGATGTCTGCCCTGCTGTCACTCTGATATAAATGTAAAAACTTTAGACTCATAGAGGAGCTCACGGCAGCTTCCTCATGTGGAGGCACCCTACCTTGGCTCTAATACACTGATTTAGATGTCACTTTCTACCTCCTGAGACTCATTATCCACTCCTATGATTTAGACTTCATGCTTTTAGAGACCTGTGTAAACAAGTAACTCAGAATAATCTTGGGGCAGAGCCGGGAGAAATCTCGAGCTATTTCCAGGAGAGCATGTGTGGAAGAGGTTTATTTGATCCAATTTGGATCATCAACAGTTCAAAGTTGAAGTCAGTGTGAAAAGTGGCCATCTGCTGAGCTCTTCCTGCCTCTTTCCTTTTGTCACTGTTGGAGAATAATATGGTGCATATGTAAAATGGTGCAAATATTAATCTCATTTAAATTGGGTGTCCTCACGTCTTGTTTACAGTATGTTAATGGCACGGGTCCTTAAGGGAATGCATGTTGACAATTAAAGGACAAAAGGTCAAAACACCTTATTGATTTAAATATTAAGTGAGGCAGGGACAGAGGGGAGAGTTCATGAAGACTAACAGGCTACAGTCAGCGTGTAAACAGCTCCACATATCACTAACTGTATTGATAGTTAAAGGATTCAGTCTACAAAGCAGCAACATACCACAAATGTTGACAACTTCAGCAAAAGCATTATCTTTCAAACTCTAATAAGAACATGGATTATTAATCGTTTTAGAAGGAGAAGAGAACCAGCCTTGTCACTTACCCTGGACGAAGACGTTTTTTTTCTCTACAGTATAAAATTTAGCAAACATGCAACGAGTAACAGACATTATTTTTCTGCAGCAGTCCGGCAATTCCAAGAAAAGTGGTGCACAAAAATACACCAGAATACAAGAAAATAAAGAGTTTGATGCTGAAACAGAAGGAATCAGCGAAAAGGAGATACACACAGGTTTGTTTCTGGACAGAACACACACACTGTCACTCTCTCTCTCTTTTACACACACATAGACAGATTTACAGACAGATTCACACAGGCAGCGCTGATCTGTCAAACAGAAACCCTCCAGTACACTCACAGACTCCACCTATATATACGCATTTCATTTAGGGCACACACACACACACACACACACACACACACACACACTCTCTCTCTCTCTCTCTCTCTCTCTCTCTCTCTCTCTCTCTCTCTCTCTCTCTCTCTCTCTCTCTCTCTCTCTCTCTCTCTCTCTCTCTCTCTCTCTCTCTCTCTCTCTCTCTCTCTCTCTCTCTCTCTCTCTCTCTCTTATCAGGCCCTGACAGTGAGCCCCTGTGATTACAGCTGGCACCATCTCAAGAGGCTGGTTGCCATAGAAACCAGCAGCCTTTAGATGCTTGTTGATTGGTCAGTGGACCTAGTTTCCCATCAACCCCTGCTGCTACACCAGTATTACGGAGGTTTGTTCTTCAATAGTGAATTTGTCAGGACAAATTTGATCTTTTCCTCACTGGCAGTCTATAACACACACACACACACACACACACACACACACACACACACACACACACACACACACACACACACACACACACACCTCCTCTCTCTCTCCTGTTTCCTGTTCCCTTGCTTGCCCCCTGTGCTAACCATCTGTTCCAGGAATAGTCATGATGGAGGAAACCCTGCGGCCACAGGTGTGACTGACCAGGCCACTGCTGATGGAGGACCAGCTTAAACAAACACAGTTGTTGGATTGTTGAAGAGGAGTTGTTGTGTTGTCGTTTCAGTACGGTGGTTTTTTGGAGTGTGTCTGACCTGTTACTGTATCAGCTTCTCCAGTTTCTTTTTTTTTGGTTATGTCTTTTTTTTCTGCTTTGTTGAATTTTTGTTGTGTCTTGATACTCTGTCGTTGTTGTTTAATTGCGTTGTTGTCTCTCACCCGTGGCTGGCTCTTCTCATGTATGATATTTGTAGCATCACTTTTGTTGTTAAGTTATATTTTGGCTGTTTTGTTGCATCTTGTTGTTCCATTCATGTGTTGGTGTTATCTGTAATGTTGTTGTTTCATTGTTGTTGTTGTTGTTGTTATTTTGTTGTTTGGTTGTGATTTGAGTCTGACCTGCTGCTGGCTCTGCTCCTCCAGGTTGAGTTTGACCTCCAGAGACTGTCGGGCCTCCAGGAAAGCTTTGCGGTGTTTCCTGTCAGCCATGTAGTAGGACATGACGCCCACCGTGATGGAGCACACGTAGATCACCATGTTCGCCAGCAGCTGGAGAACAAATAGTAAAACTGATTTCAACAGATGTTAACTAATTCACTGACACCCAGCTGTTTTAAGCACTTGGCTCTGATTGGTCAAAACCCTATGACCACTTCTGCTGGTATTTCTCAACAACCAAGACTTAACCAAGACAACCTGCTCACACACATTAACCCATTCTTCCCATCCTTAAGCTTTTTTTTTTTTGACATCTTTTTTATCAGTTTGGTTTTTCCTTTACAACAACTTTCACCTGTGTGGTTACTCCTTTGAAAGCTTTTACAAACATGTTGCTTCATTAAATTTAAATGACAATAAATTTTTCGTTATAAAATAACATCTTTCATTTTAACATTTGTAACACTGAGCCAATTCAGTTTTAACACGTTTATAGGATTTGCTAACTGCCAACATCCATTTGATCAACATATCATGCAGAGTCCTGACTGTAAATAAATTAGAAACATAAACTCTCCTGTCTTTTTGCCAACTTCTGAGAGGGTTTATGATAATTTGATATGATTGAAGTATTGACCTCTTTTAAGAACATGCTGAAATGTGCAGTCAGAAGAAACCAGAAGTAAGACGCCTGCGTCTGATTTGGATTACATTTTGTGCTGAGTCATTCTTCGATGAGATAGTTCCTGCTGTAAATCATCATTTCTGGAGATATTAAATTGTCTCTGTGAAGTCAAACTCTGCTCAGATTACATGTAACGTCTGATGGTGTCAGCTGCTCTTCTTCACAACATCCTTATTTGTTAAAGTGAGGAGTTGAAAATAACCCTGAGCTGTTGCTTGAACTCATCCACTTATTCATCAGTAGAAACTGTTTTCTGATGATCTGATTCCAAAAGACATCAGAGGACCAAGAATGGAAGATAAATTATCAGAAGAATCCTTTCTAGATTCAGGTAAGGTGTCTGTGGTCCTGAGGGTGACCTCTTATTAACCCTGAGTTAACTCTATGATTGGTGGAAACAGCTGGGATAATTTCCTCCATCTTTTTGTGAAGTTAAAGCCTCCAGCTCTTTAAAAATGACACACAAACATGTATAAATACATCCACCTGTTGGTGTCTTACCTGTCGCCCCAGCGCCGCCCCCTGGACCTCCTCCTGCTGCTGCTGAGCGATGGTGACTCCCAGCACCAGGGTATGGACCCCACAGGACACAGTAGTGATGAGAACAATAGGTGTAAGTCTGAGCGGCAGCGTGAGGAAGAAGGAGAAGCTGAAGAAGGCTTGCCAGCCCACTGTGTCTGAAGCCTGGTGGAAACGGGCGTAGTTCAGACCCAGGTAACAGAAGATCTGTGCAGCGATGAGCACCCACAGGGCGTAGGGCACCACCCGCCTGGTCACACGGTCAGGCAGCAGCCCAAACCGACACAGTAGGTAGAGCGCCACATCTGCCGCCAGTCCGAAAGAGGCCACCAGCACAGAGGCCAACTTATCAGAGGTGTAGATCACTGCACACATGACGATGATGTAGCTGTCAAAGAGTGCGGCAAACACCACCAGCACCAGCAGCGTCTCGTGCCTCTGCCGCCTGAAGTACGTCTGGTACAGGTTCTCCAGAGACTCGGGGGCAAAGGTGAGACGCATGAAGCGCGGCAGACAGAGGCAGCAGCCCGAGCTCCGCACCGTCACCTCGTGAGTCCGACCAACCGCCTGTCCGGGGTCAGAGGGAAGGGTCACCGAGCAGTCTGCGGAGTACTCAGCAGAGTACTCAGGCTCTGAGAAGGCCCTGTTCCTGGGCATGCTGGATGCTGTAGAGCTGTACAGCTGTGTGTGTATGTGTGTGTGTGTATGTGTGTGTGTGCAGGCTGCAGTCTCAGGTGTGCATCACCTGTGTGTGTATGTTCTGCTCAGTCTCCTCAGAGGTGTCATGGATCAGCACGCCGTGTCCATGTCTTCTTCTCTCTCTGGAACTCTGACCACTCCATCCAAAGCCGCTCACATCATCATTCCTCACATCAGACACACCCACTCGCCTTCATCCCCGCTGCAGACATGACTCCTCCTCTCTTCTCCTGGCCTTCCCCATCCTTACACATGACAGAGCGGCTCACTCACAGGAGGGACCCTGAAGGTCACATGACCTGAGGGAGAGACAGCAGAGAGTTTGGTTAGTCTGCGTCACAGCAGCTCCACCCACAACAGGAAACATCATATACCAACACCTTAGTGACAGAGCGCGCTCAGTATGAGTAACCTTTGACCTCCTCTGAACCTCAGACCCTAACATGAAAGGTGTGTGCAGACTGATGCTCCAAACCAACTTTTGATGAAGTTCATTACACACCACATTCATCTGATGAGTCGAGACTTTTGTTTTGAAAAACCACAAACCAAAAATACTCATTTACTCTATGCAGATTTTCCTTTTTGCAGCCTGATGATAAGTCACATCTACCTGAGGATTACCTTAGTTTAGACCTGAGTTTAGACCAGGGCTTAGATCTAAGCTTAGACCTGGGGTTACACCTTGGTTCAGACCTGAGGTTCGACCTCACCCTGCAGACAGCTGAGACATTCAGACTCATCCTCAGGTGTTTTGCACACAGTGTGCAGACTGTGAGCTGCAGGCCTCCTCTGCTACATGTTGCTCTCTCACTAACTGTGTGGAAAGAGGAAAACAGTCAAAACCTGAGCCTTCTGGATGAAGCACGAGCAGCTGCTGTCAGGCGAGCAGACTGGACTCAGTCAAGTGATGGAGGATCACTTTGACTCTGAAAAGACCTGTTTTAATGGCTGCTTTAGCATCTCTAAGCTGCTCTCTGTTTATCTGGACTTTAATCGGATCACTTCGGCTCCTCGTTGTGTCCACATTAACCCGCTTTTAATCCGGTTACCGTCCTCTTACAGTAAATCTCGAACTCGGTCCTGGTGGGATCAATCCGGATCAGAATCAGCCTGATGCTCACCGTCTCTTTTCAGCCAGATGTCGTCTCCTCTGAGTGCTAATTCCCCTCACACAGATGTGTGTGTATCTGTCAGTGTGTGAGTGTGTATGTGTGTGTGAGTGACAGAGTAAGTGTGCGTGTCCTCCGTGAGCCGTTAACACCAATCAAAGATCAGTTTGATTGGAATGAGAAGAAATGATCACCGATAGTCGCCTCCGAGGACCTCGCTCCTCTGATCCCGGCTCCTGCTGCCTCTGGTCGGAGGTGTTTTCCGCAGAAGCGGAACAGATTCACCATCAAGGTAGAGCTGTGCAAAAATACACGATTCCCGAACCCTTTCAAAGTAAAGCGCCGTTAATCCTTCTCTGGAAACACAAGAGGAATAAAAATTCGGGCATTCTTTATTTTCTTTACACAACAAATCTCCCCATTTTAATTGCACAATTCAAGCTATACTGATCTAGTGATGACCATAGACTGTACTATAATCCGCTTTTATAGGCCTATGACCTGTGCTGCTGACCTCTTAGCCAGGTCAACCTTTTGGGTCTAAATAATATCCTCATCTCAGTGGAACTTATCTGGTTAAATAAAGGTTAAATAAAAAATTATTATTATTATTATTATGATGCAAAAATATGTCGAAAACATAAAAGCAAGTGTTTCAGAACCAAACTGAGGTGTTTTTAAGGGTTCGACAGAGTGCAGGATTTCCACTTGATGGACAGATTTCTGACTTAAACCTAGTCTTATAAAAAGGATGTGCAAATTTTCACATCAGGACTACTTGGATATGAAGATTTTGACGTACCTTGGTTTGGCACACATATGCTTCCATTGTAAACTTCCTGCTGAGTCAATCAGCCATATTGTGTTAAATATGTAGACATTTAAAACGTTTCAACATATTGTGTGTAAAATCGTACAATTCTCAGTTGATATGACATCTGTGTTTATGTAGACCAACCGTAAAATTGAGCTGATAAATATGCAAAAATAAAAATATAAAGGTTTAGCACACCTGCCCTTTAAAGGTTGGATTTTGTGGTTGTATCAAACACCTTCATGTACTTTATTTACCTTGCATCTTTACTTTTCATTTTTATGTGAGTAGATAAACAGTTCATGCTCACTGCAGCAGCGACCCTCACTTTTATTTTGAAGGTAAGTAGCCCACAAAGGCGTTTCCGTGTTTCCTCTGTCGTATCCTGTTTAACTTGACGTTCCACCTCTCCATGCCCACAGTCTCTCACCCCCATTGACTGTAGAGTCCCCCCCCAACCCAACCCACTCCCACCCCACCCCCGTCCTCCAAGAGGTGAGGACCGGAAGTAAAAAAAAAAAATAAATAAATAAATAAAACAGGGAAAAGGGGTTTCAGTCTGTGGAAACACTATGAGAGCAGAAAAGCTCAGAGCCCATAACACATACATACCTAACACATTCATGATGTGTGTGCGCGCGCGTGTGTGAATGAAGATGGCGGCCTCTCGCAGGCTGGTTGCCATAGTTACTGATGGCTGACGCTCTTACGGATCTGCTGTGAGCTGAGTGGTAGATGGCTTTGCGCATGTGTCAGGTGAGGTCTGGGCTCTACAGGTGTTTAGATTTTATAGTCACCATAAACTATAAAATAAAGACACAAGACTTGCAGACCACCTGATTAAGTGGACAGGTAAGAAAAGGTAGGGGAGACCTGCCTGGGTCCTCACCATATACAGTCTATGATCCTTACACTGTTTACTCTTAAGTGAATTCTTCTTGATCTATACCATTCATAAATAAAAGGAAAAGCATACTCTTATTTTTAAAGGGATACATAAAGGGATAATACATCTACGATCATTTCTTCATGGAAATGCAATCAGACAGAGACGCTAAGGCAGAAGAACTACCGTGTCTGCAGTGCAAAATGATTAATATGATGAATATTACTTCAAGGAAATTATAAAGAAATTATCATAAATGTTCTTCCTTGAGCTGTGTCACCCCGCTGTAGTTTGTAATGGACTGGCCCAAGGTCTCGCTACAAACAAGCGGCTGCTGGAAGAGAGTGGGTGAGTTTATAAGATATTTGGTGGCTAGTACTATGGCTGGGACCCTATATGTATTGATAATGACGTTAGGTGCTGTTCTGAGCATTATTTGTGGCTATAGAGTGGCTTTTTGATTGAGGTTTGTGTGTGGCTCCTCAGACCGCTGTGTGTTGCTATCATGCGGTCGTTACTCAAGTTGGTATAACTAGAGAAGCAAGTGGTTTGCACCATTAATCTCTTGAGGGGGTGCCTAACTCAGTGTTACAGTGTGTTTGACTCTAAATTAATTTTACGCCGAAATATCCCTTTGAGTCAAAAAATAATCAACCTTTAGACACCTGGATTTAAAGTGACAATCAGCCCTATCACAGATATGATTCTCCCTGTGGAGGTTTCAGTGAATAATCTATTTTTGTTACCTTTTTTTTATTCTACAGACATCAAGTAAGTTTATACTTAACAGCCAGTAGCCAGTTACAGCTCAAAGATTTTCATTACTGTCCTTTGTATTTGTCTGATGGTCTAATCGTTAACCAGATTCAAAAATCATCAGTAGAAAAAAACAGGGCAGGGCAATGGAGGGGACTGAGTAAGAACCCTAATTGTTGTTTTTGTGCTCAACTGAATTTGTTAATATAATTTCTCATCGTAATAACCAAAATAATTTAGGAATACAATTATCATGCATCACATGAATCTGAATGAATAACAGTTTTCATCAAAAACATTACAGTAACATTAAGCAGTAAAATCAGATCAGGATGGGAGAAAGCAGAAAATGCTTGTTTACATCAGTGTTTCGGAATCACAAATTTATGTTTGGTGAGCGACGCTGAAGATGCTGAAGTCAGTTTTTTACTGGACAGGTAAGAGAACAACCTGATACTTAAAACAATGTGATGCTGAGGCGCCAAAATATTAGAGACTCTTTACACAAATGCTACACAATCCTCATTTTAGTACAAGAGGCTAGCTGCTAACCCCAAAACAAAATTACCACTTTACGGTGCATCCTGAAAGTATTCACAGCACCACTCTCTTTTTTATGTTTCTTTGTGTTACAACCTTATTCCAAAATGGATTAAATTCATGTTTTACCTCAAAATTTGACACACAGTTACTCATAATGTCAATGTTCAAAAAAGTTATTTTTTTTTTAATTGAAAAAATGTATCAAAAATAATGGACAAAAATATAACATGTACATAAGTATTCACAGTGTTGGCTCAGTACTTTGTAGACGCACCTTTGGCAGCAGTTACAGCCTCAAGTTTTTTTGAGTATGATGCTACAAGCTTGGCAGACCTATTTTTTGACAGGGTCTCCCATTCTTCTTTGCAGAACCTCTCTAGCTCCATCAAGTTATTAAATCAAAATTCATACACACGGAAGAGGACATTTTCCCTATGGCTGTTTCCACACTTTAAACTTCAGAGTTTAAAAACGTTAATCCTGTGGTAGATGAATGAGTCTGAATGGATCCACCTGATTTTAATATCAGCAGAGGAACACAGAGTGCATGGATTGTTCCACTGATCATTAATATACTGACCGCTTCTATTGAGCACAAACTTCATCAGCTTCCCCACCCACCATCAACACCCTCAAACAAAGGTCACTGAAAAAACACAGCAGGGAAAGCAAACAAACAAACAAACAAACAAACAAACAAACAGACAGACAGACACATAAACACAGTATCAGCATGATGAGGTTCACAGTGATCCCTCAGGTTGGATGAGGTCTCCCCTCAGACATCATCTTCAGACAGCAGACAGAGAATCAGCTGTGATGAAAATATCTGAGCGAGATTTGAACTGCACACACCTTCATTTATTTACTCCTCCAGTCGGACCAGGAACTCTGAGGCGTACCCTCTACTCCACGACAAAGACATTTCAGCATCTTTGATGTGGACAGTATGTATTTAAAACCATCAACACTGTATGAAAACCTCGCCAGCATTTACATCAGTTTACCTTCTTCCACCAGTCATCATGGGGAACGTCAACTCTCTACCTAAAAAAAGCAATATGATTGAGATATTAATGAAGACTGAGAAAGCATCCTGTGAGCGCAGTCTCCTGTGTTTTACTGAAATCTGGTTGAATCAAAACAACTCGGACTCCAGAGGAGAAGAAAGGAGGAGGTCTAGCTTTATTGGTCAACCAGAGATGGTGTAACTCTTCACACGTAACAGTCAAGGAGAAGTTTTGTTATCCAGGTTATGGAGTGTCTGCAGTTTCCCTTCGCTCATATTCTGTTCCAAGGGAGTTCAGCTATATCCTAACAATACTTGTATATATGTATTTTCCATGATACTATTGCTATGATGAAGACTCAACAGCCTGAGGCACCTATAATACCATAAGACTTCAACCATGTCACCCTCTCCTCTCACCTAGAGACTAGATTTACAGTTTGTTATGTGTCCTGCCCGAGAATTTTTTTTCATGAGATTCCAAACAAATGAATCTCCGTTTGGGATTGATTAAAGCCTGCTTTATTTTTAAACAGTGTGTTTTTACCCAAACCCCACTCTAGGGCAGCACCTTGAGGCAATCAACTACCCTCAAAATGACCCAGACAAAAAATAAAAATAAAAAAAAAACAGTTGTAAGAGAAACACACAATCAGGTAAAAATTTGTTATAAAGGAACAACTGAACAGGTAAATAGTTGTTATAAAGGAACAATATTACAGATAAAAATTGTGTCATGCTAAAAAAGAAAAATAAAGCACCTGGAAGAACATCTCCAACAAATGAGGTGGATTTCCAACAGGTTAGTAACCTGCCTTGGTTTAAAAAGGATATTCAGAAAGGCTGAGTCTCTTAGAAGCAAAGATGGACAGAGCTTCACCACTCTGTGAGAAACTGTGTTAGCTAATAGTTCAACAATTGATTTACCTGTGTCTGTAATTGTGTTTTCTTTATGGTTTTATGTGTGTGATCAGGTTGTCTCTGGCATCTTGGTTGTTGAGAAATACCAGCAGAAGTGGTCATAGGGTTTTGACCAATCAGAGCCAAGTATTTAAAACAGCTAGGTGTCAGTGAAGTTAGTGAACATCAACAACATATACATGTTTAGGAACAACATCTGCTGCCATCCAGACAATGAGTCCTTCTCCCCTTAGGTTCCTCTGGACTGATGCTACAGACGGTTAGCTGCTGCGGACCTGCCAGACTCCAGCTGCATCATTTTGGATTATCCGCCTCAGGCCCTGAGCTCCTTCTTCTCTTAGGTTCCTCTGGACTGTTGCTGCAGACACGAACATCAGCCTCACCGACATTAATAACATAAAACTAGAGTTAACTATTATTAGGCCTACTGATTATAATCACATTAAATTAACATAGTCCATAATTGCTTATGTTCCGATCATGTAAACTGGATTCATATTGTTTCATCTTTACTTGCTCTGCAACCACAACTTTGCATGAGCTGTTGTTGTTGTTGCTGCTGTCTCCTGTCTCTCTCTCTCACCCTCGTTCTCTGTTCTCCCTCTGCCTTACTCACTCTCTCTCCTTCCCTCTATCTTGTTCTCTTTCTCTTCCCCTGTCTCCTACTCCTCTCTCTCTCTGTATTCCTCCCCAACACAGCAGCGGCTTGGTGGCTATCTGGCATGAGTCTGGTCCTTCCCAAGGTTTCTGCCTGTTAAAAGGAAGTTTTTCCTTGACACTGTCACTCATGTCAGATGAGATGGGTTAAATCTGTCCCATCTTAAGGTTGGGTCTTGGTTATCAAACAATGGGTCATCAAACAATGAGCGTGGTCTAGACCTGCTCTTTTTCTCTGGAAAGCATCTTGGGATGGTGACTGTTGTGGATTGGTGCTATAAAAATAAAATTGATTGATTTTTCAGGCCAGACCTTCATATTTCAGGAAGACAAAGACAAACCACATACTACAGGGATTACAACAATGTGGGTCTGTAGTAGAAGAGTCCTGCTGATAAACTGGTCCGCTTGTAGTCCTGATTTGTCCCCCATTGAAAACAAAAGAGACCCTGAACTGTTGATCCCTGTTGAACACGTGCTTTTAGTGATCACTCACTTGGAGACAAATAGACAGTTTGTCTTTCACTTTTATTTATGAAACATTAAATCTCCCTCAAAAAGAAAAAATCATGAACAGAGTGAACACTGATGAGACAGACTGGAGTGAACTGAGACACTTTGTTCATTAAAGGCCTTTAAAACAGAGCAGGATGAACTGTGTGTGTCCATGAATATCAGTCCTCACACACGCACGCACGCGCGCGCACACACACACACACACACACACACACACACACACACACACACACACACACACACACACACACACACACACACACACACACACACACACACACACACACACACAACTTGCTGCTCATCTGATCCAGTGTGTGTGTATTTAGTCAGAAAACACATCATCAGTGCAGGTTTGTTCTCACACAGAAATAAACCATCAATCGCACACACATATTTGTGTCTGTCCACACTGACAGGACAAACTCTATATGGCAAAATACACATGGGACAAAAAAGCTCATACTGAGTCAGATATGAGAGTGTGTGTATGTGTGTGTGATGGTGGTCTGCTGGTTGTGTTTGTGTGCGCACAGTGTCAGAGCACGGTCAAAGCTGAGCAACCTCACAAGCTTCAATCTTTTAAATCTTCAGGATTTGTTGTTATTCCTTTTTCAGTTTTCACCAGCATATGTGGTGCTCTGTAGTCACAGTTATCACCCTCTGCTCAGTTCATCTGCAGTCTGTGGTCTTTAAAATATGATCAAATGCTGCAGCTCCTACAGCCTGATCGGCTCAGAAATGGCGCCTTTATGTAGTTTGTCCAGCAGAGGGTGCTCTGACTCTGCAGCACATAAAGACCGATTTATTTACTCATTTTGCTCCTTACGATCATCTTATAAGGGCCCATTCAATTCCATGAAGTTTAGTGCTTTTAGGGGAGTTTTGCAAAATCATTTTCATGCAGAGTCACCCCAGAGAAGTTGATAATTTCACCGTTCAGGCCTCAAAATCACTCTGAAGTTTTGCCTCAGACAAAAATCCTGAACTGTCCAGACTCAGAGTTTAACACTCCTGTTCGTACCAACAATAAAATATGTCAACAGATGAAACGAACATGAGCAGAAACCTCTCATTTTAACCGTAAAAGGAACATAAAAAAAGGCACATTCAACAAAAAATCATAACTGATCAGCTAACCACAGAACTCTCTCTGCCCCTTGCAGCTGATCTAAAGGTGTGGTGATATTTTCTTGCACATCTTCTAGCCTTTGTGTGCTCTGTTTAAACACAAACTTCCTCAGTGTTTGCTGATTTAATCTGCAGAACCACAGAGAGGAACCTTTAGAGCAAAAACACAAATCAGAGCCATGAAAGACTCACTGCTGGGAAATAATCCAAGAAGCTGCAGCAGAAACGTCAAAAACTCAGAGATCAAAGTTGCTGGTTCACAGCTGCTGAGACAGAGAGAGGCAGCTGCTAATGCTCTTTTTATGCATCTGTAAACATAGCAGGCTGAGGCTAATGTCACCTTCAGATGGATATGAGGACTGAGCTAAAATCTGAATGAAGTCTGTGTTGAAATCAGTGTTGGACAAAGAGGATGAGTTTGAAGATACCGATGTGAATTGAATCTAGAACAGAGATTCTGGATTGAAACAGGATCCGGTTATCTAGTCTAATCAATGCAATCAAATGAGCAGCAGCAATGGAAAGACTGTAAAAGACGACAATACTCTAAGGTTTATGGTGTGTTGGAATCTTAAACTGACTTTTAAGTGTGTTAGAGTCTGAAGATTGAATCTCAGCATTGGTCTCATATCAGAGGATGACGTGCTGAAATGTTTAATAATTAAACATCAACCTCAGTGCTGCAGAGATGAATTCTCTCCGATAGTGATAACCGACAGATAAAACCTCAGAGAGAGCATGCACGCTTACATGCACGCACACACACACACACACACACACACACACACACACACACACACACACACACACACACACACACACACACACACACACTCAGAGGACTGGAGGAAGTGGAGGTGGAGGGGGGAAATCTGGAGTTTGGCATCAGGGGGTCAGAGATCCTGCAGGGAGGGCCTCAGTCGTTGATCAGAGCCAGGATCATGCTGGAGGGACAGAATTGTGTGTAAATAAAAGGCTCATGTTTTCAAATCAGAGAGTGTGTGTGTACTGCTCGCCTCACCTGTAAAGGTAAATAAAGAAGCAGAGCAGGTGATAACCCAGTTTGATCATGGCCTCCTTCATGTGGGACTTGAGCTGACCCCGGTTGTGGATCTCGGTGGGGTCGAACACGCCCATGTTTCCCATGGGAACCTTCAAGTACCTGAGGAGAAATCAGAAGAGGGATGGAGCTGCAGGTGTGTCTCTGTACCTGGACTGTGGTCTTTGATAACCACAGGCCTCTGTCTCACACAGACAGCTGTGTTGCATGGATCAGCTGCACAGATTAGAACTGCTGCAACCTAAGAAAATCCTGGTCAACCATCCAAAACCTGATAGGTTAATGGACCAAAAAAAAAAAACAGCTTTATATTGTTAAGGTGAACAATCTTGAGCTCCTAAGAGTGAGGATGTAGCTGGAGCCCTCTGGCTGGTCCTCCACATGAACATACAGTTAAAAATTAAGAGCTTTTTTGCAGCGTCATTAATTTTTTTAACCACATTGTGATGAGCTGAAATAAAAATGACTCCAGGTAGACCAGTGTGCACTGGCCTGAATTCATACCTGAAAATATGACCTGACCAGGTTAAAATGAAATCGAGAAGATGATCACACACAAATGAAGCACAAGTACATCAAGACTATCATTATTAAGACATGCTGTTGTCCATTAGACTGATAACGTCTCTGTTATTGGGCATACCTGTGCTCTGTTATTCACTATCAGACTTGGTCAAGGCTGTAACAGTGAAAAGAGTGTCTAAATGAATCAATAGTGGTGATGACTAACAATGATCATAATCTTCTTGTTTATCACTTATCCTGTGATTGTGCAGCCCTGTACGCTGATGTCCTACCTATAAATGTCCCAGGCTGCTACAGGCAGGTTGAGGAGGAAGATGAACCAGTGCATGGAGACCAACATCAGCATGGTGGAGAGACACTGACCCACCATCTCTGGGATCACCCACTGCCGATAAAAAAGGAGCAAACAACCAGCTCAGAACAGTCAGAAACTCTTCTCTACAACATTCAAGAGAGAAAAAAAAAAAGATAAAAGGTTTAAACGTGGAAGAGACTCACTTTGTTGAGTTTGGAGCAGCATGCTCGTGCGTTGATATAATCACACTCCAGGTCAGACAGAGTGATGATCTAGACTCAGAGTCAAGGACACAAACAGAAAAAAAAAGAAAAAAGAAAAAAACGCTTTTCTGGTCTCTACTGTATACCAACAAATCCAAAGCTGACATTCTTTTTGGAAATCCTGGACGCACTTTAAGTTCCTGGACAAACTTTACACATAAACAGCTTTAAATCCTCTATAAGGATTAGAGTTATCACACAGCTTGTGATCATCTCTCAGTTCAAAGCCAGCATCCCTGATGGTATGGGGATCATAAGAGTCCATGTCATGGTAGGGCTGGGCGATATGGGAAAAAGTTTATCACGATATATATTTTTCATATCAGTCAATATCGATATATATCACGATATAAAAAAACAAAACTTGTCAATCTGAAATGTTCCCTGTTACTCTTAAATGAGATTTAACAGTGCTTATTGGTAGCATGTCTTTTGCGATACAATAAGCTACTTCACCTGTGATGTCTTTGTGTCTCTTCGATGTTTTGTTGTGCTACAGAAAGTGAACTGAATGGTGGGCTGTTTCGGCTGCACAGGCGCCATGTAACCTTTTGCATTTAACCTTTGCTCTGCCCCGTGGCACTACTTCAAATGGTAGAAAAAAATTGGGGTCTCCCCCGACCTTGTGAGAACATGTACCTGACATAATTTGCAGTGAACATTACTTTGCTTCATGTCCGACCTCAAAAACCAAAATACCTCCACACCACCAACGTTTCCTGTTGCATTTAACCTTTGCTCTGCTCTGTGGGCTTCATGTGTTAAAGTGCTATGGTTGCGTGTAGCTGCAGCCCGCTACTACGCAGTTGTTTGCTACTTGGTTCTAATTCAGCACATGATTGGTGTAGACCTGGAGCAAGTACCCTTTTCATTGGCTATTCGTTTAGTCTACCAAAACATGGCAGAATGCCGACTATCGAAAAGCATATTGACCATGTTTTATCTTGGTATTGAGGGAAATTCATTTTCAATGTATGTTGTAATCCTTTTATCGCCCAGCCCTATGTCATGGGTAGCTACCACACATGTGAAGGCTCCATTAATGTTGAACAATAATCACAGGTTTAGGAGCAACATCTGCCGCCATAAAGACAAAGATAGACCTTCATAATTTAGGAAGACAATGACAAACCACATTTTGCAGGGATTACAACAGCATGCCTCTGTGTTCAAGAGTCCTGCTGCTAAACTGGCCTGCCTGTAGTCCCGATTTATGGCTCAATTAAAAGCATTTATAGCATCAAGACATCAGGATTTCTCGTAAAACTGTCCCGTAGTTACAAGGCTCCTGTGAGTCCTCATGTGTCTTACAACAGATACCTGTATTACACCATCCTCTCTCTGTCAGCCTCTTCCTGATTTCAGCTAACCGGCTAACCAACCATTCTCTGCACTAGAAAGCTAAGTAAGATCGAACTTTACACATAAATAGCTTTAAATCCGTCCGCCTGCACGCTGAACCTTCTCCACAGACAGCCAACCATTATGGGAAAGGATACGAAGTATACCGAGAGGAAAATCAGTGCACAGCAGTCCACCAACGACAGAATGAACACTGCCGCCTCCATTTTCTTCTTCCGTCTTCTTTCACTTCCGGACACTGCGTCATCCCCTACGTCACTCGCAGGTTGTTGTTGTTTTTTTCGTGAGGCACTGCCGTGCGGTGGAAGGGAGGGGAACTGCAACCAATCAGACCCGCCACCTCCGATGCGTCGAAGATTTCCAAAAAACAGTGCAAATTTTTATTTAGAGCCGGCCCAAGGCATAAGCGAACCAAGCGCCTGCTTAGGGCCCCGCGGCCAATAGGGGGCCTCCAAGAGCAATCAAATGCTTCCATGTTTAAATATGTATTTTTGTAAAAATAAAATGAAGTAAATACATTTTAGTGCTGCTGCTGATGTAGGCCTAAGATTCTTACTGCCGATATGTCAAAGCTCCTCTACCTTTATGTGCCTCCTGCTGTGTAATGTGCACTGAGCAGCCAAAGAGCAGGTAGTTGTGGGGCACATGGTAATCAAAGAGATTTGTGAAGGTGTGTGAATGATGAACAATCAATATTATTGGCAGAAATAGAGGGCCCCAAAACCACATTTTGCTTAGGGGCCCATTGAGGCTTGGGCCAGCTGTGTTTTCATTCATTAGGTTACAGGACAGTTTTCCTCTTCAAGTGGAAAATTAAAAATTTGTATTTGTAACGTTTACTATTATCGTGTTTAATCATTCATTTTTTAATGATCTATTTATTCATCCATCCATTCATCCATCCATTGATTCATTCATTCATGCATTTTTCTCTTTGCTTGTGTCTGTTCCTTTTGTCAACTACAGCTGATCCCCTCAGTGATGAAAGAATAACATGAATAATGCCATATTTTTGTACTGTTTCTATACCTTTGGACAAAGAGCCCATCCATTTAGACCAGCTCCGGTTCAAACCCCTGACCTACAGATTGAGATACGACTGCCTCTTTCACTGAGCCACAGCAGAGGAGTCAGTCCCCAAGGAACTGAACGCTAGATTGCATTGTCATGTTAAGTACTCACAAAAGAAAAAGGATCATTATGCAACCCTACAGAAATTCACATTTCTTATTTTAGAAAAAATGAAGAAAACGGTCTTAGGTACGTTTTGATGTTCTTTATAAAAATGCTGATCCCTGTTGTACAGTGCTCAGCATAATTGAGTACACCCCCTCAGAGTTGTCAGAAAACCTTTAGTTTCCTTTCAAAATCAATGTTTTCTATGTCAGACTATACAACGAAATACTCCCCAAAATATAGGCCATTAATTGCAAACAAGATTTTTTAAGTTGCATACAAAAAAGTATTATTTTCAATTTAAAATCAGGATGCAGAAATGAGTTATCCCCAATGGAAGTTCTAGGAGCAAAGCTAAATTTTAGTCTCCACATCACCCTTTTTTCATCTTAGGGTAAATAAAATGTTATGTTAAAATCATTTAAAATCAGGATGCAGAAATGAGTTATCCCCAATGGAAGTTCTAGGAGCAAAGCTAAATTTTAGTCTCCACATCACCCTTTTTTCATCTTAGGGTAAATAAAATGTTATGTTAAAATCATCTTGTCAAAACTCTGGAAATTGTACTTTTGCTCAACTAGATATTGAGTAATACATTACTTTTAATAGGGGGTTTACTGACTTATGCTGGGCACTGCAAATGTGTGTACAGCGAGCAGGAGCAACACACACTTTAACTGTAACTATACTCATTAAATAACTTTATTCT